TTGGCTGAAACCTCTGATGTCATTCTGACGGGAAACATATAAGATATACTTGTAAAGAAGAGGATGTGCTTGTAAAGCTCCTGCGCTGGGTGTCAGAGTGACCCACACTTTGCTCGTCAATCTAAACTTTGTTGTTTGTTAATAATGACAAAAGTTTTAGCTTTTATTTTACTGCTGAATCCTCTTCTCTGCTCTGGACATGCTGACGGTATCTTGATTTCTTTGTTCTTTTATTTATTCACAAAGAATGAGGTGCATATATGTTGTTTTTTTATTTGGTGTCTTAAAATGTATTATAAACATACATTGATAAATGTGCTAAATGTATTGTGCTGCGTTTTAGGCGCATACCTGACTATTGACCCCAACTGGTCGACTTTTCATGTTGGAGAGAGCGTGACCTTCATTTGTGACATGGATAAAGGCAAAGACACAGACTGGGAATATGACATTAGAAGAAATGAAGAAAAAATTCTTCAATCCAACCCGCACAAAAGCTTCACATTACCATCTATCCAACTTGATCAGGGTGGTGAATACCGGTGCTGTGGTGTCAGGAAGAGCTCCAGTGATGCAAGTGCAGTGACACGGTCTCTATAACTGTTATGGTGAGTTCAAATGATCTTTTCAACTAGATTTGTACATGATAGAGAGATATATAGCTAATGAACATGCTTAATCCTCTGTAAGTTAAATTTATATACAGGAAATTAGCTTAGCTTTTTGTGTTCCTCCCAAAATGAACTTTTAACCTCTTGTGAAGTATCAGAAGTTGCAACATCTACAGAAAACATCAATTCTGTGAAATACAATTAAACTTATTATTTTATGAATAAAATTATGTTCAATTAGGTGAGCTATCACAGAAAAGTATCATTTTTGTTGTTTGTTTGTTTGTTTTATTTGGGAGGTTAAACTAAAATAAAACTTTATTCTCATCAGAGAAACTCAATTATTGTGTTTTGTTACATATTATGATGAGACATTTGAATATTTGTACTCAATCTGACTGAAGAATAACTTAACGTGTTAACGGACATTTTTATTATATTTTATTAAATCAGCTCCTCCACCCAAAGCCAACTGACTGCAGGTCCTACAACCATACCAGTAGGGGGCAGTGTGAGACTGAGCTGCTCAGTGGAGCCCTCTGCTGGATGGAGGTACATATGGTTCAGAAGGACCAAAGACACACCTGAAGCTCAAATCACTGATGAAGAAAACAGAGATATTAATGTAACAGAAGGAGGAATCTACAGATGTTATGGAATGAGAGGAAATACAAAACTTCCAGAGTCTTGTAAGTGATAAAGTCAGCATCACAATAAGATGTAAGTAAAATTTCTCTTTAAACGCATCTGTTGATTATTTATATATTTAAGAGGAAACTCAGGAGGTATTTACTTTATTTATTTCAAACTGGCCCATATTTAATGTAAACAGATTCCAATGAGGTTTTTGTGACTCGAAAACCAAACTGGCCTCAGATGTTCAGTGGTGAGTTGATCACTCTGACATGTGAGATCCAAGAAAGAGAAACCACTGAGTGGAGATACGAATGGAGGAGAAATGGGACAACTGTAAAAATGGCAAAGGGAAAATTCCTGACTTTCACAGTCTCTGCGTCCAGCAGTGGAGACTACATGTGTCGGTGCAGAAAGATAGACGACCGGCATTCTCTGACAAAGTGGAGTGAAAAGATGTCATTGCTGGTGTCAGGTGAGTCGTGATGGGTTTTTTTTGTTTTTTTTATTTATCAGGACCAAAGCAAAAAATCAAAGCAAGCAGAGCCTAAATATTAGCAGAGCATCTGTCTGAAAGTTCCCCTCGATTAATGCAGAATATTGAAAGTCAATTTAATCTGGAAGATTTAAATCTTGCTCTTATTTAGCATCCCAGAACATGTATTAGAACTTGAAATCCAGAAAACTACCTTAGCAACTACTTTTTAGACTCTTAATCTTCCAATCCAGAGGATATTTACTCATACTTACTAAATCTCCTTGAATAGATGGATCTTGTTTATTTATTTGCATAAACATTAGATTATTTTTCTTCTTTGCTCTTTCTTTGGTTTATTATTTTTTGTTGTTTTTCTATAAATTCCTGTACAGCATCTCCTATTGCCTTGTTGCTGAAAATGTGCAATTTAAATAAAATTACCTTTATATTTAAATGTACAAATTTACATTTAAATGTACATTTACTTACAAATGTCTGTAAATGTACAAAATGAAGTTTACAGAGTCTGAGAATATTCAGCCAAATAATGAATTAATAGTGTTGGTTTACGCTTCCTGCTGGTTTTTGAACTGGGATCAGTTGAATGTCTTATTTAACCATATACACATTTTACTAATGACTTAAAAGACAATGTTCAATCTTTAATTTTAGATGCTTTTATATTTTCCAAGTCTTTTGTGTGCTTTTATTTACATTGAAATAAATTGCATGACATGAACTTTTTGTTTTTTTGCATTTTTAACATTTTTTATAAATTGCTATCAACATTTTGTTTAAATTTTTTCCACTCGATAAATATACCTTTTATTCACTGTAAAGCAGCCACAAGATGCATGTAGATTAACTTTTTCACTACATTTTAATGGCTGCAAATTGCTTTCCCCCATTGATTAGAATCGATATTGGTGTTGACATAAAACCACAAACAAAGGACAATGAGGATATAGTTGATTGGGAAAAGACCATGTTTGTTTTGCTTTCCAAATGAAGATACATTTTTCTTCAAGTCTTTAAATTTAACTGTTTCAACTGAGTCCAAAGGGATTTTTCACCTGGATTATGAGAGTTATGATGTTGCTTCACATCTTTACTTTAAGTTAAATCCTTGTGCAGAAAAATATCTTGTAGTTTTTGTTGTTTTTTTTTTTTACTTTGGTCATTAAAATAACTAAGATAACCCATCATTTATCCCCAGTAGAGAAAGTCAATTATGGAGTTTTGTCATTGTTTATGTTGAGACATTTGAATATGTTGTACTAAATGTGATTGTGGAATATGTAAAATCGGTGACTGAATAATTAAAGTTTTTATTTTAACAGCAGCAAAACCAAAGCCAAACTGACTGCAGGTCTACAACCATACCAGTAGGGGCAGTGTGAGACTGAGCTGCTCAGTGGAGCCCTCCGCTGGATGGAGGTACAGATGTGGAGAAAGACCAAAGACACACCTGAAGCTCAACTCACTGATGAAGAAAACAGAGATATTAATGTAACAGAAGGAGGAATCTACAGATGTGATGGAATGAGAGGAAATACAAACTTCTATAGTCTTGTAAGTGACGAGACCAACATCACAATAAGCTGTAAGTTAATTTCTTTTTAAATGCATCTGTGATTATTGTTTACATTTAAGAGGAAACTCAGGAGGTATTTTAATGCACTTTATTATTTTATTCTCTTAAACTGCCCATATTTAATGTAATCAGTTCCCAACAAGATTGTTGTGACTCGACAACCAATCAATCAATCAAATTTTATTTGTATAGCACATTTCAGCAGCAGGGCTGAAATGCACATAACCACAAAAACACAGTCATGCATCATGGAATAAACAATACATTGTAACATATTACATTTCAAATACAATTCTAAACAGGTGTGTTTTTATTTGAGATTTAAAGGAAGTCATGGTTTCTGCTGTTTTACAGTTTTCTGAAAGTTTGTTCGAAATTTTTGATGCATAGATGCTGAAAACTGCTTCTCCTCTCTTGGTTCTGGTTCTGGGGATGCAGAGCAGACCAGAACCAGAACCTGAGAGTCTGGAAGGTTGATACAACAACAGCAGATCTTGATGTATTGTGGTGCCAAACCGTTCAGTGATTTGTAAACTAACAACAGTATTTTAGAGTCTATTCTTTGAGCTACAGGGAGCCAGTGGAGGGACTTTAAAACTGCTGTTATGTCTCTATCTTCCTGGTTTTAGTGAGAACGTGAGCAACAGCTTCTGGATCAGCAGAAGCTGATTGATTTATTGGACAGGCCTGTGAAGATACTGTTACAATAATCAATGCGACTAAAGATAAACGCATGAATGAGTTTCTCTAGCTCTGGCTGAGACATTAGTCCTCTAATCCTGGAGATGTTCTTCAGGTGATAGAAGGCCGACTTTGTAACTGTAACTTGTAACATTAGAAGCCATAGTATGGCGAGATCCATGTTAGTGTCCAAAATTATAGTCTATTTTTCCACGTTTAAACTTTAATCCAAATATTTTTATTTGAAAAATACATCAATGGTACAAAACATTAAAGTGACATCAAGGTTGGACACAAACATTTAATTTTCTTATTAATGTTTCCTGTTTACAGTCACTGTCAACGCTTCATTTCTCATTTAAACATTTTTAAAAAGTTATTGTCGTTATTATCAACGTCTAACAAATGTTTACAGGTGAGCATTCCCACAGCAAAGCTTTGTTACTTTCTTAAATTGCAGATCTGAATTTAGTTCAGTTTCGACAGTAAAACCATTTAACTGTTTGAGGAAAAATTGATACACAGACTGAGAATGTCTGTGTTAAACCTCAATGTCACATTTACATGTTTTAGTAGGAAATCATCTCTTTGGGTACAATGATGACTAATAATACATTACTTTTGTTTTTGTGTAGCTGGATCCAGTCCAGTCAGCTCTTCATTTCCTGTGCTCTTAGTTGTTGGACCAATTAGTGGAATCCTTCTCATCGTCCTCCTGCTCTTGCTGTGGCGCTACACGGTCCAATGGTGAGAACGTTTTCACACTGGATCAGATTACTTCATCACCAAAAACGCTTTCTAAATAATCAAATGTGTCACATGTGTGATTTTTAAATACATTTCATCTATTTAATTCTGGTGTTAATGATGCCGATTCATTTTTTTCAATCTTCTGCAGATTTATGCTGCGTCAGGTCAGTTTGTAATTACTTGTCGTCTCATTTTAAGCATGAACTTCTGATTCTTTCATTCATTTTTACGTTTAATTCATTTTAATATTTTTAGGCGGTTCAGCTCTGCCACCAATCACGTGGATCAGACTGAAGTTCACGTTTACAGCTCTCTGCTGCATGGTTGGTCACAAACAAATGACATTATAAAAACTTGATTCATCTTCATAAAGCAAATATACAGACATATTTAAAGAGTCAAAGTCCAAATGGAGCTAATTACTTCTTGCATACAAAACGACAGATTTCAATAATTTAATTTTGTTTGTGCTGAACTTTTTGTCACAGTTAATCCACCAATATCATGGCTCTGCTGCTCAACATGATAAAATACAGTTATGTCATTACCATGAGTTCGTTCAGGGCAAATGGTTCTTAATGACAAACGATTATAGTCAACAGAAAAAAAGATTAATATAATTGCGTTGGGGTCAGAACGTTGATCTTGAAATGTTTTTGTTTGCTGCAGGCACCACTTCTCTGTATGAGACAGTCCATCCACGTGGAGCCACTAGAAATGGTAAAGTGTTTTAAGACAGACCTGCAACTTGCGAGTTACTGAAGGAGATTGAAGCTCGTTCGAAACGCAAAAACGTTTCAGGAACAGATGAATTTTGCAATGCTGTGAAATACTCTGAACTTTAACTCCTCACCAAGAGAAAGTCATTAGTAAACATTCAGTAGATTGTAGATTTAATGAACATTTTTATCCATGTTGCCATTTTAACAGAGAGACGTCATCCAGAGGAAGATTCTGTTTACGTTAACGTGCAACCGGGACGTTGAAGCTCCGCATGACGGTCAGTGATGTCATTATTATATCTACGAATGCATTTATTTATTTATGTTTTGGGAGGGTAAACTGTCTTGCCACATTTGACTTCTCTAGTTATTCTCAAGCACCTTCTGATTGACATTGCTCACCTTTTTAAAGGGGCAGTATTATGTAAAGTTGATGTTTTTAATCTTTACATCATGTTATGTTAGAATATTTTATAGTTGACATACTTGGAGAGTTGCCCTGATTCTTTCATGCATGTTTGAGAAATCCTTTAACCTCCTGTGGCAACCATTCAGCTGTGCAAAACGACTGGGTGGACTTAGCTCCGCCTCCTCAGAGCTGCAGCTTCCAAGCTTCTGAGCTTCTCCCTGACAGAGCAGCCCTTCCTCCTTTACTCCCCCACTCAGCTCCTTCAGACTAGCCTGCAGCGAGTGGCAAACACCCGGTGTTTTAGAATGGGTATCTCCTGAGCTCACTACACGAGCAACTTCTCAGTTCAACACTAATAAAAACGTTTGTTAAAGGGTTAACAGAGGAGCGATGCTGTTATAACTTCCTGGAGGCGGAGTTTCAGAAAGAGCAGGGAGCTTCTTAAAGTGACAGAGGCCCAATTCCAGGGTTTTAAGTTACAAAGTCAAATTTCTTTCAAGTCTTATTTGATATATGTTGCGTTTTTATAACAGTAAATTGCTCAATTTGTTATAAATTGACCATGTGTGCCTGGGAAATAATACTGCCCCTTTTAAAAATAAACTGTTTCGATATCCAGTTTCTGTTTTAGACCCCAGTGGTAAATAACGTCCTCCTCATTCATGTAAAAACTTTATTATCCCAAATATTTCTTTTGGATAATTAAATCACATTTTGATTATCCCAATATATGCTCTCTCTTCCTCTCTCAGCTGGAATTGGAGTCCGGCAGCAACAGATACTCCAGGTTGTTATATGAAACGACTGGGAATTCTGCTGCCATGTTTTCATTATATGTTGTGATGGTTATTGTATTTCTGCAGCTTTAAGATGCCAAAGATGATTTAATCATGCTATATCTCTTCAAGAATCAAATGTGCTCTAGTTTTACATTTTTGCTCATGTCATAAACAGGAACATTCATAAATTGAAATGTTGTGAGATTCTTGAGAAATAAAATTAAAGCTGAAAATTGCAAACTCCCTTCTTACCTTCACAGCTGAATTTGTAGCTTTTACAGTTATGCTATGTTTGTGATAAATACAAAACTGTCACACAGTTTGAATATCGGTGCCTGTTTTCCATAAAATGAGTGAAAGTTCATGAATGCATGGTATGTAAAACATTAATGATGTTGATTGGGCTGTTTTAAAGTTCTGTTCAGTGTTAAGAAAAAAAAGTAGTTTTAGAGTTTGCAGTCCAAGAAGATATCTGCATGAATATTCAGTCCATTGCAAGTTAAAAGCCAAAAGAATGGATTTTCAAATGGGTGGAAAATGATTGCATATTTTGATCCTAGATGTGGGCTTTCATTGCTTGGTCAGTTTATTGGTATTAACACTGATTCCACAATCTGCAGAAAGATCAACAAGATGAGCAATGAGGTTGTTAACGTGTGCAACAAATTGTGATTTGATTGTGTATTTAATAAAAACACGTCAACCAATTGATTAAAGGCTCTATGCACTAAAGCTTGAAGCCTTATTTGACTGTTTTCTCCAAAATGGCTTCTGTTAGGTGGACAGGAAGTGTCAGTTCTCCATGATAAAACTCAAAGGAATGACGTCACTGGTTTTATAATGAAAAAAATAGAAATCTTTCTTTAGGTTGTTTTGATGAATTCAGTGCAACTTGTGTCAAAATAGTGCAAAAAATATGTCTCTGACCACGGGCAGTCATTATCAGGCCTGGAAATCAGCTTACGAAACTCTTCTCTGCGTGTGTCAGGCTTGTTCTGCAGCGATGTCACTTCCTGTGTTTGAATGGCGCAGATAAAATGAACAAAATGTTCACTTTTGACAGTATGTGCACTGACATCTCTTTTCTTGTAGTTATTTTTTCACTTAGTTTTAAACTTATCTTTTATTTAATAAAAAAAATACTGTATACTGTATATTTGAAGGTTCACGAATGTAATGATTTGTAAAATGTGTTATCTTTGTTCTCTCCTATTTACATGATGTTTTTGAGAACTTTTTGTTTTGCACATTGTATTTTCGTCTACTTTTTGAGGAAATAAATCTTTTAATTTGAGCTAACTGAAATGATCTTTAAACAAATGGTTACCTCAAACCGTGTAACTGGGGTACATCTTTTTGTTATTTGTGAGTCACCTTAGTTTAAGGATGTTTGACACTGTGTGGGAAGTGTCAAAATATTTTGTGGTAATATTTCGTCTTTATCCGTGATGTTTTTATAAAAATTTTTTTTAAGAAGTGACAATGAGCTCACAGAACAGGAAGCTGGTGTAATACTGATCGAAAACTTCGGTTATATGAGAAGAAAGTGTCAGTGTCAGAGCTGGACGCGACGCAGGGACTCTGTTCTTGTTTCTGTGAACTTTTAATGTTTATAATGACAAAGGTTTTAGGTTTTATTTTAGTGATGAATACACTCCTCTGCTGCGGACGTGCTGACGGTATTTTCTCTTTTTTTCTTCAAATTTATTTATATACTGAGAATGAGGCACACCTTTATAAACTCCATGATAAATGTGCTAAATGTATTGTGCTGCGTTTCAGACGCAGACCTGACTACCCCGACTGGTCGACTTTTCATGTTGGAGAGAGCGTGACCTTCATTGTGACATGGATGAAGGCGAAGACACCTGGGAATATGAGATTAGAAGAAATGAAGAAAAAATTCTTCAATCCAACCCGCACAAAACCTTCACATTACCATCTATCCAACTTGATCAGGGTGGTGAATACCGGTGCTGTGGTGTCAGGAAGAGCTCCAGTGATGACAAGTGCAGTGACATAGTCTCTATAACTGTTACTGGTGAGTCCAAATGATTTTTTTCAACTAGATTTGTACATGATAGAGACTTGCACAGCTAATAAACATGCTTAATCCTCTGTAAGTTAAATCAAATGCAGAAAATCAGCTTAGCTTTTTGTGTTCCTCCCAAAATGAACTTTTAACCTCTTGTGAAGTATCAGAAGTTGCAACATCTACAGAAAACATTAATTCTGTGAAATACAATTAGAATTATTATTTTTTATTAATAAAATTATGTTTCATTAGGTGAGCTATCACAGAAAAGCATAATTTTTGTTGTTTTATTTGGGAGGTTAAACTAAAATAAAACTTTATTCTCATCAGAGAAACTCAATTATTGTGTTTTGTTACATATTATGATGAGACATTTGAATATTTGTACTCAATCTGACTGAAGAATAACTTAACGTGTTAACGGACATTTTTATTATATTTTATTAACATCAGCTCCACCCAAAGCCAAACTGACTGCAGGTCCTACAACCATACCAGTAGGGGCAGTGTGAGACTGAGCTGCTCAGTGAAGCCTCTGCTGGATGGAGGTACATATGGTTCAGAAGGACCAAAGACACACCTGAAGCTCAACTCACTGATGAAGAAAACAGAGATATTAATGTAACAGAAGGAGGAATCTACAGATGTTATGGAATGAGAGGAAATACAAACTTCCAGAGTCTTATAAGTGATAAAGTCAGCATCACAATAAGATGTAAGTAAAGTTTCTCTTTAAATGCAGCTGTTGATTATTGATTACATTTAAGAGGAAACTCTGGAGGTTTTTTAAATGCATTTTATTATTTTTTCTCTTAAACGGCCCATATATAATGTAAACAGTTTTCCAATGAGGTTTTTGCGATCCGACAACCAAACTGGCCTCAGATGTTCAGTGGTGAGTTGATCACTCTGACATGTGAGATCCAGGGCGGAGAAACCTTTGAGTGGAGATACGAATGGAGGAGAAATGGGACAACTGTAAAACTGGCAAATGGTAAAGAATGGACTTTCATCTCTGAGTCCAGCAGTGGAGACTACATGTGTCAGTGTAGAAACATAGACGACGCATTCTGTGACAAAGTGGAGTAAAAAGATGTCATTGCTGGTGTCAGGTGAGTCATGATGTTTTTTTTTGTTTGTTTGTTTTTTATTTATCAGGACCAGCTCAGCAAAAAGCAAAGCAAGCAGAGCTTAAATATTAGCAGAGCATCTGTCTGAAAGTTCCCCTCGATTAATGCAGAATATTGAAAGTCAATTTAATCTGGAAGATTTAAATCTTGCTCTTATTTAGCATCCCAGAACATGTATTAGAACTTGAAATCCAGAAAAACTACCTTAGCAACTACTTTAGACTCTTAATCTTCCAATCCAGAGGATATTTACTCATACTTACTAAACCTCCTTGAATAGATGGATCTTGTTTATTTATTTTGCATAAACATTAGATTATTTTTCTTCTTTTGCTCTTTCCTTTGGTTTATTATTTTGTTTGTTTTCCTATAAATTCCTATACACATCTCCTATTTCCTTGTTGCTGAAAATGTGCAATTTAAATAAAATTACCTTTATATTTAAATGTACAAATTTACATTTAAATGTACATTTACTTACAAATGTCTGTAAATGTACAAAATGAAGTTTACAGAGTCTGATGAATATTCAGCCAAATAATGAATTAATAGTGTTGGTTTACGCTTCCTGCTGGTTTTTGAACTGGGATCAGTTGAATGTCTTATTTAACCATATACACATTTTACTAATGACTTAAAAGACAATGTTCAATCTTTAATTTTAGATGCTTTTATATTTTCCAAGTCTTTTGTGTGCTTTTTATTTACATTGAAATAAATTGCATGACATGAACTTTTTGTTATTTTTGCATTTTTAACATTTTTTATAAATTGCTATCAACATTTTGTTTAAATTTTTTCCACTCGATAAATATACCTTTTATTCACTGTAAAGCAGCCACAAGATGCATGTAGATTAACTTTCACTACATTTTAATGGCTGCAAATTGCTTTCCCCCCATTGATTAGAATCGATATTGGTGTTGACATAAAACCACAAACAAAGGACAATGAGGATATAGTTGATTGGGAAATAGACCATGTTTGTTCTGCTTTCCAAATGAAGATACATTTTTCTTCAAGACTTTAAATTAACTGTTTCAACTGAGTCCAAAGGGATTTTTCACCTGGATTATGGAGAGTTATGATGTTGCTTCACATCTTTACTTTAAGTTAAATCCTTGTGCAGAAATATCTTCTACTTTTTTTTTTACTTTGGTCATTAAAATAAATAAGATAACCCATCATTTATCCCCGTAGAGAAAGTCAATTATGGAGTTTTGTCATTGTTTATGTTGAGACATTTGAATATGTTGTGCTCAATGTGATTGTGGAATATGTAAAATCGGTGACTGAATAATTAAAGTTTTTATTTTAACAGCAGCAAAACCAAAGCCAAACTGACTGCAGGTCCTACAACCATACCAGTAGGGGGCAGTGTGAGACTGAGCTGCTCAGTGGAGCCCTCTGCTGGATGGAGGTACAGATGGTGGAGAAAGACCAAAGACACACCTGAGACTCAACTCACTGATGAAGAAAACAGATATTAATGTAACAGAAGGAGGAATCTACAGATGTGATGGAATGAGAGGAAATACAAACTTCTATAGTGTTGTAAGTGATAAAGTCAGCATCACAATAAGCTGTAAGTTAATTTTCTCTTTAAATGCATCTGTTGATTATTGATTATATTTAAGAGGAAACTCAAGAGGTTTTTTTATGTATTTTATTTTTATTTTTTTCAAAACTGCCCATATTTAATGGAAACAGTTTCCAACAAGGTTTTTGTGACTCGACAACCAGAAGGTTCTCATATCATCAGTGGTGAGACGATCACTCTGACATGTGAGATCCAGGAGAGAACCATTGAGTGGAGATGCGACTGGAAGAGAAATGGAACAACTTTAAAAATGGCAAAGGAAAAAATCCTGACTTTCACAGTCTCTGAGTCCAGCAGTGGAGACTACTTGTGTCGGTGCAGAAACAGAGACGACCTGCGTTCTGTGACAAAGTGGAGTGAAAAGATGCCATTACTGGTGTCAGGTGAGTCATGATGGTTTTTTGTCCATCTGGGCCAGCCCGACACGTGACCAACGCAGGCAGGGCCCAAAGAAAAGTGCTCAAAGTTTGTCTTCTGTAGACATTTTTTGTTGAGTTTTATTTTCGTTTTAGTTTACATTTCAGATTGTACATGTAAAATCAGTTTTTCTAACAATTGAGTTAGAAGTAATTGTACTGTAAAAAATGAAATGAGTCCTTCTTTCCAGTAACAGTGCCCACTCCGGTCAGCTCTTCATTTCCCGTCCTTATGATCATCGGACCTGTTGGTGGAGTCCTCCTGGTTCTTCTTCTGGTGTACTGTGGCACTACAGGCGGTCCAAAGGTGAAATCGGTAATTGTGAATGTATGATACATTAACAGTAGGAGAATTTTTTTACAATTTTAAGAAAGATATTTTAAAAGAATATATTTGGTATTCACATATTTACGTAAAGTGCATCACTTCGCCTCAAATATCTAAAATTTTTACACTTTTGTGAAAAAATGTACGCTGCAATTTTTTTGTATTACAATAAATATTTTTATCATTCACTTCCGAAGAAGTTTAAAGGAATAAACTGTTGACAAAAAAGTTCCAAATAGTTTATTTTCTTTCTCCCTTTCCAGTGTAATTAATTCAGAAGCAATTACTTCACATTTATATAATCGCAATGATAAGCCGAAAACTGCTGCAAACACTTGGCTTGTGGGAAAAAAACATAAATAAATAAAAAGTGCAGTCCTGTTGATTGTCTTTTTGTATTGTATAACAAAAATAAATGAAAAAAATTGAGTTGAATTGATAAATAACAGATTGCTTCATCATGCAAGATAGATTTTGGATTTAAAATTTGCTTTATGATGGGGCTTTTGTCAGGGCGGGTCGTTTTTGACCCATAGGCCAACGGAGTGAACAGAACTTTAGGATCGTTAACAAGAGTTAAGACTGTTTTAGGTGAAAGTTGTTAAAAATCAGTTGCAGATTAAATAATGGATTCAATAAGAACGAAACTGATGAGAGCAGCTCTCCTCTGCAGGGTCAGAATTAGATGACGGTGTTTAAATTAATATTCACTTTTTTTCCTGCACTGCAGGCGACGATCACATCTATGAGTCGGTCAACTTCTCGGGCACCGGTGGAAATGGTAAAGTGAATCTTTTCCACCAGATATTACTGCTACATGCACAATGCAAGTAACCGATCTGAAAAATCCTGAAATGTTTCAGTGGAAGATAAACCCAGACATGTAACCTACTCTCTCATTGAACTGAAAAACTTTGGGAAAGAGAGTAAGTCACAAAAACAACTTAAAGAAGAAAAAAAATCTGCCTTGTTTTGATAAAAAAAACAAAAATGTTTTAATAGAAATTGTTTATTTGAACAGGTACTCCAAACAAACCAGCAGAGGGCGCTGCCTACTCTTGTCTGGATTCAGGAATGAAAGGTAAAGTCAACTCCAACTTGACAATATGGTGCTTTCCATCTCTATCAACTAATGTTTGACAAAAACAAAGCTTTTTTGGGACAAAATATAAATGCTTAAATGTTTTTACACACTGCAGAAAGTCCTCATGTATGTCAGCATATAAATATTTAGACATGTGATAAAAGATTAAAAAATAAAACAAAAGTGGATTTGTGCTTATTACCTAATTGTACTTAGAATTAAGAAATTACAGGGGAAAAGAAATTGTAGGAATTTAAAGTTTAATTTAAAGAGCATAAAAGGAAAAAAAAGAAGTAATTTGTGCATTATAGGTACATTGAAGTCTTACAGTTGTCCTTTCACAGGTAGGGGGAGCCCTGGAGCAAAAGAAGAGGCTGTTTATTCTGAAATCAACCCTGAACCAGAGAACAAAAACACCATGTAGGTGTAGCTCAGTCTGCAGCTTCTAACTCATGCAGTTTTTGTTGGATCTATTGTGACAGACCAAATATTAACCTTTCATAAAACTGATTTTAGCTGTTGCTTTGTATGTGTTTAAAATAATCCCTCTCAGCGTTACCAGTTACTTATTATACTGCCAACTCTGCTTTACTTTGCTTTATTTTGTTTTACTAGTTATATTAGTTACACGCCTTGTAAAAAGAAATGATTCCCTTTTTGCCATTGTGACATTAAAACAAACTAAACTTTTCATGTTTTGAGTTAATTAAAATTACTAACATTCATTTTAATTTCTAAATAGTACAATGGTAAACAGGGGTCACATGTAAAAATATTATTTTTTCCTTTCAATTCAAAAGTGGTTGTTTTTTTTATAGTATATGGAAGAACTGCCGTTTAACTGTGTAAACGAGGTAAATTTGCTTCTCAAAGTGATTTTCTGGAATTTCAAGATAATGTGAGTCGTGGTAAATGAGTACTTTTATGATTACAGTTCAGTATAAACAAAGGACACTTTTCATGATCCATGAGATGCATTTTAATACTCAACGGTCCTCATCATGAGTGCTCATGCAGAAACCGAACTGTTTATTTACCACAAGCCGAGACCTCAAGCATCGGGGTGAGGAGTGAATATGAGCAGATGGAAAAGATGAAGCTGATTGTGTGCTTATTTGTGTATTTACGTCTTTCGCGACCAAATGTTTGGAACGTGTCATCTTGAGCAAACAAGATGAGATCAAGATCAAATAAAAAGTCAAAGCAAAATCTCTTTTTTCTGTTCAGTATTTCCTTCCTTTTTCTCTCTGTGTTTATGTTACCTAATTGAATGCGGAAATGTTAAACAGTCAAGTTTACCATTAGTTATTACATGTTTACTAACATTAAATGACTGAGATCAGTAAGATTTTACTTGACACGTCGTGCTTCTTTTTAAACTTTAGTTTCCAAGTTACTTTAATTTACTTTAAATTAAACTTTGTTCACATGTTCAAGTTGATTTCCTGCTATAGGTGTTGAAACCACACTGCCACCGCTTCCACCAAATCTTCAGTATGCTGGGGTCAAAGCATGCCTTTAACTTTAGAGTTCTGACAGAAAAGCAAGCATAAAAATAAATGTGAATTTGAGGAAGTAGGCTTTAAAGCTGAGAGCAAACGTCTGGTTTCTTGCCCCAAAAAATCCCTTGAACAGTTTTAGTTTGACCACTAAAGGGGTCCAAGAAAAATAGATTAGCATGAACAAAAAGAAGCTTAAAAGAAATTTACTTTGAAACAATTATTGCAACAGTAATTTCAATGAGAACCTTCGAGATAAAACAAGCTGATGCCTTGCAGAAAAAGTTTCTATGTCTAAAAACTGCTATGGGAAACGCAGCCGCAGACGTGAGAGTGAACCACAGACATGATATTTTTAGCATTGAAGTGTGAAACATGTTGGTCACAACTGTGCAGCAGATGCTACTCCTTATTCGGTAAACATTATAGCTAACGAAAAGCAGAAGCGTTCATCATTAGCTGTGCAGAAAGTCCAGCTGTGAGGATGCAGCACAATCTGCTCTGGATGGGTTTCCTCTGTAAGTACTTTTGTGCTCACTATTCTGTGCAAAAATTAAAAATTTTACCTGTAGTACAAGTTGCATTGCATCATCGGTGTGATTGGTTTTTTAAAATGGTTTCTAATTAATTGTTTGTTGGTGGGGACCAGCGGGTGAAGCGGCATGGCGCTCGGGTGGTCGCTGAGAGCCTCTTCTGAAGCTGCTGCCCCCGCGACCCGACCCCAGATAAAGCGGAAGAAAATGGATGAAATTAAAATTTTTATTTATGCTAAAAGATAAAAATTACTCTTTGATGTTTTTTGTTATGTGCTGCATTTGAATGTGAAAGATTATAGTCTATGATTATAGTCTAACGGAAATTGATATACAGGACTTTGACATTTTTCCATCAAGCTTCAAGGTGGCTTTAGATTTCTGAAGAATGGAGAAAATGGATTTGTTGCCTTGTAAGCTCAGACTGAAGGATTAAAATGTATTTTTAAAAAATCATCACATGACAAATATCACAATAATGTTGCCGTTGTTCTTCATTTAGCTTATATTGACGAAACAGAGTGGAAACTGTGTGTTTTCTTCACTTTTTATTCAAAATAGCTTGAATTGTTTTCTTGTCATCTTTAAACTTTATTGTTTGTCAAACAGAGAATGACTAGAAGTGCTCAAACTTGCATAGAAAAGCCACCTGGTTTGTTTGTGAGCACCAGATATCCGTTCAGAGCTCATCATTAGATGGAGACATGCAAGCTTTTCTTCATTAGATGAGCTCTGAACGGTGAATAGAAAGTTAGTACAGAAAAAGTACTGAAAAAAAAACCCAAAAACTTTGGAGACACCAAAAGCCTGGAGCCTGGGGTAGAGATGTGAATTCCAGCATGATGGTAATTAAAATTAGAATTCAACTTTATTGTCATTGCACTGTCACATGTAAAAAGCAACGAAATGTAGCATAAACATAAAGCCAGCAGAGCTAATGGATAAAAGCAAATGTATGTGGTAAGGTGCAAAAGGCTTTGCTATTTTATCTTAATTCTAAGTAACCCATGTTTATTTTATTGCAGTTTTCAATACGTTCTCCTGTGGACATCCTGAAGGTGAGACGCCATTTAACTGTTTAATATGATTTACGTGCAGCTGTGGTATCGTCACCGTTTTTAGTCATGGAGCAGTGTGACATCTTGTTCATGCAAAGAAACCTCTTTTTTTCCTGCGACAGCATATTTTAATTGACATAACATGTGAACTATGTAACATTTCTACATGTTAACTCTCCTAATAAAAAAAAGATGAAAAGATGAGGGAAGAAAATAACTCTTTAACCAACCGTGCAGTCGATGAGAACACGCTGCTTCACTGCGCAAATGTTCTCACTTCCTGAATATATTTTCAACTTGCAAAGTGCCTTGAGACGACATTTATAGTGAATTGACTCAATAAACTGAATTGAATTGAATGAACTTTTATGCTGCAGATAAACATGACCATTGAAAAAACTTTAAACCAGGAAAAGTTAAAAAAAAATATATATATATATATATATATATATATATATATATATATATATATATATATATGTTTATCTGAACTGATCTTTGCACTTTCTTACTGTTCATTAAACAGTAAGAACATGTTTCTTAAAACACTTATTGATGAAACATTTATTCCATTTCCTGTTTTGTCCTAATATCAGAATAACATTAGATTGATACGTGTAAAAATCTCAATAAATAAACAGATCAAATATTTCAATATCTGTCAAAGACTGTTTTTTTTTTGTTTCTGTTTTTTGTTTCTGTTTTTCCTGTTTTTCAAACAGGAAAAACTTCACTGGCGGCAGATAGAGCTGTTCTACCAGCAGGGGGCAGTGTGACTCTGACCTGCACTGTGGATAACCCAGGTCACTTAGACTTTCACTGGTACAGACATGATTTCGAGTCGTCTGCAGGTCAGATGATGAACCGCACAGCAGACAAATCCCTCGTGCTCTCAAAAGGAGGTCTGTACAGCTGCAGAGGAGTAAGACTGGGAAAAGGAAATGTGCCTTCCTACACAAGTTACAGCAACAAGGTCACTGTTCAGGAGACCCGTAAGTTTGGTTGTTTGCAGGAACAGTTTTCTACAGCTGTGCGAACAAAGTTTGTAACATGAATATAAAACAAAATTCACAAAAGCAGTTCACTGAAAGCTGCAACGTGATGATGGTGAATAAACTAAGGAATGATTTCATCTTCCTACTGAGAACCAGAATGATCACAAGAGGCTTATAATTATCACACACACCTGTAATAACTCCAGCTGTTTCACTGATATGTATATATCACTCTAGGAACTTTTCATAATTAACAGTCAGAATTGCATGTCTAATTTCCATTATTCATCAAATAATTCTTTGTCATCACATTGGTTTGTGTTTTACATTGTGATAAAACAATAACTTCTCTTATTCAGGAATGTTTTCTAACCAGAAATTTCTGCATCTCAGTTTCTTTTAGCGTCACCGTGACCTTGGACCATGATTGGGCTCGGATTTACGTAGGAGAGACGGTCACTATCGGCTGCGAAATAAAGGGAGGTGAACAAATTAACTGGACCTATGAGTGGAAAAAAAATCACACGTTTGAGAAACCGGGATCATCAAGTGGACACAGGATCATCAAAGCTAAACAGTCTGACAGTGGAGACAGCTGCAGAGGAAGAAGAGACAGGTTTTCCTCTACAGAGTGGAGTGATGCTCTCTCATTAACTGTTTGTAAGTTGATTCGTTTTATATGGGTGAAAATTGTATTAGAGAAATTCAGTGTAATTTTTCAGAACAATAATGCATTTACATTTAGAAGTGCAGATGATGCTGCTATGAAATGGGACACGGACATATATTTATTTTTAAATATATGGGTGGAAATTATGATAATAGGATCATTTTTACGTGGGTTCATTGTTTGGTTTTCTAAAAACATTATTCACATATTTACATATATGTATCTTTGGCATGCCTCTGGCCATAGGGTCGCCAAAAGTTGCGGCACTAAAAGCTCATTTCCTCTGCTGAAGACGTTGAGCTCAAACGCAGAAATAGGTTCACCAGTTTGTTTTTATTTGGGGGGAACAGGGCACAGAAAATCCTAAGATTAACAAATAATGAAATGAGTAAGAAAACGTGAACAATATCCCGCTCGCTTTCATCACACATTTCACATCAAATCTCTTTGAACAGATGAGCTTGTCCCTGTCCTCTCTGTGTCTCCATCATGGCTGAGTCCTGCAGCCTCCGTGACTCTGAGCTGTGAGGTTGAAGAACTGTCTGCCGGATGGAGGTTCTTCTGGTATAAAGCTGTTCCCAAACCACCAAGCAGTTCCTACAGCTTTGAGCTGCTGCCTGGTAGCATCAATGGGACCATAGACAATTCCTACATCGTTCATGGACAGACAAGTACTGCAGGATACGTGTGCGAAGCAAGACGAGGGGAACAAGTTGTGCAAAGCAAACCGAAGTTTGTGTGGTCTGCAGGTCAGTTTTTCCCCGTCTTTGTCTTCAGTTTGACTGAAGGTATAATTTAAAGTTTACAAAATATTGATAATTAGACTGTAACAGACTGAAATATTAAATGTCATCATGTTTTTTTTTTTTTTTTTGTCAGATTTTCAACTTGGACCGTCTCTCAAAGTGAAACCAGACAGAGTTCAACACTTCAGCTCTGATTTGGTCTCTTTCCGTTGTGAAGGAGGAAACTCTACTGACTGGAGGGTCACGAGGGTCACAAGGGTCACAGAAACGGGTCAACCTTCATTTTTGAACTCCTCCAGCTGGGGAGCAGGACAGGAATCCATAATCAGTAACTGGTCTGATGGAGGAATATTCTGGTGTGAGTCTGGTTGGGGAGAATTCAGCAATGCAGTTAACATCACTTTACAGAGTATGTTATGATTTGTTTGACTTTTTATTATTATTAGTATTTGAACTATTTCAATGTAAATAATGCATTTTGACTGTGTAACACTGAGCGTATTTGTTGTGCGTGCTACATGCTGCTAAAGTACCTGTCTTATTTTACAGTAAATACTACACTGCCACCTAGTGTTTACAGCGTATATGTACATTTCTGAATTCCCAGGCCAAATAATCAGTTTTGATATTTTTGACCTCAGGAAGAAACGTTCAGCTTGATTTCATGCCATATAATAAATACCAATATATTTGGACCATATATACTGTACTGAATAAAACAAGTAAAAAATGTTAAAATTTCCTTTTTTTTTTTTCTTTTTTTTTTTTACTGCACCCTCATTTATTTAATTTTTTTTTTAAGTTTCGGTGATTTCAGTTAAGTGATATAGGTCAGGTTAAATCCAAAGTCATATTTAGAGGCAAATATCTGACTCACTTGTGGAAAACTTTTTCTTTTAAAGATCTATTTTTGATAATGTCAAAGTCAAATTCCCTAACTTTTTTTTTAAACAGATAATTATGATGGTGTTATCCTGGTGAGCCCTGTTCATCTTGTGACTGAGGAGATCCTGTTACTCTGAGCTGCAGAGATAAACAACAACAACTTCTCTCCAATGTGTTTTTTCTATCATAATGATAAACTACTCAATAATGACAGCACAGAGGAGCTGAAGATCTCTGCAGTGTCAAAGTCAGATGAAGGTTTCTACAAATGTCATCATTCAGGAAAAGAGTCACCAAACAGCTGGATGTCTGTTAGAGGTGAGGAGGATTCAAATGTTTGATGCATTTCATTCAGTAAAAGCTTTCGGCTGTTAGAGAGGAACGAAGTGAACGCCGACGATGTTTGTGTTTATGCGCTGCAGATTTTTTGCATGTTTTTCTGACGGTTGTTATAATGACTGCAGATATCTTCCTTTTCTCACGATTCAGTGTTTCTTGCAAATGTTCCCACTGCTGCCGGCTCTTCATCCAATGTCCTGCTGATCACTGGACCGTTTAGTGGAATCCTTCTCATTATTCTCCTGCTGTTTCTGTGTTATTACATGCGGTCCAAAGGTGAGACCGTTCACTCCCAACACGCTTTCATCCAACATGTTTTTTATGCCTTTTCATTTTTAGAAATAGTCATTCGTATTCACTTTACTGTATTGTCCTCTCAGTGAGATCCACCACTAATTGTGGCGTTAATAAGAATGAAATGAGAAAATGTAACTCTGTCCTTCCACATCAGAACTTAAATATAGTTTATGGCAATGTGATCTCTTTTAGGATTCCTATTTAAATTATGAATTTATAAAATAACTGACCTAAGAATCCTTAGATATTTCAGCCCCCCAAGAGTCCAGAGAAGTCACCTACGCTCAGATTGAAGTGAAAAACGTTGGAAAGAAGTGAGTTCTTGACACAATGTGCAAAAAATACAATTGCTTCCATTCTAACCGTCACCTTTTTGTGTTCTTTATTATTTGATTCCCGTAGCAGGAAGGCCTCCGAACACAGACGAGGGCACAGTTTACTCTGAAGTCAGAAGAGGAGCTGCAGGTACGATTGGTTGCATCAGTCTATTTGTGAAATATGTCCCACGATGTCACACTGCTCAGATTATCAGCTACTTGGATTAGAATTAAAGAAAAATGACAGATGAGACGCACAGTTTGGGGAATTTTCAGGGCAATTTAATTGAGGTTGAAATTACAACCTGAATTAGGGATTATTAACTCAATGACGACTTAAATAACAAAAGATTTATTTGCCAAGTTCAACTACTTTTTATTGTGATACAAGATTAGGCTTCATGTTTTACTTTCAACAAGTCTTTCTCCTTACAGGAGAGTGGAGTCCTGCAGTCTCAGATCAGAATCCATCCTGGATAACGGCGCTACCAGGCAGGACGTAGGGCGCGCTGAACGAATCTGCGACTCATTAATCTCAATGCACACAAGTTAAAATGCTGATCTTTATATACTTTTCAATCGCAAACAGCAGCAGTTTTTAAACATGGAAAAACGTTTTAAAGCTCGTAACTTCTGCTCGGGATCCTTGGATAGTGAAGTTGGAAAAAAGAAATCACTTGGGACTGATTTCTCTTTTAACGAGAAATTTTCCTGTTTTTTTCACAAAATGTTTTTAACATTTAGATCAATGTTGTGCATGATAAACATGCCGTGTATGTTTTAAGATGAGCAAATTAGCAAAGTGGATACACATTCTTATTGTCAGGTTTGTGACAGTAACTCCATATTAAAATGGTTGATTCATGGAGTGATCATTTGCAATGGGTTTATTGTTTTGCTAATTAAAATATCTACACAACTGCCCAGCTTACACTTGAATTTGCTGTCAAATTATTGGTTGTTTATAATACCATTTACTTCAATTAACACAGAGATAAATTAGTTATATTCATGTCAATATTCGCTGAACAGTTTCATTGCTTACTAATGTGTTTGGATTTATTCTGGAAGATTTCTTGTATTTTGTTCAACCAACAGTATCTTGTTAACTCATGTGAAATGATTTGTCATCTGCACGTTTTGACTAAAAACACAAAAACATGACGGCCATCTTTCTTCTTCCCTTCCTGATTGTTCTTTGAAAACAATTGTCGGTGTGTTTTGCCACTTAGCTCCCATGCTAGTGGACACTAATATGCATTATATAACAGCATATATGTCCTCCAAAGACATTTGATATTTTGCAACAATTGATGCAACTCAACAAAGAAGCGATGGTTAACGAATTCAATATAAGACAAGCGAATATTACACAAGCCTAGTTTATGCACTTCACCTAATGCTAACCTTAGCTGGCAAGATACGCTAGCATTCTGCAAGTGACTTTTTCACTTCATGAGACAAAATTAGTTATTAAAAACATTTTTTTAAAATTTGTTTCTTTTTTTTTTTTTAAAACAACTTTTTTGTTGAAAAAATGATTCGTGTTCAGAAAGTTTGGCCGCAATTTTACATTTTTTATGTGCAGAGTTTTTTTTATGATTGGAAAATTGTGGAACAGACACTCTGCAATATCTCCTCGTCTCTCGGTGAAAGATCTGGACTAACGACAGATATTTAGCACAGATTAAGTGCATTTAGCATCAAACCAGATGCTTTTCCTCGACCTCACAGCCAAAACCCATGCTAGGTTAGCAGAGCTGCTAACGGCTTCTTTACGCTGAGCTAAGAAACTGAGATATGACATATTGGAAATGAGGCCAAAGGGCAAAGGAGGCTCTCATTGGAGGGGACGGATATCTGAAACCTGACACATCAGTAAATAGCTTGAGCAGAAATGTCATAAACAATTATTTCTAGCCTGTTAATAATTACAATCCAATAATCAGATTATAGTTATGTACGTAGCATAATGACTGTCATTCTCTGGCAGCACACACAAGCTACCAGATTCTGATACATTTTATTGGTCAAAATGCATTGATATGTTTGATTGATAATTGATCTGGTTATGCCTCTTTCTAAAACCGAATTAAAAAGCAGCTCATAAAACAGGACTCAGCAGTTTGGCCAACAAAAATAAAATCTAAAAAAGAAATTTTGCTCTTCTTGAGCAACTCTCTACATCAGTGTAACAGTTTGATCTACAAAATAAATGAAAATTATACTTTTCACATCTAACAGAGCTTGAGCTTCTCACTGATAATAATTCAGCAACTTACCAAACATGAGCCATAAAAAACACTGAGGCAGAAAAAGCCTTTTTTTTTTTTTTTTTGATTTTCAGCCACAAACATTTAACTAAAATGTCTATAATATGTGTTTCTGTCTCTGATGCTCTGCAGCCTGATGTCCCTGCATGGACTCATGTGTTTACAACAGACACTACAGTAATATACAGTATCAGAATGTGAATTAACTAACTATAAAAGCAGGTTTTTATCATATAGACTGAGAATTTAAACATCTTAACAAGTTTCAGATGCATTCAGTACGATACGTCTCCACGCAATGTACTGTGAAACCCGTTTCAAACAGCAAAACTTTTCACTCATTTATTTTCAAAACTCTCCTCAAGCCCTTTTCTTTTCATGTCTGCTAACCATTAACATTATAGTGTGGAAATGATAAGGGAAAAAAAAAACAGAAAAAAAAAAAAAAAGGAAGCGGCGTTATGAACGTGCTGCGGTGCGCCTTCAAAAAAATTTTCGCAACTGTGGTAAAATTATTGGGAAGAATGTGACTGTCTAAAATATTAGGGGACATGTCCCCCCCTCGTCCTCCCGGTTCCTACGCCTATGCAACCGGATCAGGTTAAAGATCAGTGTATGCTGCAGGTCTGACTGATATCATTGTTAGAGGATTATTCTGCGAAAAAATACATTTTTCATTCTTCTTCCTTTCTCAGAAACAGACGCTGCTCAATGAAACAACAGAAACTTTTTTTCACTCTCCGTACATTTTTAGATTCTTCTTAAATCTATTTAAACTCCAAGCTATTTCACAATGTCTGATCTCATATATCTATGACAGGTGAGATCATTCTCACCCAACACTTGTTTTTAGATGAAAAGGGGATTTTTACGTTTTTTTTTTTTTCACAGCAGAAACTCAGTGCTGTGATGTCAGTGTTTAAAATAAACGTTGCTCCGTCTTCCTCATTTAAAATGTTGATCCTGTTTCAGACGGCTCCATTTCTCTAGAGACGTTTCAGGGTCTGCATGTTATGAAAGGGAGATTTTTGGACCAAAGCAGAGCAACACAAGGTTCCAGGTTGAGGTCAGGATGAGGAACAGCTCAGCCAGTGTTCTGGTCTCACTCTGTAAGTAGATCAACTTTATCTGTGTGAATGATGCAGATTAGAAGAACGTCGTCTTTCACATCTTGTCTGCTGCAATATCTACTTTATCTTCCATTGTATTTGTTTAGCTTTATTTAGTGTAACCATTTGTTCTTGATGTGTTTGCTGCGACTTCAAACAGGTTATTTCAGTGACAAATTAGGAACACAAACATTTTGAAAAACTGTTTTCTGTAAAATCAGACGTTAGCACAGATCTTTATATCCTATAAAAACAATGTGGAGCAATGAAAATATTATATAGCAAAGATGAAAAATGAGACATGATGTGATACAAGAGCCTCAATGATTCATTAAAAACTTTTATCACTTTTTAACCAGTAGAGATGAGTCAAGTTTTTGTAGCTGTGCAAAACGTCTGCAGATGTTCTGTCTTCAGTCAGGATGTGAAGTTTAGAAAATGAAGTTTTAACTCATCAGAAAATCAAGTGTGAACTGAAATATTTTATCTTATTCTTATCAGAACAAATAAATACTCACTATTTTTATCATAGTTGCATTTATTTAACAGGTAAATGGAGTCAAAGCTGAATGTGAGAGTTTGGCAAATATTTTTGATTTAATTTGATTTATTATTAATGCTGATGAACTTTCAGACTTTATTTCAGTGCTGAACACACTCCTCTGCTGTGGACGAGCTCATGGTAACTTCTGCTTTTAATCTGTATTTTAATAATTTATCCTCTCAGGAACATAATACAGTTTATCTTTTATATCAGATATTATTCTGTGTTTATGTGTTAATTTTTAAATTAATATGTATTTGTTATAAATCAAAAGAGAAACGTGCTGAATGTTGGTTCTGTTACAGATCCTGTGCTGACTATTGAGCCCAAATGGTCGACTCTTTATTTTGGACAGATTGTTACATTTATCTGTCACATGAATGAAGGAAGAGACGATGACTGGTTCTACCTGTTAAAAAGGAATGGGGAAGATTTGTTTCCATTTAGAGAAAACGTTTCAGAGTTAAATCTCTACCTACTGGTTATAGTGGTGAATATCGTTGCTGTGGTCTGTGGAAGTGGGGTTCAACTTTCCCAAAGTGCAGTAAAACTCTCACTGTTCTGTCTCAGGTAAGACCTGAATATTTTAAAGAATCACAAATGTTCATATGACTGTTAGCTGTAAAAAACATGCATTTTCTAATTATTTTATAATTTCGATCAGATTATTTTGTTGATAAAATAGTGTCTGAAAAGTTACACATACATAATTACTGGGTTTAATTTTTATAAAGTTAACTGAGCCACAAGTTGAAAAAAAGCAACAAAACAAAGAAAATATTATTTACCTTGATGTGAATAAATAGATTTACTTAATTGTAGAGTTAATCACATTATCTTTTCAGAAGAGAGAATGAACCCTTTTATGTTATTTAATGAAACAAATTCAAACATGTTTTTTTCTTTTTTAATTTCTAAAAAGTATCTATATAAAGAAAAGATGAAAATAAAATGCACTGACACATATTTATTGCTCTGAAAGAAGCATCATTCTTTACTACAAGCTTTTAATTGCAGTTTTTTATATAAAATCAAATATTATGTTTTTGTTTTTATAATTGCAGACAATCCCAAAGCCAATCTGACAGCAGGTTCAACAACCATACCAGTAGGGGGCAATGTGACCCTGAGATGCTCAGTGAAGCCCTCTGCTGGATGGAAATACAGATGGTTCAGACGAACCGAAAACACACATGAAGTTCAACTCACTGATAAAGAAAACAGAGATATTAATGTAACACAAGGAGGAATCTACAGATGTCATGGAACGAGAGAAAAGCCCTCATTCTACAGTCGTTCAAGCAACGAGAAAAACATTAAAATAATGTGTAAGTTTGTTTTTTAAGACTGTCAGAAACAACAACTATGAAATTAAATTTCTCATTTGATTTAATGTTTCTCTTCATATCTAATGTAAACAGTTTCCAACCAGGTTTTTGTGACTCGACAACCAAACTGGCCTCATATCATCAGTGGTGAGTCGATCACTCTGACATGTGAGATCCAGGGAGGACAAACCACTGAGTGGACGTGTGACTGGATGAGAAACGAGTCAATAATACTGAGGACAGACAGTAAACGCTGGACTTTCATTGTCTCTGAGTCCAGCAGTGGAGACTACAAGTGTCGGTGCAGAAGAAGAGACGACTTGTTTTCTTCAACAAGGAGGAGTGAAACTATAACAGGTGATTTAATGGTTCGTTTTTTTATGAGAAGATTGTAGAACAAAATGTTTCCCTCAAATGTTGGATTCAATGAAGTTTCTTCCTTGGACAGACCAGAGTAAATCTGACTCGTCCTCATCTGAGTTATAAATTTTTAACTGCAGAACAAAAGGAGCAGTTTTTGTTCACTTCCTTTAACAAGTTACAATAATAACACCATAAGTGTTGCTATGTGCACATTGCTCCCAAAGTTGTTCTTCTAGGTATCTAAATAATAAATCAGATGTGTGTGTGGGTGTTTTCTATGTACTCCAGATATTTAATTTGAAGTTTCATTTGAGAAATGGCACATCTGGACAACAACTGGACAACGTCTGATAATTAAACTTCAAATGACTGTAACTCCTCATTGATTCAACATACAATCATCACTGAGGCTCTAATGAAAGATAGTAACCAGAGAAATGTATTATAATTATAGACATATCAACACAATATAATAGTAGTTTACAGTTTTGTGCTTTGCACAAATGAAAGTCAGAAAAATGACCTCCACCCTTATTAAACCCACCAGTAGGGAAACATCTGTCCTGTGAGTGGAACAGATGTTTTTATTGTCAACACATAGAATCACAATTTAACAACATCAAGCAAAAGCTGCAGTTTGTAATTTTATAAGCAAACTAATAAAATGTTTCATAATAAAATGAGGACCAGCATGAATTTTTCCTGGTGTTTTGTTTTTCCAGTAGTATCCAGTCCTGTCAGCTCTTCATTTCCTGTCATGCTGATCGTTGGACCAGTCAGTGGAATCATTCTCATCGTCCTCCTGCTCTTGTTGTGTCTCTGCAGACGGTCCAAAGGCGAGAACAATTTCCTCTCATTTCATTGTCTCTGGCCTGAAATAAAGTGTTATTGAATCACATGTATTGAAATATGACTTTTGAGATACGGTTCATCAATTTAATTCTGTTGTCCATGATCTAAATGTCTTTTTTTATATTCTCCAGATTTGTGCTGCTTCAGGTCAGGATGAAATATCTGTTCTTTCATCTTTGTCATGAACCCTTGATCTTTGTTTCATAGTTAAATTTGATCCACTTTAATGTTTTCAGGTTATTTCAGTCTGAAAGCAGCAGCCAGAGTCCGGCCACTAATCCTGGAGAGAACCAGATTGAAAGTCATTACAGCTCCCTGCTGCATGGTGAGTCACACGACAAACATCAGTATTCATTTGGACATAACATCACTATGTTCTCAATTATTTCTTCATCATTACACAGTTATAAACTGTATACAAATGTAAAAAAGTGTCTACTTCAAGAGTAATTCCTTTTGACAAAAAACACAACACCACAGTGTTAAAAACCTGAATATTTTGTTTGCTGAACTTAATGTTTATGTCAGAATTAATCTACAGATATTCTGGTTCTGCTGCTCAGTATTACAACATGTAATTATATTATTACCATGAGTTTGATTAATAAAACAATTCATAGTTGTAACAAACTGACAATCATCCCCATCAGAAATGAGAGGAGCCATAGTATCCAAGAAGGTACAAAATAGATCTTATTATTTTACATAATTTCATGCAGATACCAGCTTTTCCTTTTTTTTGACATTTTTTTTCATATTTACTGGAGGCACCATGTCTGTGTATGAGACAATCCATAACCGAGGAGCCACAGGAAACGGTAACGTATAAGTACTAAAACTGCCAAGTAATTGAAGCTGACTGATTACATGTGGATCAGATCAATACTCACAGTCATATTAAACTATTCAAACATATGAGGAGAATCACTAATGTATGTCTTCTATGTATCCCTGTTTCACTTTTACCAGAGAGACCTCGTGATTCAGAAGACGGCTCAGTTTACGTGAATGTGAGGCCAGATAATTACAGCTCAGCATGAAGGTCAGATAAACACCTGACTTGATTACATTGTTGCTGATCAGTTTTTCTACAATTGGGAAAATTTGCCGCCACATTCAGCAGTTCTAATAAGAGTTGTGCTGTTTATTTGTGAATTCATGTCTGTATCGCATCTGTCTTTTCTTCTGTAACAGTACTTTCTTATTCTGACAATGATAACATGATGTTTTTAATTAAAGTATAACGTGGCTCCAGTTTCTGACTTAGACTTTGGTTTAGGATAAATAGTATCATCTTTCAATTAAAGTCTTTATTGTCTGGTGGGTTTATTCTACATTTTTAAAGCAGACTTTTGAAAAGTATTAAGCAGCAAATGTTTCTCATACACTTTTTCTGACATATTATATCAGCAGAAGTATTAGGTTTATTTGAAAATAAAAAATACCTTCTATGTTTACAGGAAACTGGAGTCCAGCAGCAACAGATGCTCCAGTTTGTTCTCTGGTTAATAAAAGCTGTGGATAACTCTGTTGGTTTATTCTGCAAGAGTTCAACTCTTAACATTTGATTTTTGTCGTTTTATGATGTGATGATCACATTTTTGCAGCTTTACAATGTGGCACATGTATTAATGTTACATCTCTGCAATAGTCAAAAGTGTTTTACATTTGCATTTGTGTTCAAATGTTAATTAGCTAAAGATGCAAACATCTGAGGTTTGCAACATCCCAGTGAGAAAAAAACAAAAGATTAAAATGACAAACTCCTTTCTTACTTATGCAACATTTGTAGCTTTTACAACTTTTCTGTTCATAATAAATAGAAAATTGTGACCCAGTTTGTATGTTGGTGCCTGTTTTTCTAGAAACGTGCAAAAGTATACAAATGTACAAATGTATAAACATGAATAAATAACATTGTCTCTACAACACAGTGACGTTATTGATGTGTTCATTGAATAGTAGGTAATGTTTCCTAATGGTCTTTATTGTCTTACTGCAGCACAAACAAATGAGAAAATGAACGATTTAACATTAATTGTAAATTAAATGTAATATTTTAATAAATCACATTTTGGATTCTGAAGGTTTACAGCCAGCAGCCAGCAGATGGCGACATTAAGTCACAGTTTTCCAAGTTATCAGTCCAGAAAATGGCCGTCAGTTCAATCATGTTAAAAAAAAAAAAGAAAAAAAAAGGCTAAGAGTTTAATAAAATTGTTTTTTTATTTTCTGCTCTTTCTAGGTTCTAATTATCAGTAGGAAAATAAAACAACACCAATGCTTTTTTTATTTTATTTTTACAATATTGTTATTTTTAGATGTAAAATTAAAACAGTTGGACATGCAGCACCTGATACAAAATCAATTGAAGTGCGAAGTAAAGAAAAGAGTGTTTTACTTTATGTCCTGATAACAACAGTGAACATTATTTCATCTGTGAATCTTCTGTCAGTGACTTGTGCTTACAGATAGTAGCCAGCAGGTGGTGCTATTAAGCACTAAATTTCTTTCATCGTTACAGAAAAGTGCTGCGTGTCCGGTGATCCATCCAGGAAGAAAACTTGTGTGTCTGCAGGATTCTGCTGCTTCACATGATCCTGCTCCATCCAGTCTGATTGGCTGGAAACGGCAGCAGAACATCTCACAAATCCATCAACAAGCTCAACATCCTCTTCCTCACTGACAACGCAGTTGCTGCCTGCAGCTGCAACAACCATGTTATTTTAGCACCAGCAACAATTCAGAGAGCCTTGAAACACATCTGATTTCTTCTGAAACTAGAATGAATGGGACAATTTTTAGTGGCAGACCCAAACTCTGAAACAATGGCCTGCAGTCTGTATCCACAAGCCTGCCACCAGAGGGCGATGCTGAGTCGTCATATCATTAAAGAGAACTTCTGCTTCTTTGGTCAACACTTCTTGAGCAGCATGCCACTGAAGATGAACTTCAGCACGTTCGCAGTTGTATTTATAGAGTTTCTGCAGGACACTCTGCAAGCTCAGTGGAAGATCTGGACTGAAGTGAAATATTTAGTATAGAAAACTGCAAATTAAGTACCATAGAAAAACAAATGCTTTTCTATGACCTCACAGCCAAAAACCATGCTGGTTTAGCAGAGCTGCTAACGGCTTTTTCATGCTAAGTTAAGAAATGAATATAAGATATATTGCACATGAGGCTAAAGTTAGGATCAGGTTAAAGGTCAGTGAATGCTACAGGTTTGACTGATATCATTGTTAGAAGATTACATGAAGAAAAGAAAATTTTCCATCCTTCTTCCTTTCTCACAAACAGACGCTGCTCAATGAAACACATAAACTGTTTTTCACTCTCCGTACATTTTTAGAGTTTCTTCTTAAATCTATTTAAACGCCTAACTTTTTCACAATGTCTGATCTCATGTCTGACTATCTACGCCAAAGACCTTATATATCTATGACAGGTGAGATCATTCTCACCCATCACTTGTTTTCGGAAGAAAAGGGGATTTTTACTGGTTGTTTGTCAGTGAGTTCACACGCAACACAAACCAATTAGTGCATTAAACATTTAAACTATTCGTGTGCTACAATGATCCTGCTTACAGTTTATTCAAAGTAAATTCTATTTTTTTATTAACCTTTCTGTTAAAAAAAAAAGAAAAAAAGAAAAGAAAAAAGAAGTCTGGTTCTTATTTTACCACAACTTCTCAACATTGCAACCGAAACTTCACAGCAGACACTCAGTGCTGTGATGTCAGTGTTTAAAATAAACGTTGCTACGTCTTCCTCATTTAAAACGTTGATCCTGTTTCAGACGGCTCCATTTCTCTAGAGACGTTTCAGGGTCTGCATGTTATGAAAGGGAGATTTTTGGACCAAAGCAGAGCAACACAAGGTTCCAGGTTGAGGTCAGGATGGGGAACAGCTCAGCCAGTGTTCTGGTCTCACTCTGTAAGTAGATCAACTTTATCTGTGTGAATGATGCAGATTAGAAGAACGTCGTCTTTCACATCTTGTCTGCTGCAATATCTACTTTATCTTCCAATGTATTTTTGACGCTTTATTTAGTATAACCATTTGTTCTTGATGTGTTTGCTGCGACTTCAAACAGGTTATTTCAGTGACAAATTAGGAACACAAACATTTTGAAAAACTGTTTCCTGTAAAATCAAAGTTTAGCACAGAACTTTATATCCTATAAAAACAATGTGGAGCAATGAAAATATTATATAGCAAAGATAAAAAATGAGACATGATGTGATACAAGAGCCTCAAATGATTCATTAAAAACTTTTATCACTTTTTAACCAGTAGAGATGAGTGAAGTTTCTGTAGCCGTGCAAAACGTCTGCAGATGTTCTGTCTTCAGTCAGGATGTGAAGTTTATAAAATGAAGTTTTAACTCATCAAAAAATAAAGTGTGAACTAAAATATTTTTATTCTTATCAGAACAAATAAATACTCACTATTTTTATCATAGTTGCATTTATTTAACAGGTAAATGGAGTCAAAGCTGAATGTGAGAGTTTGGCAAATATTTTTGATTTAATTTGATTTATTATTTAATGCTGATGAACTTTCAGACTTTATTTCAGTGCTGAACACACTCCTCTGCTGTGGACGAGCTCATGGTAACTTCTGCTTTTAATCTGTATTTCAATAATTTATCCTCTCAGGAACTGAATCCAGTTTATCTTTTATATCAGATATTATTTTTTGTTTATGTGTTAATTTTTAAATTATTGTGTATTTGTTATAAATCAAAAGAGAAACGTGCTGAATGTTGGTTCTGTTACAGATCCTGTGCTGACTATTGAGCCCAAATGGTCGACTCTTTATTTTGGACAGATTATTACATTTATCTGTCACATGAATGAAGGAAGAGACGATGACTGGTTGTACCAGTTAAAAAGGAATGGGGAAGATTTGTTTCCATTTAGAGAAGATAAACGTTTCAGAGTTAAATCTCTACCTACTGGTTATAGTGGTGAATATCGTTGCTGTGGTCTGTGGAAGTGGGGTTCAACTTTCCCAAAGTGCAGTAAAACTCTCACTGTTTCTGTCTCAGGTAAGACCTGAATATTTTAAAGAATCACAAATGTTCATATGACTGTTAGCTGTAAAAAACATGCATTTTCTAATTATTTTATAATTTCGATCAGATTATTTTGTTGATAAAATAGTGTCTGAAAAGTTACACATACATAATTACTGGGTTTAATTTTTATAAAGTTAACTGATCCACAAGTTGAAAAAAAGCAACAAAACAAAGAAAATATTATTTACCTTGATGTGAATAAATAGATTTACTTAATTGTAGAGTTAATCACATTATCTTTTCAGAAGAGAGAATGAACTCTTTTATGTTATTTAATGAAACAAATTCAAACATGTTTTTTTCTTTTTTAATTTCTAAAAAGTATCTATAAAAAGAAAAGATGAAAATAAAATGCACTGACATATTTATTGAAACATAATTCTTTACTACAAGCTTTTAATTGCAGTTTTTATATAAGATCAAATATTATGTTTTTGTTTTTATAATTGCAGACAATCCCAAAGCCAATCTGACAGCAGGTTCAACAACCATACCAGTAGGGGGCAATGTGACCCTGAGATGCTCAGTGAAGCCCTCTGCTGGATGGAAATACAGATGGTTCAGACGAACCGAAAACACACATGAAGTTCAACTCACTGATGAAGAAAACAGAGATATTAATGTAACACAAGGAGGAATCTACAGATGTCATGGAACGAGAGAAAATCCCTCATTCTACAGTCGTTCAAGCAACGAGAAAAACATTAAAATAATGTGTAAGTTTGTTTTTTAAGACTGTCAGAAAACAACAACTAGGAAATTAAATTTCTCATTTGATTTAATGTTTCTCTTTATATCTGATGTAAACAGTTTCCAACCAGGTTTTTGTGACTCGACAACCAAACTGGCCTCATATCTTCAGTGGTGAGTCGATCACTCTGACATGTGAGATCCAGGGAGGACAAACCACTGAGTGGACGTGTGACTGGATGAGAAACGAGTCAATAATACTGAGGACAGACAGTAAAGACTGGACTTTCATTGTCTCTGAGTCCAGCAGTGGAGACTACAAGTGTCAGTGCAGAAGAAGAGACGACTTGTTTTCTTCAACAAGGTGGAGTGAAACTATAACAGGTGATTTAATGGTTTGTTTTATTTAATTGTTTTTTTTTTTTACTAATTGTAAATGGTAAATGATAATGGTAACAGCTATATGCACCTGGTCCCAGAAGTGTTTTTTTTGTGTTTGTTTTTTCATAAAACACACAACTCCTATGAGTTAATAAATAGTTTATTACTGAGTATTTTTAGTCAGAGTGCACGTTAAAGTGACTTTTTGGTGAGCTTAGATTACTCAGATCGTTGTTGTGACATCAGTTTGGATGCAACCTGGTCTGAGCTGTGAGGATAGATCAACAATTTCTTCACAGAAATTTGGTACAACATCCTAACTTCTGCTGTTTGAACGGATTGACTGGATGCAGCGGGATATGTTTTTTTAAGGTATATTAATGTCCACTCAAATCCATTTTAGTTTCAAACAGAAATTACACCTTTTCTCAACGGTGCTTTCAAACTTTCAATGGTCTGATCAAACAATGAATTTATCAAATAAGTCTGAAAAACATAAAAGGAATGACAAGGTTATTTGTTCATAAAATATTTCATAATTTATGTGTTTAAAGATTGAAATATTTTTTTTTTCAGATGAATAAAGTCTGTTTCCACTTCATGTTTCTTATTTCCAGTAACTGTGTCCAGTTCTTCACATCTTGTGCTGCTGATCGTTGGACCAGTTGTTGGATTTATTTTCGTTATTCTCCTCATCCTGCTGTGCTTCTGCAGACGGTCCAAGGGTGAAGCCTTTCTTTTTATTTTATTTTATTTTTTGCTCAACTAACTAAGTACACAAATTTGCTTTGATTTTATCATACAAAGAAAGAAGAAAGATTTCTCAGTTAATGTAACGGCAAATCTCTTTTTCACAGGTTTATTTGCTCCAGGTTAGTTTCTCACATTTTAATTTATTTGTATTAATAACAGTTTTTTTTTTCTGATTTATGTATTAAATTGACTGACTATTTTCTAGCAGAACTGATGGAGTCGACCAGGCTGGCGGTCATGAATACAGCTCTCCTCTTCAGGGTTAGAACCTCAACAAGTTTTTAGTGAATGAAAATTAGTGCTTATATCGTGTTTCCATTGTTCTTAGACTTTTATTTCTTTCATGTTATTTCTATGATCTTATACTTATATGTTGATATAAAATCTTGTTTTCATTTTTACATGAAACAAAACATGTTTGGCGATGAAAAAATAAGCAAATATATGATTAAAAAGCAATAGTAAAATAAATTAATTGTCTGGTAAATATAGGGGTTTTATAATCGGCTTCTTTGGTTTAGATCCTCACTTATAAGCAGCTCAAAGTCCAACAACTGTGTTATTTAACGAGGATCTGTGACTGATAAATAATTCATGTGTTTGAGCTGCAGATAAACTCAAAATGAATGGAAATACTTTGAGTTAAATAATTATTTCCAAACACAAACAACTTACAACATCACCAAATAGCCGACACTGGTTTTAGATTTTTGATTTTGATTTTATTTATTATGAGATAATCTCACTATGAAGGCCTCGAGAACCAGAGGGTGGCGCTGTCTCTTTGAAAGAGACGACAGGTTTTGTTTTGAAGCAAATCCTCAGGGAGTTGGATTTGAAATCATGCTACGCCACAGTTATCATCACCAGTAGAAAACGACACAGTATGAAGATTTTTAGTTTGTCTGATTGATGATTTCAATGTTTTCTGTTGTAGAGGTCACTCCAACATATGCTGAGATCAACCACAAGGCTAAAGCCAAAAGAAAGAATAAAGGTAAAGACATATTGTTGTAGCGTTGTTGTTGTTGTTGTGTATCATCATAACTAACGTGCATCATCATTGTCTCGTTGACAGAAAGGAAAAGTCCTACAGCCACAGATAAAACGGTTTATTCTGGCATCAGGTCAGGAGCAGCTCTGGACGTCGACTCTGCCATGTAGGCTGTAGGATGTTTTGGTTTATAACAGGATTTATGATGTGAATTAAGTTCATAACATTCTTATGTGCTCTGGTTACACGTCTTCAAAAAACCTGTTACAGCTGAATGAACAAATATTGTCTGAAACTGAAGTAGGTAAAAGAAATATCAGACACACTCTGCAGTGTGAACAGAAATGCTTTGCAAAATCCGGTGCAAATCCGGTATGATGTAGATATTTTTTAATCTAATTGACCTGGAGATCCAGGCTGCTGCCAATATTTTGAATTTGGTCTGTTGCTGTTTCATATCCTCCATCAGTTTTATTTTTTCTTTTTGCTTTACTAACTTTTATAACGTCAGGTTCGGTTTTAAAAGAGTGACGGCACCCTGCATACTAAATTCACTTTTGAGCTGAAGCAAAATAGTCTTTAAAAAATCAAATATTCTCTCACACTTTTCAATTGTTAACTTGTAAATATAAAACTCTTGTCTGATTTTTTGCAATATCACGTTTGCCTTTATGACACAAGCAATGCTGTTGATTTGTATTTTTATTTCATTTGTTGTAGCTTTTTAAACATGTATTTGTTAAAAATAACCTGTTATGTATCAAATACATAACTCGATTTAAAATGTAAAATTGAAGCGAGTGGACTGCCCACTAAAAACTTACAGTTACATTCATGTGTATTATGCTTCTCAACTTCTACTTTGCAGCTGAATGTGCAGCCAGAAGTTTGGACATCATGTTTTTATATGTAATCATTGCTCTTTTACCTTCATTTTTATAATAAACTTTGTTATTGAAATGCAAAATAATCTGTTTATTTCCCAGATAAAGTTATATTTTCTCTTCTGTAGGTTTACTTTAAACATCATTAAATGGCCCACTGCGGTACAAATACAAAACAAAAAAATCACAAATAATAAGTGGCAGATCATTTCAACTTGTTTCAGGTATTTACTGCTGAGTAGATGAGACACAGAAACAAATCCTGCCACAAAAGATGAGAATAACTTATACACTGGCGCCTCAGTGAAACAACTACAAATTAAACAGATATGTATCTTTCTGGGGTTCCTACCTAATTGGTGCTCCTACAGCAGATGTAGAGGTTACTTGATTAAAATTTGAGAAGGACAGGGCTTTTAAGACAAGAACAGTCAATGGATCATCTTTTGTTTTTCCCCACATGTTCATCTACTTTAACCCATTTAATCACAATTTTTTCCATGCATGCATTTCAAGCCTTAGACCTCCCTAACATGCAATATTCATGGATTATTGCGTCTATGTAGGCTTTATAGTCTAATTTACACAGATCTGATCTGTTTACACTATAAATCTAAGAAAAAACAATAGATCTGGATGACATAGTTTCAATGTGCCAAGTGACCTTTAACCTCATTTGGGTCATTTCACCAATGGGGTTAAGTCAGGTGAAAATGTTATCATGCATATTTATGCATCCTGCTTAGTCTCGGTTCCCTCAGACTAAGCTTTTCAACAAGTAAATGACTCTGAAAATGTTTTCCCAGATCAGATGGTCCAATATTGAGGGCATCAAACACAAGAACCCCACTGCAGCCTCCAAACAGCTCAGAGAGCACATTGTTAGCTTGTTATCAGCTTGAGTCAAAGTGGACTGTGTAGCTTCTGGTATATTGTCCTTTGGTTGGATGAGCTCATAGGACAAATGTTTCATCGTAGTACACAGCACCATGTTTGGGAAAAACCAGACACAGTGTATCAGTGGTTTGCCACAGATTGTAAGTTCTCTGTGAACCACAGTTTCCATCTGTCTATATCTATAAAACATGAAATCTGCTTTGTTTTTGTCTCATCTTCTACCTCTTCTCAAAGAAACGTCTGTGTTTCCCGCTGTCTGTTGTTAGTTTAAATTATCAGTACCTCAACTTATATTAATTAATGATAATGTCTAGCACACTAAACTTGGGAACTGAAACCAGGCGCTCCGTCTTTCTTCAACCACGCCTTCTCGTCACTGGACAGGAAGCATCAGCGGCGTGAGGTGGGTGTTTAGAATCAAAGCGGACAAAATTTCATATTGTTATGAAGGAAACATCCTGACTCCCGCTGCTCTTTGTCTCTACAGACATTACAAACTCGCCTCTTCTGAAAACCAAGGAGAAAGCAGAACGGCATTGTTTGGTCTGAATTTCAAAACGGGGAAGACGATGCGTTACGCGCTGGACTTATTGTGTAAGTAGATCACTTTTTTTGTTTTGATAGGAAAAAAATTAAAGGGAGAAAGTGGATGTTGGATTTCAGAAATCTACTCCTCAATTATTAACGTCAACAATTTCCCTTGTGCTGCCATTCCAGTTGTCTTTTTAGCGTGAAGTGTTTATTAATTAATGTTACCTGTGCTCTGTTTTCACAATAAACTGGAATTTAACAAAATTTTATAGATTTTTAGAGGTAGCATTGTCAACCCGGCTGCAAAGATTTTAATCAACAAACAAACAAAAATAATGAAAAATGTGACATGAAGCGAAGGGTGAGATGTATTACTCGGAATAAATATATTTTTAAGTAGCAGTGGGAGTGAATTTCCAGAAGCTGTGCAGGATATTTTGAGATCTCTGACTCATAATCAAGATGTGAAGTTTCTCAGGAAAATGCAGAAGTTTGTGATGATCTCATCAGCCAGAAAAAAAGAAAAGAAATCTTAACCATCTGATGTCATGCTGATGAACAAAAAAAGAGAGACCTTCTACATAATCAGCAACTTGTTTGTCTCTTTAATGTTCACATCATTTTAATTTCTTCTTAGTACTGAACATGCTCTGCTGGGGTGGACAAGCTCAAGGTAAGTCAGTATTCTTTGTTCGCATTTTTTCATGTCACACTGAGATCTCACTGCTCCATTAGTGAACGTTTACACGTGTTAAATGTTTGTGTTGTAGATGTTGTGCTGACAACTGAGCCCAACTGGTCCACGTTTTATTTGGGAGAGTCTGTTACCTTCAGATGTTACGTGAACGGAGGAGAAGAGACGAACTGGGAATACAAAATCACCAGGAGGAGTGAAGATACTTTTGCCTACGACTTACAGAAAAGCTACACGCTAGAAGACCTGAAGATCACTGAATTCCAGTGCTCTGCTCGCAGGAGAGGAGTCTATAAAAAGAGCAAAACTATCTATTTGATTGTTTTAGGTAAGGTTAAAGGGATTTTTTACATCTTATCATTGGTTATTACCATTTTTACAATTACATAAAGAAAACATTTGTAATGTAATGCACTTAAATTCTTATTTTCTGGCTGGAAAGAGAAAATCAATTGACAATGTTGGATTTTCCTTGTGCTGCGCAGTTGGTACCACTGTTGCCTTGCAGCAAGAAGGTCCTGGGTTCAATTCCCGGCTTCACACCAGTAGTAGGGTCTTTGCATGTTCTCCCTGTGCATGTGTGGGTTTTTTTCCAGGTTCTTTGTCTTCCTCCAAAAACCTGACTGCTAGGTTAATTGGTCTCTCTAAATTATCTCTCTTGTCTCCACTGGGGACAAAAGTGTCAGAAAATGAATGGATGGATTTTCCGCCACCTTGTGGTGTCAGTGAAGTAGTGCATAAACACAACAGAAATAGACAAACAGAAGCATAAATGACCATCAGTTGTTATTTGTTAGTTTAAACGTAACACTGGGTTCATTTACAAGGCGAATAAATCTGTAAAAATTACACATGTTTACTGTGAGAGCTTGGATAAGCAGTTGCTGTTCTTGTTTAATTGTATTATTTCTTGGGATCTGGAGAACATATTTTTTTTCTATTAATTTTCATAAGGGAAGTTAAATCAGTACATTCTGCCACCCATTGCTTTGTTAATGTGTAACTAACTTGATCGAGATATGTCGTAAAATGTTAGAAGACATTTAAAATAAATAAATAAAATGTACTATTTTTTGATTCGTTGTTTTTCAAAACAGCGGAGAAACCCAGAGCTACGCTGACAGCAGGTCCAACAACCATACCAGTAGGGGGCAGTGTGACACTGAGATGCTTGATAGAGAGCTCCGTTGGACGGAAATACAGATGGTTCAGACTGATTTCAGGCACCTCTGAAGAGATCAGCACAGGTCATGAAGAAAACAGAGCCATCACTGTGAAACAAGGAGGAATCTACTGGTGTGAAGGACAGAGAGAAAAACCACCATTCTACAGCCGACCCAGCCACGACGTCACCGTTAAAAAAACTTGTGAGTTTTGTGTCTTGAAAGCAGTTACAAAACTGTAAGAAATTAAGTCAACTTAATCTACTTAAGCAATGCTTCTCATGTGATTTTATGTTTTTGTTCAGACACAACTAATATTATTATTCTGTAAACAGTATCCAACAAGGTTGTAGTGTCCTGCCAGCCAAACGGCCCCCATATCATCATTGGTGAGACGATCACTCTGACATGTGAGGTCCAGGGAGGAGAAACCGCTGCGTGGGTTTGTGACTGGAGGAGATCTGGGTCATTCATACACAGGACATGCAGTAAAGACTGGACTTTCAGAGTCTCTGAGTCCAGCAGTGGAGACTACATTTGTCATTGCAGGAGAAGAGACGACTGGTATGCTTTGACAAGGTGGAGTGAAAATATCACACTGTCTGTATCAGGTAAGTTAGGTTTGTTGTTGTTGTTGTTTTTTTACCTCTAAAATAAAAAAAAAGAAACTAATTCAATATCTAACAGCATTTTGAAAATCTTGTTCAAAAGTGGCCAAAACCAGAAAATGGATGAATATTTTCTTAAATGTTAATTGATACTGTATAATTCTTACACATGCTAATCTGTCAAAAACATTTGATTTGGGTTTTTTCATGGAAACTGAATGTACTCAATTAAATTTTCTCACATGACTTCTTGTTTCGCTTCATATTTCATGTAAACAGTTTCCAAGAAGGTTTTTGTGACTCGACAACCAAACTGGCCTCAGATATTCAGTGGTGAGTGGATCACTCTGACATGTGAGATCCAGGGAGGAGAAACCACTGAGTGGACGTGTGACTGGAGGAGAGACGGGTCGGTTATCCTCAGGACAGACAGTAAAGCCTGGACTTTTAGAGTCTCTGAGTCCAGCAGTGGATGTTACATGTGTCAATGTAGAAGAAGAGACGACTGGTTTTCTTCAACAAGGTGGAGTGAAACTATCAAACTGTCTGTTGCAGGTAAGTTATGTTTGTTAGAGCTGTAGAGCTGCCATGAAAAACAAGGTTGCTTGTAAAAAATAAAAATAAGATCTTCTTAAGACCTTCCTACTTCTGTAAGTGTAAGTGTTTTCCACACAGACTGTGTTGGGGAAACTCCTGCACCAATCTGGATGTTGGCAAACCTCTATCTTAATTGTGGCGAGCCAATGAAAGGTGGACTTGCTGGTGGACTTTGGATTATTGCATAAGCCAAATAGACTTGAGCTTGATGTCAAAAACTGATGATCAGATCTTCTGCCTTTCTGCAAGTTAGTCAGGTTCTGGACTAACAATCCAGCCTGAGACAATTACTGTCATCATCATGGTGGCTTTGCATGACGTTCTTTATCCAAAATGTTGTGTTAGGTGTACTTCAAATGTAACTGGAAACATTCTAATAGATAAGAGGACGTTCTAAAAATCTGTTTCTTCAGCAAATTTGAGATAGTCATTTACTCTCTTTGAAGCGTTCTTTGTTTTTTGTATTTCCCTGAAAGATGCTTTGAAAATAAAATGTGCTTCCCTGTGTATTTATTTATTTGTTGTCAGTAGTGTATTGGGTCTCAGAACTCTTTCATATATGCTATTTATTTCTCTTTAATCACAGGTAGACCAAAGGTCCAGTTGAGTGCCAACAGCCTGGAGATACCAAGCAGAGTAACTCTGACCTGCTCAGTGACTCCATCATCTATTGGCTGGAAATATTACTGGTACAGAGATGAGAAACCTGATGAACCTCTGATGACACAAGAACCCGTTTTCTCTCCAAATGAACTGATGGGTGTCTCAGAGAAAAGCCTGCACTGGTGCAGAGGAGGAAGAGGAGAACCAGTGTACTACACAGACTACAGCGATCCAATCACAATCAGTAGTAATGGTGAGTTTAACTAGGCTTTGTTTCTAATACAGAGTCAAAAATGATACTGTCTGTTTTATTGTATTAAATAGTTTCCAAAACAAATTGTTTATTTTTTAATAAAGAAAATCATAACTTAACAAGTCCATGTTAATCCCGTTAAATTAAAAGTAAATTTGTTTATTGTGTTTTTCTTGTTCTGCATCTTCTCGTACAACCTTTGAGAGGAACACGACAAATACTGGGGATGATTATGAAGTTTATGATGTTTTGTTTTTCCAGTAACTGTATCCAATCCTGTCAGCTTTTCAATTCATGTGATGTTGATCGTTGGACCAGTTAGTGGAGTGGTTCTCATTGTCCTTCTGCTCTTGTGGCGGCGTCACAGATGGTCCATGGGTGAGAGCTTTTTCTTCTCATCTTATTGCTTCTTAATTCTTCCGTACATGTGGGTTTTGAAATCGAGTCAATCAATGTAAGTCTGTTGTCAATGATCCAAATTGCTTTGTCTTCTTCCTCAGATTTGTGCAGCATCAGGTGAGTATATAATATCTACACTCTCTCATCTCAGTCGCAAACTTTTCTTTCTTTCATAGTTAAATTTGATCCACTTTAATGTTTTTAGGTTATTTCAGTCTGAAAGCAGCAGTCAGAGTCCAGCCACTAATCCTGGAGGGAACCAGATTGAAAGTCATTACAGCTCCCTGCTGCACGGTTAGTCACACAATAAACATAGCTTTACTTTGTTGTAACTTTTTAGTGCAGTTTCATAAAATGTGTAAAAATGAGCTAAATGTCGATGTGAAAATCAATTGTCACAACCATAACTGCAGAATGAGCATTGCACATAAACATGTATAACTTTAATCAGATTATTTCTTTGACGTTTTTATTTATTGCAGGCACCACGTCTGTGTATGAGACAGTCCATAACCGAGGAGCCGCAGGAAACGGTAACGTATATGTACTAGTAAAATTCTCAGGAGATTTTGAAACACTAATTTATGTTTTCTATGTGTTCTTGGCAATTTCAACAGAGAATCTTCCTGATCCAGAAGAAGGTTCTGTTTATGTCAATGTGAGACCAGATAATTACAGCTCAGCATGAAGGTCAGATAAATTCCTGCCTTGGTTGTTGTCACTTATATTTTTAATTATTCGTACGTGATTAAGTGGAGGTTAATCATAAACATCCTCGTTTATATACTTTACTTGAAGCTATATTATTGTGTCATGAAGTCATGACTGTAGGCCATTTGTCTTTGTTCTCTAAAAACACTTTCTCATTCTGACAATGATAACTATTCAGTTTTTTTATTTTATTATTATTATTATTACAGTATCATGTGACTCTGGTTTCTGACTTACAGAGTGTGAGTCTGTTACCCAGCAGGTTTCTTTTGAATTTAAAGTGCACTCTTCATTTGTTTCAATCAGCAACTGTTTCTAATACACATTTTTTGAGGAGTTACAGAAAGTATTAGGAAGCCTTGTGACACATATGATCTGTGTTTGCAGGAAACTGGAGTCCAGCAGCAACAGATGCTCCAGTTTTTATTCTCAGATCAGGAAAAGTTGTGGACAACACTGCCGCCCCGCAGGCTGCTGCGTTATTCTGCAAGTCTTTGACTCATCTGATGTGTCTTCATATTTTCATTATTTGTTGTGCTGATTATTGTATTTCCCCAGATTTAAGATGCAAAAGATGTTGATATGGCTCATATGTTATAGATAAGTAAAAAAAAAATCCATAATTTATTTTTTAATAATATTTTCATTAGTTTTATGTTTTCACAAGCAGAGAAAATAGAACATTGCACACTGTGTTGTCTATCACCTTATATAAGTTTGTGATAAAGAAGAAAAACAAAAAGAAAAAAAACAACAAATAACAAAGTTTGGAAGATTCTAGTAAGATAAAACAAAATATAAACATCACCATTGTTACCCATACAGCAGCATTTGAGGCTTTCACACTTTTGCTGTGTTTGTAATAAATAGCAGACTGCAGCACAGTTTGACTATTGGTGCCTGTTTTCAATGAAACGTGCATGAGGTACAAAATGTACAAATGTGTAAAACATGAATAAATAGAGTAGTTTCAACGATTCATGGACACAGTTGGTGTTCAGGTTGTGCTCTGATTGCTGCTTTGGTGCCAATGAATGCTAAAGTATGAGAGTGAGGCCTGTGGAGCATTTCCCAGAAACCCATCAATCAGAAGACCTGCAGACTAGTGAAATGTGTTTCAGCCCAAATACATTTGAACCACACATACGTTTAGATCTCAAGTTTTAATGGGCTAACGTGTTTTTAGACCATAATGAGAAGAGCTTATGAGAGCGTGACTCCAGAGAAAAGCACTTCACACTAGAGACACAGTTGCCCCAAATGTGGGGCTTTTCCCCCCCATTATACTCCACACCCTGCCAGACAAGACAAGTTTAAAAGAGGGGATAAAAGAAAGATTGTTTAGACTAAAAACTTTCTTTCATAGTTTAAAATTTGTTTGTACTCTTTGACCTGTTAGTATAATCCAGTGGCATTCCAGGTCTGTTTGAAACAGGAAGGCCCATGTTTGGACTGTGTGAAGGTAATGCGCAGAGCAGCATGACGATCTTGTCTTCCTGTTTGCTGCAGCTCAAACTGTTTGTTGTTTTATGTTATTCATTACCATCTTTGTTAGTTTAAAGGTTTTGGGGAAGCATTGCCTATTCACACATTAAGGTATTTTATTAATTTCAGAATTTCTGTAACATTTTTTGCTATTTTTTTGCACTTCCACACTCACCCTGGTGTTTTCGTTGGGCCGTAAGCGCTGAATCTAAAGAGCACAAGTTGTTCTCACGCAGAACCTTTTTGAGCTTTTTGCACCTTTCTAAATGCAGAATACTTCACATCTTTCCCAGTGTCACTGATCTCTTATCTGCCTCTGTTCCCACCTATGGTCTTGTGTGAGATCATTCTGTCACTTGTATTTAGAGACTAAAGACAACTATAAAAATAGTCCCCTGGTTGGTTTCCCATGCTCTAGAAACCACATGCTGCTTTAGCTCGAAACAACTAATTCGACTTTATTTAAATGTTGCAATTGAATCTGTTGAAAAAAGGGGAAAATCGTTGATGTTTTTGCTTCCAGTCGTTTCTGGAGTGAGAGATTCATTTCAAATAAACGGTCAAAAGATTAAAAAAAAAAACAAGCAAAAAAAAAACAGAATCTTTAAACACTTATGCAAGCTTTATAAAATTGAATTTCTTCAAAGTCCAAAAGAAGAACCTGCTTACGTTTAATATCTGTGTCCACTTTTATTCATTCACTTATTGCCACTGATGCGTGAAACGTTTGTCTTATTTTAACCCGACCTTCTCGTCAGTGGACAGGAAAAGTCCCGGCGGTTTGTAGCAGAAACGCAGTACACAGTGATGTCAATGTCAGTAAATGAAGACCTCGTGACCTCAGTCTGAGGCGTTAAGTCTGAGGTGATCTGTTTATTTAAAGCATTTGGAGCTTGTCCCCTCATTAAAGAAAAATAAAATTGACCAAAGAGGTAAAACGCGAAGATGAGCAGCATCTCGATTTCTGTGCTGGGCTCCTTGTGTAAGTAATTACCTTTTGTGTTTGGATGGTGAAAATAGAGCAAAATATTTCAAACAAATTAAGATTGTTTAATTACAAAAGCAAGCTTTCTATTGCACCTCTTTCCTGTTGTCATAGTTTCCTTTCTCCTTTAAATATTGGTCATCCACTGATTTCATCATCACAGCAACACGGCAATTTGATCCAAAAGGTGCTGATTGTTACAAACGGCACAAACTTGTAAACTAAATATGGTGTGAATTTTGCGTTGGAAGCCTGAAAATGTTTCGTCATCAGACTCAAAGTCAGGGTGTCAAGTATTCAAAGTGCAGTTTAGGCTCATAATTCACAAAACTTAACTAACTGTGGCTTTTTGACAGAACAAAAATAATCCTGAATGTTGTCTTCAAAAGAAATGGATGCATTTTTTAAACAGAACAACAGAGTCAATGGTGAATTTGTGGATGGGACAGACTTTTATTTTATCTTAACTTCTGTCATGTTTAATATTGATAATGCCAATAAGATATCAACCTTTATTTCAGTGCTGAGAACATTTCTCTGCTATGGACAAACTCAAGGTAGCTGGACAGCTTTTAACCTTTTTTCCAATAATGTACCTCCACTTTTTTTCTTTATCATATTCTGTTATTTATCTATTTTGTTTCCATTAACAGCAGACAGACCCATGGCCACACTGAGAGTAGGTTCAACAACTATACCAATAGGGGGCAGTGTGACACTGAGCTGCTCAGTGGAGCCCTCTGCTGGATGGAAATACAGATTGTTCAGACAGACCTCAGACACACCTGAAGTTCAGGTGAGAACAAATAATGAGGGAAACAGAGACATCACTGTGACACGAGGAGGAATCTACAGGTGTGAAGGAGAGAGAGGAAGAGCAGAATCCTACAGTGGATCAAGTGACGAGGTCACCGTCCATATAAGCTGTAAGGTTTCATCAATCATTTGATCTACTCTGTAAATTTGTATATTTTTCTTGAACTGAAACAGTTAATGTATTTTTTAATGGTTCTGTTTGTTTTCCTACTGTTCATATGTGATGGAAACAGTTTCCAATGAGGTTGTTGCAACTCGACGACCAAACTGGCCTCAGATGTTCAGCGGCGAGACGATCACTCTGACATGTGAGGTGCAGGGAGGAGAAACCACTGAGTGGACGTGTGACTGGAGGAGATCTGGGTTGGCGTCTCACAGGGCATATGGTAAAGACTGGACTCTCAGGCTCTCTGACTCCAGCGGTGGAGACTACATGTGTCGTTGCAGGAGAAGAGACGACTGGTATTCTTCAACGAAGTGGAGTGAAGCCATCACACTGTTTGTGTCAGGTGAGTTTTGTTTTTTGTTGGTTTTTGAGAGTTGGGTTGAAGCAAAAGCAAGCAAAACCAGAGAGGAGCAGGGGACCTCCAGGACTGTATCAAGCAAGTAATTTTTTTAAATGCTCTGACAGTCGATCTGAAGCAAATCTAAACCACTATTTACTGCTGCCCTACCAGCAGGGGGCTCCAGGAGAGCTTACTGTTGCTGAAGACATATCTAATAAACAAAACAAAAAGACTTTATATCTTATATAGTGTAGTCCCCTATAAAATAAAAACATGAAGCTTGTTTAAAAGAAAGATTAAAGCAAGCAGATGTAGATTTTTCTATTTTATCAATTTGAAATATTCATGAGATGTTGCTCAGAGGATTTTAACTATGTAGTTTCAGCTCATGTCTGACACTCTCTATCTACACAAAACATCACACATGATTCCATCTCACCCTCCCAAACTTAAATCAAACCCTCTCCATCACATAATTCCCACAATTATGTCATGTTCTGAAAACTTACGAAGTACAATCCTGTGTGCTGGTACGTTTTTCAGTACCTTTGAGGTTTTTCTTATTTTCTTTTTTGTCAACTAGTCACCTTTCGCCAGTAACTCTTCATAATTACATAATGTAAGCCACATTATGTTTTGGGTTGTGACCTGCCTTTACCAAAATGTCTTTTTCTTGGCAGCTTTTAACAGAGTCTCAAAAAGCCCAGGCAGTTGCTCATCTTGGCCCAGTGGCTGAAGCTGCACAATAAAATCCTCAGCTTTTACTCTCTTAGCGTTTTGTATATATTAACTTAGTCTGATAGAAACATAATTTAACAACAAAGGTTTATTATAGAGTTTACCAATTTCCCTTTCTATCATCTACAGACAAACCCACAGCCAAACTGATGGTAGGTCCAACAACCATACCAGTAGGGGGCAGTGTGACCTTGATCTGCTCAGTGGAGCCCTCTGCTGGATGGAAATACAGATTGTTCAGTTGGCCCTCACACACACATGGAGTCCAAGTCAGAACTAACAATGAGGAAAACAAATATTTCACTGTGGCACAAGGAGGACTCTACAGGTGTGAAGGAGAGAGAGGAAATCCTAAATTCTACACTGAATCAAGTGATGATGTCACTATCCAGATAAGCTGTAAGTTTCATTATCTTTTTGCCCCATTGGGCTTTAACACTGTTTGGTTTATGATGCTAGATGGGGCCGTTGTTAGCACCTGACACAATCAGGTTGCGGATTTGAATCCCAGCCTGAGACCTTTGCAGGTAGATTTACACGTTGCTACGTCCATGTGTGCATCTTTCCAGGTACTCTAGTTTCCTCTCGCAGTCCAAAAATCTGACTGTGTTAGAGGAACAACATTCAGTCTCTACGCTCCAATCTGGAACAAACTCCCAGAAAACTGCAAAGATGTTGAAACATTGAGTTTCTTTAAATCAAGGCTAAAACTCCACCTGTATAAAGTTGCCTTTTGCTCAAAATAACTGGAACATTGATCAATATAATTGATGCATATTTGTCCTATAATTTTTGACCATGACATCTAATGTACTTTAATGTTTGTTGGTGTTTACTGAATGATGTTTGTGTAAATCACTTTGAACTTCCTTGTTTCTGAAATATGCCATTCAATCAAACTTGACTTGACACAGGCTAAATTACTTTTAACTTTAATATGTGTGCACTTCAAGGTGACAGGTGTTAAAACATTGATAGGTTTTAAAACATTAAATGTTGTTTTTATTAATGTTTCTCTTCTTATCTGATGGAAACAGTTTCCAACGAGGTTTTCGTGGCTCGACAACCAAACTGGCCTCAGATGTTCAGTGGTGAGTCGATCACTCTGGCATGTGAGGTCCAGGGAGGAGAAAACTACTGAGTGGACGTGTGAATGGATGAGATCTGCGTCGGTCATACAGAGGACAGACAGTAAAGACTGGACTTTCATTGTGTCTGAGTCCAGCAGTGGAGACTACACGTGTCAGTGTAGACCCAGAGATGATGGGCTTTCTTTAACACGATGGAGTGAAGCCATCACACTGTCTGTATCAGGTGAGTCATCAATGTTTTGTCTAATCTGGGAAATTGCTCCCCTATATCTGTCAAGTAAAAAAAACCACACAAAACTATATGTTATTTCTCTGTACATACATTTGCTATTGCTTTCTGACAGAAATAGGACCAGGAACAGCAAGTCTCAGAACTTTTAACCAAAGTTTGATGTTTAGTAAATGAGACTTTTGTCATTTTCTTTATCGTGAATTCACCAACAGGTAAACCAAAGGCCCGATTGATTAGTAATAGCAGAGAGATACCAACAGGAGGCAGAGTGACTCTGACCTGTACAGTGGACTCATCGTCAACCGGTTGGAAATATTTCTGGTACAACGAGCAAAACTTCACAGATCCTCTGACCCGAAAAGAACTGTTTCCCTTCAAATGGACAAATGAGTGTCTCAGAGGAAGGACTGTACTGGTGCAGAGGACGAAGAGGAAAACCAGTTTACTACACGGACTACAGTGACACAGTCAGCATCACTAAGAATGGTGACTCATTTCTGATACAAATTTTAAAAAATAAATCAATCAAAAAGTAAATAAATTATGTGTTAATGTCGTTGTGTTGTCACCAGTGATGGAGCATCACAATCAGCATCAGATTTAAACTCTCATAGATCAAATCCTTTCACAATGTGCACTTGAGACAAACGTTTGAAATTTTAATATTTTAATATCTTATTTATTATTTAAAGCATTTAGAAAGGAGCAAGGTAATAATTTAATTCACTGGTGTGTTCAAATTGAAAGTAACACTTTTCTGGAATAGAGAGAATGACTTTGGAAAATCTGCAGCTAACTTGCCGATTTATTTTTTATTGTTTCTTATTTCCAGTAACTGTGTCCAGTCCGGCCAGCTCTTCATTTCCTGTGATGTTTATCATTGGACCACTTGTTGGAATCATCCTCATCATTCTCCTCCTCTTGTTGTGGCGTTACAGACTGTCAAAGGGTGAGATACGTTTCATCAGATTGGTTCTTAACGTTGTTAATTAATCGAACGCAATTAGTATTTTTAGCTTTGAAATGCAAAACATAAATTGTAACAATTATGCTTTTTTTGTTTTTTAACTTTCCCAGATTTGTCCTGTCTTAGGTCAGTAACATCTGGCTTCTCATCTAAAACATGGATCATTAATTATTTCTGTAATTATGGAATTTAAACCACTTTCATATTTTTAGGTCATTCCAGTCTGAAAGCAGCAGCCGGAGGCCGACCGCTAATCATGGAGCGAACAAGACGGAAGGTGATTACAGCTCTCTGCTGCACGGTTAGTCACCGAGCAAAAAAAAAAAAAAAACTGCATTTTCTTAATTTAATCATTCATAACTCATTTTAGTCATTTCTTTGCTGTGACACATCTTCATAAGAAAGGAGGATATCACAATAGAGCTAATTTTGACTGACAAACTCAAAACAACAGGGCTAAACTCCTGAAGTGTGTTTGTGCTAAACGTCGTCATCGTTTCATCAGCATTAATATCCACTGTGATTATATCTCTGCTTCTTGATTTAATAAAATGCAGCTGTATCAATGCCATGAGTTAGTTTCATGGAAACCATTCATGAAGCAAACTGAATTGTTTCACAGCAATTGTTTCAATTCAGCAATTAGAGTTAGTGTTTAATTGTCAGTAAGAAGCAACTGACAACTTTCCTCTTTAGATGCAGCCAAATAAAGAAAATATAAAAGATCTAAATCAATCTTGAAATTTATACATACAAAAACAGAAATCAGAGCTTTTTAATTTTGATTTTACATTTGTTATGCATCACAGGCACCACTTCTATCTATCAAATTATCCTTCCGCGTGGAGCCGCTGGAAATGGTAACGTATATTTTACTACAGAGCCGGAACAACCAAGTTATTAGAGGATATAAGATGTAAAATTCTGAACTATTTCCATTACAGATGAAGCTGTGACATACACAAAGAGAAGAGGTAAATAACTGAAAAAAATCGTTGAAGAAGAACAAATGAGAATATTTCAACATATTAATAATTTTTTTTCCATATTCTTGCTATAATGTTCACAGAGAGACCTTATCATCAAGAGGACAGTTCTGTTTATGTCAACGTGAGACCAGGAAATAACAGCTCAGCCTGAAGGTCATATGAGACAATGTTCCTGCCACACATATAGAAGTTCTACTTACAGTTCTGATTTTTGTTATGAATTTACTACCATATCCCAGCTGTCTTTATTCTCTAACAAAGTTTGCTGACAATAATCACATTGCTGTGTTTTAAAAATGTATCCTGTGATTTGCCTTGTAGGGTGCATGCTGTGCTGCTTTATTCTGCGCTGTAATCTAATAACTCAAATATGAGCTGATTTAATCCAGTTATATCTCTGCAAAAGTAACTTATTACCAAGATTCATAAAATGAAATATGAAAATTGCTGCCATTACTCTTATTCAGCATTTGTAGCTTTTCTGCTTTTCCTATGCATGCAGTCAAAACAATATTTGTGCCGTTTGAATATTTGGTGCTTTTGTGTAATGATATGAGATTAAAGTCTCGGGAGCATTTTGAAATGTTTATCAGTATTTTCATGTCTTCTTTATTACCTATTATTATTTACAAGGAAAGCCCCAGCCCCTTAGGTTTAAACACATTACTAAATATTTTGTTTAGTCCTTCATTATAAATATTAGTGAAGCTCAAAATGTTTGTAGCAGTTCAAAAACTAAACAGAGACCAAAACATGAAGCGAGGGAAGCAAAATATTTCAAAATTGTTAGACCTACAATTATTATAAGTATGAGTAGTTAGACTGTGCCAATGATATCCACAACAACCTCGGTCTTTCAGACCACCTTGATGTTGGAGATCAGTGCATATCTCCAAGACTCCAAATGAAACAAAATGAAAATAATTTAAAAAATAAAAAATCCTGACATTTTAAAATAAATTATATTGTGTTTTTTTTTTACTCCTTTAAATTTATGGATGAATGTCATGCAGCTCAGTAACATGACAATGAGACTTTTAAGCAGTAAAACTGCTGCAGTTCATTTTAACTTCCACCAGGTGGTAGCAAAGAACATTTTAAAAATTACACTCATGAATTTTAATACAGGAAGCTGTCGATTGTTTCTTATGAGTAATTTTGAGCACTTATAAACTACTAATTTGCATAAAATGAGATAATTTTATACATCTGCTTTCATGTTTTTTTATTTTTATATTTGTGACCGATGAGGAATTAAAATATAACAATTGACACATATTGTCATATCCACAGACTGGTGTGCTACATGTTGGATGTCTGCTCTCTCCTCTTCCTCCTCTTCAGGGTGTGACAGGAAGCTGCAGCTTCCAGGTGAAATGCATTTCCCTCATCAAGGAACAGTGCTGAGAGGAGCGGATTCCCAGAAACAGACGCCAGATTTTTCCTGTAACGATAAGTTGCTTTTACACCATTAGCACATTTAGCACTGAGTGAATGAAGTTAATTGACAGCGCTAAGACCCTCCTCCTGGTTCTGATTGGTTGTTTTTGGTCGAAATGTTGCATTACTTTAGCTAGTAATAGTAATTCAGGGATAAGGCTGAGGTGGCTGATTGTTTTCACAGATTATCTGTCTCATAACAAACTGCCACAACATGGTGACAGCTTTCACAAATATGGAGAAAACATATTTTTTATTAAAGTTCTATACTACAGCTTGAATAAAATGCAGCTACACAGCATTTCTTGAGAAGTCTGGATTTCTTATGTATATTTTGCGTGTTGCTTTTGACTGTGCTGCGGGGAGAGACATTTCAGTAAACTAAAAACTAATAGAAAAATTTGAGCAACCTCCTTCTGTATGTTGACTGTTGCATGTAAAATTCATGAGCAGTAAATTTTGTGCTAGTATCAGTATTGAACCAAAGAAAGCAAAACAGTCACAAGCCTTTAAAATTGCGATGCTTTAAATGGGTCAAAAAGACTCAAAAAATTGTAGCAGTAGCTGCATGGGGGGGCCCAATTCTTTTTTTTTTTTTTTTTTTTGTCAGGGGCCCAAGATTCCTGGCAGCACCCCTGACTACTACTAGTGGTACTACTGTGATCGCTGTGTTATCACATCAATTTATGATCTTTCTTACCTTCGATCTCCTCCCTCCTGTTGGTCCTCAGTGCTCAGCTTCCACATTGACTCTCCGGTCCCGTGGATTTCCTCCCTCCTTGTCTGTCTCTCTCTGCTCCCGTTCAGAACACCTGAGGCTCACCTCTGTCCTCACCTGCCTGTCCGTCTCCTCCGTCCGAGGAACCTAGAAAGCAAAACCGATCACTGCTCACCCAGTCCACCAGCAGGCAGCCAACCACCGGAGCTGTAGATGCTCCCCGCTCCTCCTCCTTCGCCTCCCTCGCTTCATAAACGAGGATCCAGTCCAGATTTTGTGTGGCTCTCCTGCAGAAAAGTCACTCGTTTGAGTAAGACATTTAACCGTGCTTTCCCTGTTGTCTGTAGTTGTTTGTCTCACCAGAGTCATCAGGATCGTGGCACATGTATGAGGCATATGAACCACCACTGGGCCACAGTTGCTGAGATATTTACAAGATTTGACCATTTTTCATGACATTTGGAGATGTTTTCTTGCCTATTTTAGTTGTTGTTTTTTTTTTTGCACACTTCTATAATCTAGTGTTGAACACATTTCTCAGCTGCGGACAAACTAAAGGTAACTTTAGGTTAATCTTCATTTAATTGATTTAATATTAGTTGGGCCTTAAACGCTTCTGGACAAGCGTCCACCAACAATGGCAGAAACACCAAGACTATGGACAAATCAGAATCAATCAACATAATTTGCAGTTTGCTTCAATAAACTAACATTTCCTGATGACTCTATCGCTCTATAATAAAAAAAATAATGAGGGATTCTCATACCATACATGATAATATTGCAGAAATAATTTTATTTTTGCCTGTCTCAAAACCTGAAACGACTGAATAGAAATAATGCTTTTCAAACTAACATTTTTCAGCTGCTTTTTAGTCCTTTTTAAATTTAGAACGACTTCAAGTCATGCAATTGTGAATGTTCTGATCTGTTATCTGCCTCCGCCCACCTGAGGCCTTATTTTAACGTGAAAGGTGAGATCATGCTGCCACTTCTTTTGAAAAACAAAAAGAAACGGATAAAAATAACCGGCCAGCTGCTTGTCACGCACTCAGAACCAAAAGCTGCTTTCACACAAAAATGCTCCTATTTTATTTAAATGCTACTTTGAATCCGTTATTGTTGCGTTCATTTTCATTTATTTTCATTTTTCATAATTTTCACTTGAATGGCTTGAAATCATCTAGCATTTGAAAGTAGAAATTTGCTTTCAAATGCTGTTCTGTTGGTTTGTGCACAACGTCACACTGAACTTGTCGTCGACTTATTTCAGTCCGACTTCTCGTCAGTGACAGGAAAAGTCCCGGCGGTTTTCAGCAGAGACAAACTTCACAGTGATGTCAGTGCTTAGTAATGAAATATTATGATCTCAGTCTGGAGGTGAAACATTAACTCTGCTTCCTGCTCTTCTTTTTATCTACAGACGCTGCGTTTGCTTCTTGTCTCTTTACTGAAGAAAAGTTTGACTCAAGCAGAGAAGCTGCATGGAAACCAAGATGGGGAAAACCTTGGAGCCCATGCTGGGCTTATTGTGTAAGTAAATCGATTCTGCGTTTCAATAGTGATAATCATGGAAGATATTATTTTAGTACAAAAAAGGAGCTTTAGAAATGTGTCTTGTGACATTTTTTTCCTGCTGTCGTTGTTTCTTTATGCTGTAAGCATTTGACAAACTGATATTTATAAATAATCCAATAAATTAGGAACATTCACAGATGACAGAGATTAGCAAATCTAGCTCTGATGTTGTTAGGATTATAAAAAATGGAACAATAAAGTATAATGAAAACTGCAATGTGAACTAAAAAGTGTGGCCTGTAGCTCACAATCCAACCTTTTATTTTAACTTAAAAGTCGACTGAATTTGGCTGAATATGATGTAGATCTGAGGACATTTTGTTGCCAGTGTGTCAAGTTTCTGAAATGCAGTTCAGTCTCATCACAGGGAGAAAAAAAATATTTATGATAATGACGGCTGCAACCTTTAATGTTACTGTATTCAAAACAAACAAGCAAACAAAAAAATATCCTGAATAATATGTATTTTAACAAAATAATAAATTTGTTGACTCGGTGCTGAATGTGAGTGTGGGAAGAAAATCTGTTTCATTTCATGTTGTTAAATATTTATAATTCTGACAAGGTTTCAACCTTTATTTCAGTGCTGAACTTACTCTTCTGCTGTGGACAGAAGAGTAATGCCCATTTTTAATATTTTAGGCTGTGGCGAGGCTGTTATTCTCTCAATAACAGCCTCGCCACAGGAGGCAGGGGAGTGACTGCAAGTGCACATTTAACTAGACAAGAAATTAATCAAATTTTGGTTCTGCTTTAGATGCTGTGCTGACTTTTGAGCCCAAGTGGTCGACTTTTTATTCTGGAGAATCTGTTACCTTGACATGTGACATGAATGAAGGAGAAGACTCTCAGTGGGAATACAAGCTGAAGAAGAATAATGAAATATATCTGCCTTACAGGCCACATAAAAGCAGAACGTTGGTACTTCACAGTGGTGAATATCAGTGCTGTGGTCGTAGCAGGAGCTCAGGTCAAACAAAGTGCAGTAATACGGTCACTGTTTCAGGTAAACCTAAAGTATTTTAAATCACATTTAACCCTAACCAATGGAGGATAATCTTGACAAAGTATGTCCATATTTTTGCTCTACTTCAGATTTTTTATTTATACATTTAATCATTTTACTGGCAGTATTACTGCCTCTGTGATTTATTTTTATTTTTTATTTTGTTTATTTTTGATGCAAAATGAATCACAAAACACAACAAAACTAATAAATAAATGTTTAACTTGAGGACCAACCACTGGAGTTTTTGTGGACAAAAAACAAACTTATTGTTTTAATTGCCTCGTCAATTTAATGATGTAGAAATTACATTGATTGATATTTTTTTATATTTTATGAGTAAGTAAATATATCCAGTCATAATATACTATGGACATATATTTACTTGAAGGCGAGAAAAAGACATTATTTCAGGTCTTTTGTTGTAAGATGAACTTATTTTTGTTTTTATTAGCTGCAGATAGACCCAAAGCCAAACTGACTGCAGGTTCAACAACAATACCAGTAGGGGGCAGTGTGACCCTGAGCTGCTCAGTGAAGCCCTCTGCTGGATGGAAATACAGATGGTTGAGAAGGACCTCAGACTCTTCTTTAGATAAATTCATCACAAATAATGAAGAAAACAGAGTTATCACTGTGACACAAGGAGGAATCTACAGGTGTGCAGGACAGAGAGGAAATCCTGCCTTCATCAGCCGTCAAAGCCACGACGTTACCATTAAAACAACCTGTGAGTTCCTTCTTGGAAAGCGTCCGAAAGCAAATCGACAAAATCCATTTTTTTCCTCTGATTTTGTGTTTCTGCTCACATTTGATAAACAGTTTCCAACAAGGTTGTCGCAACTCGACGACCAAACTGGCCTGAGATGTTCAGTGGTGAGTCGATCACTCTGACATGTGAGATCCAGGGAGGAGAAACCACTGATTGGACGTACGAATGGAGACCAACCAATAGAAACTCTCTACCGTCTAGTGAATACAGGATCAGCTACATTACTGAGTCTGACAGTGGAGAATACAGCTGCAGAGGAATCGGAAACTATGAACTAACAGAGTGGAGTGATGCTGTCAGACTGACTGTGACATGTGAGTCAGACTGAACTCAACTCAACCTGAAAATGCTTTGTATTTATTTCCCTTTTTGCAGGAACTAAATTAAACAACAGAAAATATATCAACTCAACTGATATTGAGGCCCTTCAGAAAGAGAAACTCTGATCAAAGTAGGAAACAGTTAACAGCTAATATCATTAAGTGTAACTGGGGAGTTTAAATGAAACTCAAAATTGAAGAATGCAATGTGAATTTAGATTAAGTTTAAAATAATGATAAAAAAAAAAACGTGGAATGCAGAATGTAAAAGAAAAATTTCGACCAGAGGGAATCTGTTATTTTTTTGTACTTTCTTTTAAATACATGAGATAGAATAACTACACTTAAAAAGAATAAAATTGAAAAGAGGTGATCAGGACAAATGTTTGACCCAGTTTCAAATGTCTCTCCAGCGTCTCGCCCTCAGCCTGTCCTCTCTGTGTCTCCATCATGGCCGAATCCTGGAGCCTCAGTGACTCTGAGCTGTGAGGGTTTGGAGCATCAATCAGCAGGATGGAGGTTCTTCTGGTATAAAGCTGTTCCAAACCCAAACAGCACTTTCTACAGAGCTGAACTGCTTCCTGACAGCATCAATGGGACTGAGCAGAACTCCTTCATCATTAATGGACCGACTCAAACAGCAGGATATCAGTGCAGAGCAGGAAGAGGAGAACCAAAGTTTTACACTCGTTACAGTAAAGTAAAGTTTATCTGGTCTGCAGGTCAGTTTATTTCTCTCTTTCACCTCAATCGAAATAGCGTGAGGTTTGTTGTCCTGATCCAATATTTCTTTTATTTAAATTTATTTTTAAGATTTTGGAAATTAACATGACATTAGAACTAAGAATATAAACTGATGGATCATTGATATTATATGATAATAAGCATGAGTTGCCCTGGATTCTTACTGCAATATTTGTATTTGTTTATGTGTAACTTGAATGAAATTTGTGGTGCAAATTCACTTTGTGAAGATTTTGACAAATCTAGACAATAAATGTTAAAGTCAGGTGATTGAAGATAAAATTATTGATCAGGAGAAGGTGTTAAATATTCACAGTTAAATCTAATGTGAGTTTGTAAAAAATGAAATGATTATTTCCTCTATGGTAGTTTATTTATTTATTTATTTATTTATTTATTTATTTATTTATTCGACTTGCAGAAATGTTTGCTGTAATCTTTGTTCCTATAGAAACAAGCCATTTGTAGTGAAACATTTCAAAGATGTTTCTGATCTCAGATGAAATCCTGTCTTGTTTCCAGATCCTGGTCCAGCAGCTTCTCTCTCAGTGAATCCTGACAGAGTTCAACACTTCAGATCTGACTCTGTGTCTCTGAGCTGTGAGGGAAACTTTACTGAGTGGAGAGTGAGGAGGTTCACAGAAACAGGACGACTGTCAGACTTTACCTGCTCCCTCTGGGGGACAATGACTGGATCTACATGCACCATTGAACCGTACTATTATAATAATGGAGTTTACTGGTGTGAGTCAAAATCTGGAGAGTTTAGCAACGCTGTCAACATCACTATTCAGAGTGAGGTTTGGTTTATTATTTGTTTTTCATTGATATCAAATATCGTAAATATACCATAGACTAAGGTTAAATCACAAAATAATGTATTGTGTAGGATTTTTTTTGTTTGTTTGTCTTTTTGGCCTAAAGATATAATTTCAGGAAACATTTGCTTTTATGCTTATGTTGTTTGTTTGTTTTTCTCTATTGTCCCAATTGTTTTCAAAAATGTCCTTAAACTGTGTTTTATTGAGGCCTTATCCATATTAAGTCATTTCTTGAAGAAGCACAGATCTGACAGAGGTTTACCTTTCAAGTTGAGGTGAACAAAGACTAGAGGATCTGAGGAGATAAAGTGGAAAAAGACCACAGCGATAAACTATTCAGAATTCAGGAGAAGATGGACGACCTTTTCTAGTAAAAATAAAGAAATGACTAAATAGTAAAGGTGTGCCGATTGATCAGCACCGATCATAATCGGCCAATTTCCGTGAAAAAGTGTATGATCGGCTATTGTTGATCACTGTCTCTTGCTGCTGACCACCAAAACCAAAAACATGTATCTCACTTTGCAGCCTGCATGTGCCGCTGATCTCCTCTTTCCTTCACAAACGCGCAGCAACAAATCCTGTTGTATGGAACCACAACGCTGTGAGAGTCAATGGGGACGTTTGCGTGTTGCGGCGCAAACGTCTGTTTTAAAGGGGGGAACAGTATCTGATGGGTGAATGATGGCCGTTAGGATGCATTTCCACAGTAAAACAACTGTTAGACGAATGTATCACCTTATTTTAACCTGATCGCACAGACTTTGCTGTCTATGATAAAATGACATCACACTTTAAGTCATTGACACAGCGTAAAGAAATGTTGCTGATGTGAATATTCTCTGATTGTTTTACAGATGATTATTATGATGGTATAATCCTGGTGAGCCCTGTTCATCCTGTGACTGAGGGAGATCCTGTGACTCTGAGCTGCAGAGATAAAAACAAAATTGTCTCTCCAATGTGTTTTTCTATCACAATGATAAACTACTCAATAATGACAGCAGAGAGGAGCTGAAGATCTCTGCAGTGTTAAAGTCAGACGAAGGTTTCTACAAATGTCAACATTCAGGAAAAGAGTCACTAAAGAGCTGGATGTCTGTTAGAGGTGAGGAAGATTAAAATGTTTGGTTCATTGCATTCATTAAAACTGTTTAAATGTTGTGAAAGAGCAAGGTGAACACTGAGGATGTTTTTAGCATGTTTTTAGTATTTACATAAAGTCCCTTTTTCTTCAAGCAGAAAATGTCTCACAATCTGCAGATCAAAAATATTTCTTCCTTGTTGATGTTTCTTGTTTTCAGTAACTGTGTCCAGTCCTGCCAGCTATTTATTTCTGGTGCTGTTGATCGTCGGACTAGTTGTTAAAATCGTTCTGTTTCTCCTCCTGCTCTTGTTCTTGTGCTGCAGACGGAACAACGGTGAGACGTTTTTCTGTTCATACCAGATCTGATTGTTCATTTAAAAAAAATAAAATAAACCTTTATTGCAGGTGTACTGTGATGCTATAGCACAAAATCCAGGCTTAAGTTTAATAATACATAAGCATTCTTCTTTCTCATTTCATTGTGTTTCTGTTCAATTTGTCTTTTTTTCTTTCCATCAGAAATTACTGGCAGTTTTTCTACTACATTCAGTATATGTGTAATATTTTAGACAGAAGTCACATCTCTTCCATGCCCTGAAATAAAAATAAAACCTTAATTTAAATGAGATCTAAACAAGTGACTGAAAAAAATAAGATGAAAAGAAAAAGTCTAATTTTATTTTCTCATTTAGTAATTATTTCACGTATTTAGATTTTAAAAAGCTTTTGACTCTTTTCTGTCAGTTCATCTCAATGACTCAGTGAATATTTCAACAATGGCAGGAAATGGTAGAGCTTAAAATGTTACTTATATGCTTTGTAATGATGGAGAACCATTAACTAATCTATAAACATGACATGTTTCAGAAGCAGGTGAACCCAGAGCTCCTGTGTACTCCATGATTGAATTGAGAAACTTCAGGAAAAACTGTGAGTTCTCGGCAGTGAAATCTTTCCTCATGTCTTTACGCTGCAGCTGATTTCAGTTCCCATTATCAGCTGTCTTGACTAATTACTGCTTAACTCTGGAGAACACCAGAAACTGATGTATCAGATATCACTGTGTCTTTACTCTGATGTTTTCTGTTTCAGGCTCAACGCCAACCTATGCTAACATCAACTATCACAAAAAGTGGAAAGGTAAAGATTCAGTCTGCTGCATTTATCACTCTTTTTGCAAATGTGTGTCATGTTTCACATGCAGTCTCTCTGGTTGAGCATGTAAGAATTAATAATCGCCTCTGCATTCACAGGAAAGCGAAGTCCTGCAGCAACAGATGGAGTTTATTCTGAAATCAGCATGTAGCTTCAGATTTTACTGGTTTATTACGGGATTTATTACATGAGATAATGTCTTAAATCCCTTATTTTCTTACATTTTTTATGTGTTTTTAAAAGTCTGTACAGAACTGTGTTAGACGCCCTTGTTCAGTTATGCTGAAAAACAAAACTCCAGAAATTAGTTATTATTAGGCTATGATGAAGTTTGAATGCATTAAATATTTTTGTGTATTTTTTATGCTTTATTTTACAAATGCATTAAATGTTTCACAATTTCTCCCACCTCTAGTATTTTTTAACCATATGACTATAATTCATATACTTTTGTTTCAGTTATTTTATTTGTTTTTATGTTGCAATTATAAAATATTATGTTACTGATTAATTAATCACTGTGTGTTTATTCAAAACAAATTCACAGTTTTTAAAAGAATGCTGAACTTTTACCACAATGTACAGATTTTTGATTGCTGAATGTGTTCATTTATGACTGGTCTACATTATTTTATGCCTCTTTTTAAATCAATTTCTAACATGTTGGATTCATGTTAATGTGTATTCAAAGACAAAATGTTTGAATAAAATATATACCAAAATATTTAATGTCTACTAGTCAATCAGGAATCTCGTACGCAGGGGTCGCGACCCCCCATGTTGAAAACATGTCACCTCTAATAGAGCACAATCATCAGAGTGAAGGGGCCTGACATGAACGCAGTAATTTTATTTGTGAGAAAATTTGAAAGTTACGTTTTATTGTCCACCTTCTAACAGTTAGTTGCTTTTTGATGGGCATTCAGAAAATCCCAATGAGATGCATCTTTTTCTAGTATCAGTCTTTATTCGGATGCTGGTGTGTTTTTTTTTTTTTTTTTTTTTTTTTTGTAGAGTGCCACCCCTTGTTTAAGAGGATCTTTGTTTGGAACCGCTGGGTCACCTGCCCAGGTTTTTTCCATCGACCTCATCAAGATGCTGAGAATTTAAGCAGCTGCAGAGCCTTCGCTTGTTGTTGGTCGTCTTTAGATGTGTCTCTGCACTGCTTGGTTCTTCCATGGTTTCTGGTGTTGCTGGTGAAACTGAGGCTTCCTGAAGCACTGAACCTCTTTGAGACAGTTGCTCTGAAAATGACCTGTTGCTTCGAAGCGCTCGATACACTCTGAAATCGTGATTCATATAAGAAGAGGCTTTGAATAACATTCAAAGATTTTTATTTAAAAGAAAAAGATGAATTTGTCTTCAGTCTGCTCCGATTCTGGCTCGCTACCTCCACAAAAACACCCGCATAAAATTTCGCTCACACTAATTTTAAATACACTCAAATTCTCACAATCATAGTACTCTTGTGCTTCCACTGGGAATAAAAATTTCTATTCGAACTCTAACTGGCCTCTGTCTCCCTGGGTTCTGACTCACTGGCTCCCCCTGTTGGTGTGACACTAAGCTACCTGACCTCAGTGCTTACATGCACAATAAAAGAGTGAAAACCTCACATTAAGGCAGCATGTTTACCCTCAAACCTGTTGGTGGAAACCTTCGATGAGGGATGCTGACAGGCTGAAGAAGGAGTCCTATCAGGCCTAGTTAGCCTGTGGGGCTCCAGAAGCAGCTGATGGGTACCGGTGGGCGAAGCGGCATGCTTCTCAGGTGGTTGCTGAGGCAAAAACTCGTGTGTGGGAGGAGTTTGGAGAGGCCATGGAGAAAGAAGCCATGCAGAAGCATGGCTTCAAGGTGATTCTGGTCCAGCATCCGGCGTCTCAGGAGGGGTTAGCAGTACAGCACTAACGCTGTTTATGGAGGGGATGGTGTGCTGCTGACCTCAACTCGGAGGGTCCTGGAGGGTGCATGGAGTTCGCCCAACCGGTCTGTGTTTTGTGGACTTGGAGGAGACGTTCGAGCGTGTCCCTCGGGGAGCCCTGTGGGAGGTTCTCCGCGAGACTCTGTATGACCGGTGTCAGAGTCTGGTTTGCATTGCCGACAGTAAGTCAGGCTCGTTTCCGGTGAGAGTTGGACTCCGCCGGGCTGCCCTTTGTCACCCATTCTGTTCATTACTCTCATGGACAGAATTTGTAGGTGCAGCCGATGTGTTGAGGGGATCCATTTTGGTGTCCTTAGGTTTGCATCTCTTTTTGTGGATGATGTGGTTCTATTGCCTTCATCAGGACATGATCTGCAGCTCTCGCTGGAGCGGTTTGCAGCCGAGTGTGAATGTACAACTGATTGTCCGATATGACCGCCTTTTTAACACTTACGCCCACTTGCGTTCCTACACATGCAAACCCACACACACACAAAATGTATTTAGAAATATGCTGATAAGTTCCCATGGTGATGCTCTGTGAGATGCATGTTTCCATGACGTAGCATCAAAAGGCCCCTATGTTTAAGTCTCATCCAGGAGTGTTTCTGTATGATGTAGTTTCTCACTACAGAATCAGAAGGTCAAAGTTACTGTTTTAGCATTTTTCTCTCTCTGTGTGAAGTTCACACATCAAAACAAGAGAATGATTAAAAATGAGAATGAGCAAAGTGGTTTTTTGCAAACCATTATATTGCAACTCTGTTTAGACACATGCATTCAAATGTAGTGTTTTTTGTTTATTTGTATGTTTCTGTGCAAACCTGCAAAAAACATTGTGCATAAGGTTAAAATATCTCTGCAACGGACAGGAAATACAAACCACCATCAAGTCCTGCAGTCTCATTGGCTGCTGTGGTGTGAAGTTGGTGTAAAAAAGGAAACAGAGACAGAGGATTGTAAGAATTAGAAGCATGACACGTATTGATGTCATATGTGTTTTAGACTTAACTTCTCCTTTTATGTGAACACAATTGAAACCAAGTAGAAACCTTTCAGTCGAGCTGTGCAGCCGTTCTGGATGCCAGGATGAAACCTGCTCCGCTCTGCATGCTGAGCTTTTTCTGTAAGTTCATCACTGACTTTCTGCTCAGAGGTTAAAGAAAATGTTTCTCATTGATAACATGTAGCCGTGTATCTCTGTTAAGATCTGACAGTGTTGAAAAGAGAACGCTCAAGTCTTTTTCCTCTTTTTGTAATCAGCATTGCAATTCAAGCAGCTTTTGTCTCTGTTTTGACAAATGAACACTATGTGAATTATTGGACATAATGTGATACTTATGTCTTTATTTATTGTTTTTAAACAGCCATTTTAATTTAATCTTCATCTAAAATGAATCATATAACATTGTGATTTTTATTCTTGAAAATAATGTCTAAACCTTGATCTTTATTGCAGTGCTCAGTCCTCTGCTTCATGGACGTGCTGATGGTGAGTAACTTGTTTTGTTGTTAACATAAAGGAAGAAATATATGTATTTCCAATACATTTTCCTTTGTTCTTTGCAGAAATTGAGCCTAATTTTCGAAGTTTAGGAACAAACACTTGTAATCGGCACTTAAGTATCAAAATTCTTGTTTTTGGAGAATAAATAACTTCTGTCTAAACCAAATGTCAGAAGGACCATTTGCTCTTGTATTACTGGAATATATTATATTGACATGTTATGAAATACAGTAGATGAGAGGAAGCTGAACAAAAAGAAAACTAATTTGGAACCTATTGCTGCACCGAACAACTTGTTCCTCTTTGTGTCTATTTGCCGACTCTTAAGACTGTCCTGGAGAGTCAAGTTATAATTTCAACGACAAAATAAAGGGAACATGCATCTCACAGAGCATCACTATGGCAACTTAGCACATTTTTAAACACATTTTGTGTGTGTGGTGTGTGTGTGTGTGTGTGTGTGTGTGTGTTTGCATGTGAAGGAACGGAAGTGGACATCAGTGTTAAAATGGCGGTCGTATTAGTTGTAGTCAATTGTACATGTACTTTATCAGAGAATTACTGAAGGCTGTAAAAGTCCTGTTGGTTTCCACTAAGTTATGATTTTAGCATCTTTGTTCGGAAATAAAATGTTTTAAATCTGAACAAAATATTTACCTTCATAGGGCAGAATTAATTTTTTGTCGGTAGAAGAGCATGAAGCCTGGCTAATTGATAGAGAAATAAGGAATACACCAAATGTAGCAGAACTTGTACATTAATTTACAGAAAATATTCACAAGTTGTAACAGAAGTTTAACATGATGTAACATTATCTTGTGTAAAATTATTTCATTGATGCCCATAGGAGCGAGGCTTAGCAACACAAATGAAGAAAAAACTAAGAAGCAGAATTTCAGAAAAAAATGAGAAGCTAATCCAAATTGAAGAAATGGATTAATAATCTCTGTCATGAGACATGTGTTGATATCAAAAAATGTAAACCTATCACAGGTTTCCTTTTATATCTTTCTCGCTCCTGCAGGAGATTTTATTTATTTTATTTTTTTCTGTCTGCCTTCATTCAGCAATTTGATTTGCTCCTTGTGTGGGCTGCGCTCTGTGGCTGTGGGTAGAAATGGAGTCTTTCTGAATGGAGTTTGCATGTTCTCCTGTGTGGGTTCTCTCTGGAAACTCAGGCTTTTTACCCCAGTCCAAACACTGGCATGTTAGGTTAAGTGTGTGTGTGATTGTTTGTACCTTGGTGTTGCCTTGTGATGGACTGGTGAATCCTCTTGTATTTATGTCATATGAATAAACAAATCAAATAGTAGCATTTGTAAATCCTTTAGTGAAAAAAGAATTGCTTTATTTGACTTTTTTTCTCTATCTGGTCTGGTTCATAGAACCTGTAAAAAATCCACTGCAGACCCAAAACCAATAATTAACAAGCATTAGTTACAGCCATAGGTGTAACTTCCTGTGGACATGTCCCCACCAATATTTCCTGCACCTATTTTTCTTTATGTGCCTGCAATTATATAACGCTGAGAAGAGGACGCAAAGTTTTGATATTAATTGTGCAAACAATGATAGCAAGATAATAAGATCCAAAGGGGAAACATTTCACAGGTCAATAAAAACCTTTAATTAGAAAGTGGAGAGTAGGTTAGTTATACTAACTTAACTTTTATCACCTTAACATTTCAGGTCAATTAACACAAAAATAAGGCAACCGACATAGATTTCCTGACAGATAACCAGAAGTGCAGTTAGCTAATCAACCACCGCGAGTGTTGAGGTGGTCACTTCCTGATGACGCAAAATGAAAATTAAAAAACATAAATCTGCAATGAACACAATGTCCTGTAAGATGTTTGTACATCTTTTTTGTTTGGAAATATTTTGTTTAGCACTTGATGAAGTCAGACAATAAACGGCAACTATGTGATAATTCTTCACAAAGAATAATACTGAATTAAAAAACTTTTCAACTGTAGGGAATCATTCAGCAAATAAAGGCTGATTCCATAAAGAAGAAAATGACTGAGAAGTTCCTTTGTCAGCAGTTCTTTCACCAAGTGAAACACATTATATAGATTAATTAGATTATGTATGTTTTGACATGTTTATATTTCATAGTAGGTTTAATAACTCCTAGGAGATTATTTTCAAAAGGTGCTATTAATCAGAAAAGCCTCCTCTCTTCTTCTCTTCATCACCACCAACTTGTAACACAAAGTTTCTCCTTTGGCTACATAATTTGTGTTTTTGATGTAAATCCTAAAATCTTCTTTGTATTGACGGATGTGTGGTTTACTAAAAAATATTTTGTTATTGCTGAGGTATTATGTTTGTAAGATGTCAAACATTTTTCAGTGAAATGTTTAAATTAAACATTTTAAGATACTCTGACACCTTGAAAGTCCAAAGGAACATTTGTTTTGCAAATCCTAAGCAGTTTTCAAATTAGATTCACAGTGATAAATGACTGATTGTTCTTCTGTGACTTATAAAAGTATATATTTACAATGGTTTTAATTTTCATTCATATGCTCAGAAAATTACTGATGGCATTTGTTTTTATGTTTCTATAATCTGGCAGCAAACATAAGAACCAGCATAGAGTGAATACACTAATGACTTAACATGTTGAAGACTCATTTATGATTTGATTAGAAAAGATTCACATTGTTGCAAATATCTCCTAACATATGAGAGGATGACTGCTGTGGTGTGTTTTCTAACCTGCAGAAAGCAAGGCAATTCTCAATGCAAAAGTAAGAACAATAACACTAGGGGGCAGTGTGACATTAACCTGTTCTGTGGACAAACCTGCTGGTTTGAAAGTAAACCGACAAATAAGGGGCAGCGTTCCTGCCTAAACCATTACCATCAATCATAATCCTTTGAATAATATTCAATTATAGAAATTTAATTTCCCTTTGGGATCAATAAGACATTTTTTATCACAATTGAAGTTAAATGATTTTGTCCCTTTCTGCAGATTGACTCCAGAACAATATTGAGTTGATAGAACTGGTTTAATAAAAAACAAATATTTTAGTTTCTGTTTATTTTCAGCCCATTTTATTTGTTGTGTTTATGAAGAATGCTTGTAAGAAACGTGTATTTTATCTGAATCTCTCCTGACCTCACGGTTTCACATGATTCAATGCTGTTTAAAGCATCATTAGAACATGACTGCATGTGGAGTGTAAGTCTGTGTGCTGATTCTGTCTGACATGTTAATGTCTATGTTTTAGTCTGATGAGAAATTATTCATGTTGTTTCAAATTGGTCCAAACCTTATTCATTCTGATTAATATTATTGCAGCAAAAAAGGCAACTTTGAAAACAGACAAAACTACCATACCACCAGGGGGCAGTGTGACATTAACCTGTTCTGTGGACAAACCTGCTGATTTGACATTTAAGTTCTTCAGAGAACCTCCTCCCATCTATCAGAGCAGAGTTTCTTCTCAATCAGATGTAGTTTTCAGCATCACAGAGGGAGGAATTTACACCTGCAGAGGAGAAATGACAAACTTGAAGACAACTACCAGTAATGAAGTCACCATAAATAAGAAAGGTGAGTTTATAAATTTATCTTGGAAGAAAACACTGTATACTTTCTGATGAAAAATCAATTTTCAAATGATCACTAACATTAGTTTGTGACATTTAGAGAGATAATATCTTATTTTAAATGTAAATATGAGTTAATACTCATAATTTGTTCAATTATTAATATTCATTCAGCTGAATTGAATCATTCTGTTGAAGTTTTTGCTGAAATATGAGGAAAAAAGCAAATTAACTCTAAATCTTTACATTAATTTATGTTTTCATGAGATGCTGTGTTGTACATTGAGATTTAAATTCTTCCAAGACATTTTAATGACATTTTATTGATGCAGTTTAATAAAATATATACCTTAAATAACATATCAGAGGAAAAATTCTTAGATTTACATTATTATTTCAGGTGTTACACTGTCTAATTAATTGTTTAGTTTTCAGACTGTTTGTTCTTCTAATCATGTTTCTTGCTGTAGTTTCCAACAGAGTTTCAGTCACTTCACAACCAAACTGGTCTCAGATCTACAGAGGAGAGAGAATCACTCTGAGATGTGAGATCCAGGGAGGAACTGATTGGACGTATGAATGGAGATCAACCAATGGAAACTCTCCATCATCCAGTGAATATATGAGCATCACAGCTACTGACAGTGGAGATTACAGGTGTATGGGTAGAAGAGGCTACGAGTTCACAGGATGGAGTGAAGCCTTCAGACTGACAGTGTCATGTGAGTCAGACTGACCTCCATTCATCCTGAAAGTGTCTTTAGTTCCCTGATCTCCATAAAATGGACAGAAATCAATAATATCTCCAATTCACATAAAGAACTGACTGCAAGCTAAACTGACTTTTATAAAAGTTTTATAAAGAAGAAAAACTATTTTCTATGCTTAAGAGATTCTAGACAGGAAGCTTAAGGAGGAACTGGATTATTTCAGAGAGAGATTAAGGGATTAGTGACTTAGATGCAAAATGTTTTGTAGTAAAATATTTTATGAAAATATTTACAAATGTAACATCTTTAATGTTCTGCCTTGTAGCTGTTGATCAATTAAATATGGAGGTTTGTTTGTCCAAACTTGGTTCTCACAATTCATTGATTGATTGATGGCTTCATATCAGTAAAGATCATCTTGGCGACTTTAGACTTTAGACTCAGACTTTGTATAAACTGTGTTAAATAAGGTTCAATCAATCAGTGTATGTTGTTGCTGAATTAATCAAACTGGACTTGAGTTTGAATTGTCAGGTCAGATGTGTAATTTCACCAAAATGATCAATGCAACAATTAAATTTCCTCTCGTTGATAACAAACATGATGGAGAATCTAGTTTGTCATATTTCTCAGTTTGAAAAAGTAAATGTTCAATTTTGGTGCATATATTTTTATAATAACAAATAATTAATAATTCATATTCAAATATTTTAAAATATTATTATGATTTTCAAACTGAACAGCTGATGAACCCAGAGCCACCCTGACAGCAGAGAACAGCATCATACCAGCAGGGGGCAGTGTTACACTGAGCTGCTCTGTGGACGGATCCACTGACTGGGAGTTTGAATGGTTCAGAAATAGACGACATTATCCTGAATCCTCTGGAAACACAGAACCAGATGGAACCATCAGAGTCTCAGAGGGAGGGAAGTACATCTGCAGAGGAAGAAGAAGAGACTCATCTTTTTACTCAGACAGTGAAGAGGTCACCATTCAGAAAGCTGGTGAGTTTAGTTATCAGGTCATCACCATGACAACACTTGATCATTGAAACTCAAATTTGTTTCCTACTTATTCAGAAAATGTAATTATTAAAATATAATAATAAAGTGACAGAAAAATATTTTCAGTTTCAAGATTTGACTTTATTTCCACTGAAACCACCAAAGTCATCAGATGTTATAAATAATTTAATCTGATCTCAGATATTTAGAAAGAACATCCTGATGTAAAATATATTCATCAAATACAACAAGATTTAATTTCCCTTTGGGATCAGTAAGACATTTTAAAATTGAATTGAAGTTAAATTATTTTGTCCTACAACCTTTCTTCAGAAAGTGAGTATTGGGTCAATAGAACTGGTTTAATCAAAAACAATTATTTTAGGTTCTGTTTACTTTTCAGGCCATTTTATTAGTTGTGTTTTTGGGGAATGTTTGTAAGAAATGTGTATTTTATCTGAATCTCTCCTGACCTCACGGTTTCACATGATTCAATGCTGTTTAAAGCATCATTAGAACATGACTGCATGTGGAGTAAGTCTGTTGTGCTGATTCTGTCTGACATGTTAATGTCTCAGTTTTAGTCTGATGAGAAATTATTCATGTTGTTTCAAATTGCTCCCAACCTTATTCATTTTGATTAATATTATTGCAGATATAAAGGCAACTTTGAAAGCAGACAAAACTACCATACCACCAGGGGGCAGTGTGACATTAACCTGTTCTGTGGACAAACCTGCTGATTTAACATTTGAGCTCTTAAGAGGATCTTCATTCACCGATCAGACCAGAGTTTCTCCTACATCAGATGTAGTTTTCAGCATCACAGAAGGAGGAATTTACACCTGCAGAGGATATGAACCAGGGACAAACGTTATGACAACTATAAGTAATGAAGTCACCATTAATAAAACAGGTGAGTTTATAAATTTGTCTTGGAAGAAAACATTGTATACTTTCTGATAAATAATCCATTTTGAAATGATCACTAAAAGACGTTTGTTATTCTGTCACATTTAGAGAGATAATATCTTATTTTAAATGTAAATATGAGTTAATACTCATAATTTGTTCAATTATTAATATTCATTCAGCTGAATTGAATCATTCTGTTGAAGTTTTTGCTGAAATATGAGGAAAAAAACAAATTAACTCTAAATCTTTACATTAATTTATGTTTTCATGAGATGTTGTGTTGTACATTGAGATTTAGATTCTTCCAAGACATTTTAATGACATTTTATTGATACAGTTTAATAAAATATATGATACGTTAAATGACATATCAGAGGAAAAATTCTTAGATTGATATTATTATTTCAGGTGTTTCACTGTCTAATTAATTGTTTGGTTTTCAGACTTTTTGTTCTTCTAATCATGTTTCTTGCTGTAGTTTCCAACAGAGTTTCAGTCACTTCACAACCAAACTGGTCTCAGATCTACAGAGATGAGAGAATCACTCTGAGATGTGAGATCCAGGGAGGAACTGATTGGACGTATGAATGGAGACCAACCAATGGAAACTCTCCATCATCCAGTGAATATATGAGCATCACAGCTACTGAGTCTGACAGTGGAGATTACAGCTGTATGGGTAGAAGAGGCTACGAGTTCACAGGATGGAGTGAAGCCTTCAGACTGACAGTGTCATGTGAGTCAGACTGACCTCCATTCATCCTGAAAGTGTCTTTAGTTCCATGATCACCAAAAAGTGAACAGAAATCAATAATATCTCCATTTCATTGAAAGAATTGACTGCAGGCTAAACTGTGACTTTTATAAAAGTTTTATAAAGAAGAAAAACTATTTTCTGTGCTTAATGGATGTGTAATTTCACCAAAATGATCAATGCAACAATTAAATTTCCTCTCGTTGATAACAAACATGATGGTGAATCTAGTTTGTTAGGCTCTTGCAGAATTCATATTGCTCAGTTTGAAAAAGTAAATATAATATAAGCAAATATATAACAATATGCTTTTGGAAATAATTAATAATTGATATTCTAATATTTTAAAATATTGTTCTGATTTTCAAACTGAACAGCTGATGAACCCAGAGCCACCCTGACAGCAGAGAACAGCATCATACCAGCAGGGGGCAGTGTTACACTGAGCTGCTCTGTGGACGGATCCACTGACTGGGAGTTTGACTGGTTCAGAAATGGACGACATTATCCTGCATCCTCTGGAAACACAAAACCAGGTGGAACCATCAGAGTCTCAGAGGGAGGGAAGTACATCTGCAGAGGAAGAAGAAGAGATTTATCTTTTTACTCAAAAACCAGTGAAGCGGTCACCATTCAGAAAGCTGGTGAGTTGAGTTATCAGGTCATCACCATGACAACACTTGATTTTTGAAACTCAAATGTGTTTCCTTCTTATTCAGAAAATGTAATTATTAAAATATAATAATAAAGTGATGAATCAGCAGGACAGAGAAATATTTACAGTTTCAATATTTGACTTTTTTATTTCCACTGAAACCACCAAAGTCATCAGATGTCATAAAGAATTTAATCTGATCTCAGATATTTATAATGAAAATATATTCATCAAACTAAAATGCTTTTTCTATTTTTATGCTAAATATGTCTTCAGTTTTGTTTATGTGTATTAAACTATTCACATTTCCAGTCAAGTTTCTGATTTACAGTTTAACAAATGATTCACTTTATCATAAATATATTGAAACTTTCACAGAGTAAATTTCTGCTTCTTCATATCATTTTATATGTTCAGGTTCATTTTGTTTCTTTTAATCTCTTAACTTGATGTTTCTGTATGTGAACAGGTTCTAAGCCGACTGTGATCCTGAATCCCAGCTCGTCTCTGACAGAAGATAAAATCCATCTGGAGTGTTTTATGCAGAAAGGACCTGAGTGGACGTATGAATGGAGAAAAAACAACTTGGATTATAATCCAACATCCAGGATCATCACAGCTGAGAGTGGAGATTACAGCTGCAGAGGAAAAAGTGACAATCTCTTAACACAGTGGAGTGATGTCATCACATTAACTATCTGTAAGTCATTAACTTATGATTTACATTAATCAATCAAGCAACAATAAAGTTTATTAAGCAAATCAATATAAAAGCAGCTGCTGCTGTTTAACACATTTAGTTTCTTAAGTAAAAACAAATTTGCCCAAATCATCTGAATTTGCCTCTATTTGATGAAAATGCAATTATTTTTAAAAACATAACATTTTATTGATGAATATGTTTGTTGTGCAAATGTTTGAAACTCTTAATTTCTTTCTGCTTTGCTACCAGTTAAATTGATGTGATTTTATTTTGAAAGGTTCTTATTAATTAATACTAAATAAAATCTTAAAGGAGCTTCTGGACCAGGAGTCACCAACCTGGTGCCTGAGGGGACCTTGTCAGTCGCCCGCGGAGCTACTTCTAAAAATAGCCATTATCATAGGGAGCACTACCAAAAAATAATTTAATGAAATATTTTTACATTGAAGTCATGACGTTTGTTTATATTTAGAGTTTAAAAGAGGGAAATGATAAAAATGTTTAAAATAAATTTCTTTACGTATAAAAGTCTTTCCTGCTGGTAAAGTTCAGAATTGCGCGCAGGCGCCTGCAGCTGCACTTTGCGTACCTTGACATTTTCCTTTAAGTAAAGAAAGAAAAGAATAACTTCTGGGATTTTTATTATTTAACCCCATTTACTATTAACAAAATTGTGAGGAAAAATTAAATAAATTGTGCCAAGACATCTTATTTGTAGCGCACATCTGGGAATCACATGGGGAGGCTTCGCTTCCATGTCTTTATTATTTAGCATCGTCTGGAAAAAAAGTCTGCTGCTCTTGTGGTTCAGGTTTGTGCTGATTTTTGCGCATTGGAGAGGTGCTTGTGCTCTTGCAGGTCAGGTGCAGTGATAGTTTTGTGTCGGACCTTTATTTTTTCCACATCTGCTGGTGTCAGCCAGCAGGTGACACGTCAGCTGTTCGGTTCGCGAAACCACAAAAAAAGCGAATAAACCGACGACCTGCCAGAACCGCGCAGACGGTCAGAAGCTCAGGCTGAACGTAGAACAACAGGAGGTTCAAACCCAACTCGTTAATTTTTAGCTTACAGAAAAACGCAAAGCCGTGAAATAAACAAAAGAAAACTGACCAATAAGACTTAGGCTTTGGGGTTCCCCACCTCAACCCTCAGAGTGACAGCTGTGTGTGTATAATATCTTTTGACACAAAAGATATTTTATTTTCCACAATTTTGCTAATAGTACAGATGGTTAGATAATAAAACTATAACTCTTCTTTTCTTTTCTATTTAAAGGAAAATTTCAAGGTACTCAGTACAACTGCAGGTGTTACTGCAACAATCCATCAGTTTGCTTTTGTTTATTTCAGGCACTTGTGGCCAGTTTAGAATCACAGAGAAAAACTCCAAAAGGGATTCAAACGTAAAACTCTGTGAGCTAAGAACTTCTGATCACATAATAGCAATTAACCATAGCTGCCATGGTAAATTATTACTGATAACTATTGTGAGTGCCTTTTGTGTTGCTCTGTACCCGTGAAGTAGCTCCCAGTCTCAAAAAGGTTGGTGACTCCTGCAGTTTGGAAGAAACGTTGATACTTTTTAAGTGATTTTAGAAAGTAGCTTCTCTCAGGGAAAGTGTTCAATTAACACTTCAATTTTACTCCAGTCTGTTGTGGTAAACGTCTAACCAAATATTTATTTCTTTAGCTCCCAATAAACCCAGTTTGATTCTGCAACCCAACTGGTCTCAGATCTACAGAGGAGAGGAAATCACTCTGAGATGTGAGATCCAGGGAGGAACTGAGTATGATTGGACGTATGAATGGAGACCAACCAATAGAAACTCTCCAACATCCAGTGAATATATGAGCATCGCAGCTACTGACAGTGGAGATTACAGCTGCAGAGGAATCAGAGGAGGGTTTTCCTTGACATCATGGAGTAATGTTATTAAAATAACTGTATGTAAGTGGATTATTTATTACTGACAAAGTATAAAATAACAAATGCAGCACACAATCTAAGACTATAAGTATTTTTATTTTTTCTTTAATCAGTCAGACCTTTCTAGATATTTCAGAGGTCTGATAGTTTGTCATGTTTATTCCCTATTAAATATTTGCATGAAGCTGAAAATTATTGTTAGATGTATTTCAGCTTTAAGCCAACCTTTAATGTCTTTATTTTTTATTACAAGGGATTAAAATGTTTTGAACATCTTTGAATGAGTTCTTAGAGACATTGATCAAAGTCATCTTAGAGTTCAGTGATACAAGGAATAAAGATTCAATAGATTATATTGATCAGTGTTTCTAGTCCCTGATTTATGTGATAAAAGAAAAATGAAAGTGTTGAATGAAATAAAGTTCACATTTTAAGAATACAATAATGTAAAAATGTAATGTTACTGAAAAAGAAGTAAAATATTAAAGTGAAGGTTAAACCAGAAGGAGCATCTGTTGTTATTATTATTATGGTTATTACTTAAATTTCAATATATAACTATATTAACTCTTCAAGGGAAATAAAAGGAAGAGAAAAGAGAGAGAGGTTGTGGTTAAATGTTTGACCCAGTTTCAAATGTCTCTCCAGCGTCTCCCCCTCAGCCTGTCCTCTCTGTGTCTCCATCATGGCCGAATCCTGGAGCCTCAGTGACTCTGAGCTGTGAGGGTTTGGAGCTTCAATCAGCAGGATGGAGGTTCTTCTGGTATAAAGCTGTTCCTGATCCATCCAAGCTGAACTATGGACCATCCTACACTTATGAACTGCTTCCTGACAGCATCACTGGGACTGAGCAGAACTCCATCATCATTAATGGACCGACTCAAACAGCAGGATATCAGTGCAGAGCAGGAAGAGGAGAACCAAAGTTTTACACTCGTTACAGTGAAGTAAAGTTTATCTGGTCTGCAGGTCAGTTTCTTTATTTGCTCTCAATAAACGAAGGCCCTGGTGGGATGGATAAACTAATGAATCATCCATATCATTGGATAACAAACATAACTTATCATAACTTATCCTGGATTCTGACTGTAACATTTGTACTTGTTTCATGACAACATGACAAAAATATGAGGTAAAAAGTCATTTTGTGAAGATTTTTGATAAATCATCACAACTGATTATAGAAACTAAAGAAGTCATCAGGCAGTCAGAGGCTGGAAATAAAATCAGCCATCAGGTTCAGAGATGAATTAAAACATTGATCATTAGAGGCTGTTAAACATTCACAGATCAAATCCAACTTGATTTTGTAAAAGACGAAATGATTATTTCCTCTATGGTAGTTTATTTATTTATTTATTTATTCGACTTGCAGAAATGTTTGCTGTAATCTTTGTTCCTATAGAAACAAGCCATTTGTAGTGAAACATTTCAAAGATGTTTCTGATCTCAGATGAAATCCTGTCTTGTTTCCAGATCCTGGTCCAGCAGCTCTCTCAGTGAATCCTGACAGAGTTCAACACTTCAGATCTGACTCTGTGTCTCTGAGCTGTGAGGGAAACTTTACTGAGTGGAGAGTGATGAGGTTTACAGAAACACGACAACTGTCATACTTTACCTGCTTCATCTGGGGGACAATGACTGGATCTACATGCACCTTTGAACTGTACTATTATAATAATGGAGTTTACTGGTGTGAGTCAAAATCTGGAGAGTTTAGCAACGCTGTCAACATCACTGAACAGGGTAAGATTTGGTTTATTATGATTTTTCTTTGACCTCCTTTTGCTTTTAGAAAATCAACAAAATACAAAAAATCAGCAATAATATGTTTAGTCCAAGGTTAAGTCACAAAAATAATTCTTGTAAAAAACGTGTTTGCTTAAATTCATTTTATCTTCTATTCCATTATAACTTTGGTTAATCTTTTAAAGTTTATTGGGTGGTATCAAGAGGTTTACTGGTCTCTATTTAAAAGAGGTAGAAAATAATTTTAAAAAATCATTTCCAGAGATTTAAAAGTAAAAATTCAGACAAAAATAAAAATTTTGTTATTCTTGATTTAAATAGTCTCCAATTAATCTAGCTAAAATCTTCTTTTATTTTGTCAGAAAAAAAGACAAAAATCAGATTATATTTTGGAGTATAAAACATTGAAAAGACATTTTTATTCCAGGAAACTTTTAGTTGGACGTGAACATTTATTATATTTATTTAGGATTGTATTGAGTTTTATTGTATTGTACGTTGTGCAGTTAGTTAAACTGTGAAGCATTTTGACATTTGTCTTTAAAAATGGGCCACATTCATTTTTACTATCTTTATTTTATTCTTCTCAGATCAATTCTGACTTTCTGTACAAAATGACTTATATTTTACAAACTTGTAAAAAATGGTTTGATGGGTTTTATTTAATCAGCAAATATATTTTTAGATTTACATGGATGATTACTTATTTGATTTTATTTCCAACATTAGGAAATGATAACATTAAATTTCTTGAAGAAACATAAAATTATTTCTCTAAAATTCCCTTAATCTTTCAATGATTCAATGAGATTTTGACCATATTCAACTATCATAACCTTTTCAGATAATTTATTTAACAGTCTGTGAAGTGGACAGCAAGATTAAATTAATATCTGAACCATTTCAAACTGAGAACAAATACCTGAGGATGATGAGGATGAAGATCCCACTGATAAACTGATTGATCAGAGATCAGAAGATGATGATGATCATTTGGAGTAAAAATGAAGAAATGACTCCATTTGTTCATCATCTCTAATCCATTGACCAATTTATGAAGGTATTTTCATCATTAATTAGAGGAAATATTTTCAGAGTCCATTGAAGAATAACAACTCAGTTAAAACCTCTTTTAGTTTTGATATTTTACTTGATCCAAAACAAAACAATGTAAAAGTTGTAAGATAATAATTCATGTTATTATTTAGATAATAGATGACATCTTAAAAATTATAATGTTTTTGCCAATATAGTTATCAGATCGTTTTTTTAATTACTGACCAGGTTTTTGTACTTTCCACTTGAGTTTTGATTATTTATTTTGATGAGCTCAGGTCTCCATAATTCTGACCTTTAAATCTTTCACAGATTCTCTATCAGATTAAAACTGAGACTCTGGTTGGAATTATTTATTCCAAATCTACAGTAAAATAATTATTATATTAGTTAATTACTTTCATGTCTACTAAAATGGACAAATGACGGCTACAAAGGAGAAATGAAGAAACGTGACTGCAAATGCATTTTTGTTTGAAGAATCAAACATTTAATATATGAAGTATAAATCTTTCATGATCACTAAATTTCACAATGTCACTGCAATTGAAAACATTCAGTTCAAGAAATATTAGTCAACCTAATATTCTCTGATTGTTTTACAGATGATTATTATAATGGTATTATCCTGGTGAGCCCTGTTCATCCTGTGACTGAAGGAGATCCTGTGACTCTGAGCTGCAGAAATAAACAACAATTTCTCTCCAATGTGTTTTTCTATCATAATGATAAACTCATCAATAATGACGGCAGAGAGAAGCTGAATATCTCTGCAGTGTCAAAGTCAGATGAAGGTTTCTACAAATGTAAACATTCAGGAAAAGAGTCACCAAGGAGCTGGATGTCTGTTAGAGGTGAGGAGGATTAAAATATTTCATTCATTTCATTAAAACTGTTTAAATATTAGAAACAAGATGAACACTGAGGATGTTTGTGTTGCTGATGTTTGTCAGTATTTTAGCCTAAAGTCACTTTTATTCAAACAGAAAATCTCATACAGTCTGCAAATGAAAAACATTTCTACTTTATTGTTCCTTGTTTCCAGTGACTCTAACCAGTTCAGTCAGTTCTTCATTTCCTGTGTTGCTCATCGTTGGATCAGTTGTTGGAATCGTTCTCATTATTCTCATTATTGTCCTGATCTTGTTGTGGCGCTGCAGACGGTCCAGAGGTGAGACATTTTTATCCTCACATGAGATCATGTTCAGTCGAACACTTTATTTGTTCAAATGTTTCAAGTTTATTGTAATGTTTTAGAATACATTAAAAGCATGAAAAAAATTAAATGTATTTTTTTCCCTGCAGATTTAAGCAGTAAAAGGTCAGTAAGAATATTTGTTCTTTCTTTCTAATCATGCATCAAATAATTACTTCCATTGATGCATTTGTGTCTCTATTGTTTTCAGAGTGAATCAACCTGACAGCATCAATCCAGCCTCAGCTACAAATCATGAAGTGACCCAGAATGACGGTTCTGTTTACAGCTCTCTGCTTCACGGTTCGTCTCACATTAAATGTCTTTATGTTTAATCACTTTGTAGTTTCCAGATATGTGAACTGAGAACACGTGACTTTTGTGATTAGAATTTTAAAAAAATTTTGCTGCCACCAAGCGGTGGGAAATGGGAGTTGCAAAATACTTTATGCCACATGATAATTAAGATAATTTTCCTTTTTCTAATAATGATTTTATGAACAAAGAAAACAAATAAATACAGAATGAATCACATTTATACATTAATGTTGTTTGGCTGAAATAATTAAATAGAATTGATCAATAGTTAATATTTTTCAACAATCTACTATTAAATAAAGCTGTAACATAATCATAAAATGAAGAAAATTCACACTGGTAACAAATATTACATATTGTCAGGAAAGATACTAAACTAATCAAACATAAATAAAAAAATCTATTAGAACATCTACTTTGTTTTAAATTGATGTGATAATTTTATTAATTTTCACTCAGTTGAACTTTAACCTTGTTGTCTTTAGGTGACACTTCCCTCTATGAGACAATCCCACTCAACAGAGGAAACGGTAAAGTAAATGTTTTATAGCAGCTAAAGACACTGATGATAAACTGACCATAAAAAATACTGAAATATCTTTGATGAGGAAAAATTGAAATACATTAAATATGCAAATTTAGAATGTAAATACCTATAACAACTTATGAAATCCAAAAAGTAAGATGATTTGAAGATTTTTCTCAACATTAATTTTCTTTTTGTGCGATTTCTATTTGATTCGTCTGACAATCTCAGCAGAGAGGATCCATGATCCAACAGAAGAGTCTGACTATGCTAATGCTAACCCAGGTAACTACAACCCAACATGAGGTTCAGATGGTTTACATAAACATAATAGACATAAAGTATTGACTAAAATTAATAACCACAACAAAGGAAATTAATGTAAAAGTTGGTTTGATTCTGCAATGTACTTCATATTTTAGTGTTCAAAATATTCATTTTAGATTCTCTTCATGATGATTTTAATTGTATCAGTTTATTGGTCTGATATGCTATTTTACAGGAGATTTAAAGTAAATCACTGAATTAGAATCAAACATGATTTTACCTTTGAACATGTTCAACTCTCAGAGGCTTTTATGTAATTTTTGTTGCTCATTAATATGTGACTCAAATTATTTCTCAATTGACAGGAAACAGGAAGGTGATGGTTGGTCCTCCAGCAGGGCTGGCCCAAGGCAAAGGCAACGCAAACTGAGTGTCCGCTAAGGGCCCGGGTTGCTAGGGGCCCCTTAAGTGGAAATGATTTCTTTTTTTATTAATGATTTCTGTGATTATATCAACAAAAACACACAATTTCCTTATAAAGATGTGATTTGTTTTATGCAATAACATATTTGATGATGATGTTGATGATAATAATATTAACAATACTATTTCTACTAATAATAGTAATAATAATAGCAAATTGTTCTTTGATGCCCTCTACTGTCTATAGTGGGTGTCGCTTCTCCGGTACTATGATCTGCCTGTAATGTGAAGTTCACCGGTGGAAAATAAGTTAGCAAAACTTACTTGAGTATCTATGCAGTAGAAATGTGTGCTATATTATTAGCTTTAGAATGGGTGGAGGATAGTAAAGGAAATAAATTTATAATTTGTAGTGATTCACTATCTGCTGTGATGAGTATTGAAAAGGGATGTTCAAGTAATCATCAAAATATATTATTATGGCTGTTCATCATAGAATATGTGAACAAAATAAAAATGTAATATTATTTTGGACTCCTGCTCATGTAGGTATTTTAGGTAATGAAAGAGCAGATAGGTTGGCTAAGGAGGCTAGTAAAAAAGAAGAAATTGATATGTTAGTAAAGCTATCTAAATCAGAGGGGAAAAGTATAGCTTGGAGAGAAAGTAAAAAGATATGGAAAATTAGGTGGGATAATGAAATTAATGGAAGGCATTTACACAGGTTTCAAAATACAGTTGATGTAGAAAGGGTCAGAGGATTAAATAGAAAGGTAGAGGTAATTATAACTCAAATAAGAACCGGGCATAGTTTATTAAATGGAACTCTATAAGATGGGGAAACATCCTACTGGTTTATGTAGTTGGTGTGATTCTGTAGAAACAATGAAACATGTTTTTATTAGTTGTAGAAAATATGAAAATGAAAGAAAATTATTAATATTGGAATTAGGCTGTACTGGGGAATTGAAGTTTGAAAAAGTGGTTGATCAGTTAAATAGTAAGGAGGGGAGGATGACAATTTTTTGTTTTTAAAAAACAGTGGGATTATTTTGAGAATTTGAGAGATAATTAAGATCCAATAGATGGCAGTAGTGCAACAAAAATGGATGCAAGCTGCCGTTAAAACCTAAAGAAGAAGAAGAAGTTAGCAAAACAATAGCTCTGTAAAGGACTTAGCTTTCATGGACAAATAGAGGAAAGAGGAAGAATAGAAAAACGTCGAGATAAAGGTATGTTTCCATGTGTCTTGGTAATGTAAGGTTTATCAAAAATATTTGTGGAAAATTATCTTAAATCTTAAAAGAATATTCAACAGCCAAACATTTATGCTAGCATCTTTGTATGAGAAACTGAGCTTTAGCTTTAAATGAGTTTATTGTCGTCGTTGGCCTCATATTTTAAAGATTTGTTTGTTTTTTTCTGGCTTATAAACATGTGTTTCACATTTGCTGACAATTATTAAAACTTCTCAATGTTTGACTTTGTCCTGCAAAATGCGTTTCCATCAGGCTACATGATACTGCATTGATCTGTCAATAAGCTAATCTTAGCTGTAGTTGACAATATGTGGTCATTTATGTAGCTAAAACAAACATGATTTTTACAAACACTTATAAGTTTTGTGAAACTTCTCCAGGACCTGTTAACATTATTTGAAGGTACAGAACCGACCCAGCACCGGTCCACATCCTCAGACGAGAAAAAGTCACCTAGTATAAATTTAATGTTTAGCTGTTGGAGTAATTAGTATTTCATGAATATCTGTGTTCCATCTTAAGTCCAGTGCACACTACCTGTTTTGTTGCTTTTACTACCACTAGCCTATAGGATACAATTGACAAAGCACAGTCAGAGATGTAATAAATTCATATCAGGTGTGCAAATGATCTAATCATTTGACTGTTGATTGGAACAATCCACTTTGTTAGCAGAAACTAATTTTGCTTACAGCCTCATTGAGGCTTTCCTCAGCGCTGTTCTCCAGCAAACCGCATCAGATGAAAGCTGTTATCTTGTGTAATCCCAAATCTTTGTATGCTTTTATTACAATCCTGTCAATAAAAAATATATTCCAAATATCAGAAATGCCTCCTTTTGCTTTAAAAAACTGTCTTTTACATATATTTTGTATTAGATCTGTGAAATGTAATAAAAACTAATTCTACACATTATGTGTAACTGCTGCCTTTCTTTTCTAACATTATTTATAAAATGTAGACACTGATGGCAAAAACTATTCATAAAACGTAAACTTAAGACACCCTAAGGTCACTTTAGGTTCAATATGTCCATGTAGTGTTGTGAAGTGTTAAGAATTAAAGAGGAATAACTTTATTTATCTCGTTGATTCATTCCTCTGATCCCGGATTCTTGAGCCTCAATATGCGCAGGGAGAAAGAGCAATCATACGACATCAGACTTCAGATATCTAGAGTTTTATCTAGAGAATTCAAATGCATAAAGAATGTTACAATAAGCATCTCACCCAGATTATCAAAAAGTCCAAGACGTGACAAAACAGAAATAATTGCACCATTTAAAAGAAAGAAAGTAAGCACAGAAAATGCATCTTCCGGGAATTGCGGACTCGGGCAGAAAGCAATTTGAATTCTCTGTTGCAAATGAAAACTTATAAGACTGTGCTTTTCTCTAAATTTAAATATATGCATTAGGAGGTGTGTTTTTCCCTTTGTGGGGGCTGTCTTAATGTTAATTTTATTACCTCTGGGGCCTGCTAAAAACACCCAGATTTTCTCGTACCAGGCTCTTGCCCAGGCCATGATTTATAGCGTGCAGCTGGAGCGTTCTCTGCCTCAGTGATTGAACTAGAACGTGTTTGTGTTTTACTGAAACAAAATCTAATGCTAAAAACTTACTATAAGTTTGGATCTAAAACTAACTAATTCAAAACATGCTGTTTACCGCCCTAAATAAATATATTAATACGTTTGATTATATTTTGTAACGGACTTCTATAGTTTTTAATGTTTGCCTGAACTCTGAGTAAAGAATTTATTATCCTGATAGCCAATATGCTCCCTGTCTGGAAACCCTTCTTAAGGAGTATAAGACTTGTCTTCTGGTTAGAAATTTATGTATGTTTCAGAGAATCACCAGCTGCCCCAGCCTGGATCTTTATCTAAGTTTGTCTTAACATAAAGGTTAGCCTGTGTACGATTGTGCTAATTTAAAATTGTATTTCAACAGAAGTAATCAGCATTGTAAGGAACATTTATTGTAAAGTAACTTAAATTAAAGAAATCTGTCAGAACATGTGGAGTATGTCTGACTATAAGTTTGCTCCAACCACATCAAAAACTCAATTTTACTTCCAACAATATCTTTCTACTACAGATAAAGGAACTTTTACTGCTCAGAACGTCACTTCCGTGTTGTGGTAATGGGACAGTAAATGTGTTTTGATTTCTATTTCCCACTGGCAGCAAAGAATAGTTTGAATTACAAAGGTCCATGTGTTTTCAGTTAATTTCTGGAAGCTACCAGTTTTAGTCATATCAAGTAATTTTAAACTGTAACCTTTCTGTTCTTCCAATCATTTGTAAATGCAGCCACTGATGAAAGGAAACAGTCATAAAAATAAAACTTAAGACACCCTAAAGCATGGCCGTAACTTCCTGAAGGACTGATGTGGACATGTCCCCACCAAGTCTGGCCTGATTGCGTTTTCTGTGTTGTTTCCAGGATTGAACAGTGGTGGAGAGTGGACGGCAGGTGAACCACGACGGAGGAACAGAGGTGTGAAAAAGTGTTCGCTCCCTTCCCTATTTACTTTTATTTTGCATGTTTCTCGGACTGAACTGTTTGATAACAACAAACCGATTTGGGAAAAGAAAACATGACATAACTCAGACCTGAGTTGATTTGTCTTTAGCCTCACCGAGAGCTGAAAACTGCCACACCTGTTCTCAAGCAGGACATCGCATGAAGGGACAGTGTTATGTAAAATTGACTTTTTTGAGTTTTACATCATGTTATAATGGCCTCAGCAGGAAAAACCTAAAAATAAAGACACCAACTACATTAGAAATGTCTGTTTATTTTATTAAAAGCAGTTCAACCAGTTCAATTCTCTGCGTGGAGCTTTAGTACAGGAGAGTATGTGGGACATGAACTTGCAATAATTTGTTAATTTGCTCTTTGACACACGTTGGCATCAATAACAAAACTACAACATTTAGATTCTGAAATTTGGATGAACTGTTCTAAAACTAAAGATGGACGCTGAAGACATGACCAGATTATCTCTAAAACATTAACAGGAACAAGACCAGTGTGGACATGCAGTGGACAGAGAAGGTTGCCATGGAAACAAGTGGAAGAACTGTCAGACTGTTGACAAATACTAACCAAGGTGAAGGATGACGTCAACAGTGATGGTAAAATGAAGCTTCGTGGTTTTAAAATAATGTTTATTAATCAAAGCTTTTCAACACAGTCCTCTTTTGCACCATCTTGTGGTCAATGGTATGAACTGCAGTTTGGATTTACGAGCTAAAACAAACTACTTCATTCTAACTGTCCACTATAGAGGGTTCTGTAAACAGCATTTGCTTTATTATCATGTGATACTTTTATATACTTATAGTGGGAATTTTTTTATTTCTGTTTTCAACATATATTTTTAGGGAGAAAAAATGTGGCCCATTAAAAATGCTACTGATGGTGAATAATCTTTCCTTGGCTGAACGTGGGTCATTGTGTCATCTACATTTGTTTTTGACTCTTTAACATTTGTGAATATAATCGATAAAATGAGCACTAAAGCAACCATAGATCTCACCTCGATAACTAGTGAATCAGGTATTAAACAACCAAAATTGTGAACATCTGACTGTCCAGACTAATCAGGCCTCATCAGCTCCACACTGACCAACACTAAGCTTTAGCACTAATAGATATCAATATATTTAATAAAATGTTTATTTACCTTTAGATGATACATTAACCACAGAGTGCTGCATGCTACTTTTTTTAATCTGTAACATCAGTGAGACATATTTCATGCTCTTTATTTTTTGACCCAAGATCTACACCTAAAGACATTCAACCCCTAATTATTTGCACCTCATGTCTTAAAGCTCCAATGGCGTTTTAACACATGTTCTACATGTTATCCACCAGATCAGCCATCCTTCATTCACAGGCCTTATTATGGGAAACATGTACAACTGAATGTCCTATATGACCGCCTTTTTAACACTTACGCCCACTTCTGTTCCTGCACATGCAAACCCACACACACAAAATGTATTAAGAAATATGCTGATAAGTTCCCATGGTGATGCTCTTTGAGATGCATGTTCTTCTATCGTTCTTAGAAATGTTTCTGGGAAGCAAAAGGGGCCTGAATTTAAGTCTCACCCAGGAGTGTTTCTGTATGCTGTAGTGTCTCACAAACTTCCTCAAAAATCCAAAAGCATGCATGTTATCTGTACAGCAATCTCTTCAGTTTGCTGCTGCTCTTTGTTCCTTGAACAAATGTTGGTTTTAGTAATGAGTCTGTTCCGGTGGTGGTGACCTGCAGCCTATAACAGGTCAGTGGGTAAAACCAGATCGGACGTCTGATACTGACTCCTCAGTCAGTATCAGAAGGTCAAAGTTACCGTTTTAGCTTTTTTCCTTTTCTTGTGTAAAGTTCACACATCAAAACAGGAGAATGATTAAAAATGAGAATGAGCAAACTGGTTTTTGCAAACCATTATATTGCAACTCTGTTTAGACACATGCATTCAAATGTAGTGTTTTCTGTTTATTTGGATGTTTCCGTGTGAACCTGCAAAAAACATTGTGTTAAAGTTAAAATATCTCTGCAACGGACAGGAAATACAAACCACCATCAAGTGCTGCAGTCTCAATGGCTGCTGTGGTGTGAAGTTGGTGTAAAAGGGAAGGAAATAGAGACAGGGGATTGTAAGAATTAGAAGCATGACACGTATTGATGTCATATGTGTTTTAGACTTAACTTCTCCTTTTATGTGAACACAATTCAAACCAAGTAGAAGCCTTTCAGTCGAGCTGTGCAGCCGTTCTGGATGCCAGGATGAAACCCGCTCCGCTCTGCATGCTGAGCTTTTTCTGTAAGTTCATCACTGACTTTCTGCTCAGAGGTTAAAGAAAATGTTTCTTCATGATAACATGTAGCCATGTGTCTGTTAAGATCTGACAATGTTGAAAAGAGAATGCTCAAGTCTTTTTCCTCTTTTTGTAATCAGCATTGCAATTCAAGCAGCTTTTGTCTCTGTTTTGACAAATGAACACTATGTGAATTATTGGACATAATGTGATACTTATGTCTTTATTTATTGTTTTTAAACAGCCATTTTATTTCAATCTTCATCTAAAATGAATCAAATAACATTGTGATTTTTATTCTTAAAAATAATGTCTAAACCTTGATCTTTATTGCAGTGCTCAGTCCTCTGCTTCATGGACGTGCTGATGGTGAGTAACTTGTTTTGTTGTTAACATAAAGGAAGAAATATGTGTATTTCCATTGCATTTACCTTTGTTCTTTGCAGAAATTGAGCCTAATTTTCGAAGTTTAGGAACAAACACTTGTAATCGGCACTTAAGTATCAAAATTCTTGTTTTTGGAGAATAAATAACTTCTGTCTAAACCAAATGTCAGAAGGACCATTTGCTCTTGTATTACTGGAATATATTATATTGACATGTTATGATGTACAGTAGATGAGAGGAAGCTGAACAAAAAGAAAACTAATTTGGAACCTATTGCTGCACCGAACAACTTGTTCCTCTTTGTGTCTATTTGCCGACTCTCAAGACTGTCCTGGAGAGTCAAGTTATAATTTCAACGACAAAATAAAGGGAACATGCATCTCACAGAGCATCACTATGGCAACTTAGCACATTTTTATGTGTGTGGGTGTGTGTGTGTGTGTGTGTGTGTGTGTGTGTGTGTGTGTGTGTGTGTGTGTGGGGGGTGTGTGTGTGTGTGTGTGTGTGTGTGTGTGTGTGTGTGTGTGTGTGTGTGTGTGTGTGTGTTTGCATGTGAAGGAACGGAAGTGGACATAAGTGTTAAAATGGCGGTCGTATTAGTTGTAGTCAATTGTACATGTACTTTATCAGAGAAGTACTGAAGGCTGTAAAAGTCCTGTTGGTTTCCACTAAGTTATGATTTTAGTGTCTTTGTTAGGAAATGAAATGTTTTAAATCTGCTGGTCGGGGCCATTCAGGGGCCCCTAAAAATGGTTTAATTGTAACACATCTGTAGCATCATTTATAGAGAATGTTATTACATTTTATTTATTGCATTCAGCTGAGAAAAAAATTACATTTAGGATTTAATTTGGAAGTTTACCTTATAAAATTTAAAGAGCCATCTTGATAGTTTGATTGTTGTGTTACCATGGCTACAATATGATATAATCTTTGTGTTTGAGTTGGGTTTGTTTACAAATACATCACAGCAAATAACCAATAATCAGTGATTGATGTTAAACTGGGCCAATAATCCTGGTCTCCCTCTCACAGATTCACCTTATCAATATTTAATCATGTTAGTGACGCTGAGGTTCTTAGTAGGAAGAGTTTCTTAGTGGGGGATTCTGTCTAAGGCCCCAGATTACCTTGGGCCGGCCCTGCAGGAACAGCCGCTGCGATGCGCCTCTCTGGGATCTACCTGAAATCACCTGAATCCCCCTGAGGCCTCCATGTCAGTCCACAGATGCTTTGGGGACATTTTGATTCATTTCATTGTGGCATGTTTGGCTTTATGCTGCGAATCTGATTATTGGTCCAGTATTTTCTCTGATGTTTATTGTGTGACTCTAAAAGCTCTGGACCAAATCTTCCTTTAACACTTGAGGTTCTGGAATAAGTTATATTTACAGCTGCTCACCTGCAGCCCAGATCCCGTCAGCAGCGACTTTAACCCACCTGGTAGAAACGTTAAGGAGAAACAGAGTGAACAGAGACCAGGTGGTACCACCAGGTGGTAGTACCAGGTGGTACCAGGTGGGGCTTTGAGCTGTGTCGCGACTCGCGTTGACAGTCGCAGTACCGTGTCTTATATCAGGATCTCTGATGTAAATACAGACATTCTTTCCATGTGTAGGTGGGACCGACCCAGACGGCCTGTAGAACCAGGCTTTTAGCAGAATGATGAAGTAAAAGTCAGAAGTTTCTCTGCAGTCGAAGCTTTTCTGTATTTAGGGGTGAGGTGGGTTTTTTCCCGCTATCGTGAGGAAAATTATTAAAATATAAAAAGATTCAGTTTTTCTAATGTCAAAATCAGATGTATGTTTTTATTCACAATCCAGTTTATAAAAATATTCTTGTCCATAGTTTGATAGTTATAGGAAACAAATCCTCCCCCCTCCTCCTCACCATGGACCTGCAGTCTGAACAACATGGAGGCAGAAACTGAGAGTCATGATTAGACTGAGGGCAGATAGACTAGTTTATTTTGTTAAATTATTATATTTAGCTAAATATTATTGCTGAGGGGCACAAGCAGACCTTCTGACATTCAGATTTTAAAAAAAGGAAAAAGCTAATTAAGGGCACTTGGGACATTAAGGATAAAAGGGCCAGGGGCCCAAGCCCCCTCTAGCCCCCCGTCTGCATGTGCCTGGAGAAGGGGACGCAAAGTTTTGATATTGTCAAAACTACGATAGCAAGATAATAAGATCCAAAGGGAAGACATTTCATAGGCCAGTAAAAGCTTTATACAAAGTTGAGAGTAGGTTAGTTATGCTAGTTTAACCATTATCACCTTTACATGAACTGTTGCTGTGCTGTCCGTTTTTCTAAATTTGTCTCCGGGACAAATTGCATCATTTGTTCGTAGAATGTGGTGATATTCAGAGCAGTCATCAAATAAGATGAAATATTTCATAAAGTATATAGGAATCAAAGTTTGTAACATTTTAAATCATGGCTCCTATTAAGTAAAATTAAATGATGGGTCATTTTAAAGAGAAATTTGCTTTATTCTCTCTTGTTTCTAGAACTGACAGAAACCAAACTATCGATTTATTACCAGAGAGAATATATAGATATATATATTATATATCAAAACATCAGCATCTCAGCTTTAAGCCACATTTGACAAAATCCAAAAACATCGATGGTCCTCTACTCACCAACCAGACCCAAAACAGGTTTTGCGTCTTTAATATTTGCTACATTAAAGACACATGATATCTCATTTCAAACTGTATCGTCTCACACAGAGAAAAGAAGCAGTTAGAAGATTTTAATGAACAAATTCTTTGGCGCTCGAACCCGGTAGAAGACTAGTGAGCTGAGGATCGCCGAGGGTAGATGATGAGTCTGGTGAAGCTCACTAGTCTTTGCCCCCGGTCCGAATCCTGGTGATGGAGCGGAGCCTTGGAGGAGGAACGAAGAGTGGGCCTGGAGGATGTTCGTCGGGCTGAAGGTGGAGATGGGGAGGAGGCGGGATGAAGCACGGCTGACGAGCAGGCAGACACCTGGTGGCTAGGCTCCTTAAAGAGACCGGCTTAACGATGATTGGGTTGTGCGGCGCGAGGCACCGATCCTGGTTGGCTGCGGCGTGTCGTGAGTGATGGGGATCAGCTGTGTTCTGTCTCCAAGCTTGAATTTACGCCAAAGCTTCATCTGCTGTGTCAGCAGGACAAAAGATTTAGCCAACCAGCTGAGAAATCAGAATCACATAATTGAAAAATATAAAGTTTGATCCATTTGGTTTAGACAGATTTAATGTAACAACATCTTTAATGTTCTGCCTTGTAGCTGTTGATCAATTAAATATGGAGGTTTGTTTGTCCAAACTTGGTTCTCACAATTCATTGATTGATTGATGGCTTCATATTAGTAAAGATCATCTTGGCTACATTAGACTTTAGACTCAGACTTTGTATAAACTGTGTTAAATAAGGTTCAACCAATCAGTGTATGTTGTTGCTGAATTAATCAAACTGGACTTGAGTTTGAATTGTCAGGTCAGATGTGGAATTTCACCAAAATGCAACAATTAAATTTCCTCTCGTTCATAATAAACATGATGGAGAATCTAGTTTGTTAGGCTGTTGCAGAATTCATATTTCTCAGTTTGAAAAAATAAATGTTCAATTTTGGTGCATATATTTTTATTATAACAAAATGCTTTTGGAAATAATTAATAATTCATATTCAAATATTTTAAAATATTGTTCTGATTTTCAAACTGAACAGCTGATGAACCCAGAGCCACCCTGACAGCAGAGAACAGCATCATACCAGCAGGGGGCAGTGTTACACTGAGCTGCTCTGTGGACGGATCCACTGACTGGGAGTTTGAATGGTTCAGAAATAGACAACATTATCCTGAATCCTCTGGAAACACAGAACCAGGTGGAACCATCAGAGTCTCAGAGGGAGGGAAGTACAGATGCAGAGGAAGAAGAAGAGACTCATCTTTTTACTCAGACAGTGAAGCGGTCACCATTCAGAAAGCTGGTGAGTTTAGTTATCAGGTCATCATCATGACAACACTTGATCATTGAAACTCAAATTTGTTTCCTACTTATTCAGAAAATGTAATTATTAAAATATAATAATAAAGTGATGAATCAGCAGGACAGAGAAATATTTACAGTTTCAAGATTTGACTTTATTTCCACTGAAACCACCAAAGTCATCAGATGTTATAAATAATTTAATCTGATCTCAGATATTTAGAATGAACATCCTGATGTAAAATATATTCATCAAATACAACAAGATTAATTTTCCTTTGGGATCAATAAGACATTTTTAAATTGAATTGAAGTTGAAATATTTTGTCCCACAATATAGAAACCTTTCTGCAGAAAGTGAGTATTGGGTCAATAGACCTGGTTTAATCAAAAACAATTATTTTAGGTTCTGTTTACTTTTCAGCTCATTTTATTACTTGTGTTTATGGAAATTTCTTGTTAGAAATGTGTATTTTATCTGAATCTCTCCTGACCTCACGGTTTCACATGATTCAGTGCAGCTTAAAGCATCATTAGAACATGACTGCATGTGGAGTGTAAGTCTGTTGTGCTGATTCTGTCTGACATGTTAATGTCTATGTTTTAGTCTGATGAGAAATTATTCATGTTGTTTCAAATTGCTCCCAACCTTATTCATTCTGATTAATATTCTTGCAGAAATAAAGGCAACTTTGAAAGCAGACAAAACTACCATACCACCAGGGGGCAGTGTGACATTAACCTGTTCTGTGGACAAACCTGCTGATTTAACATTTGAGCTCTTAAGAGAACCTTCATTCACCGATCAGACCAGAGTTTCTCCTACATCAGATGGAGTTTTCAGAATCACAGAAGGAGGAATTTACACCTGCAGAGGAGAAATGACAAACTTTGTGACATCTATAAGTAATGAAGTCACCATTAATAAAACAGGTGACTTTATAAATTTGTCTTGGAAGAAAACATTGTATACTTTCTGATGAATAATCCATTTTAAAATGATCACTAAAAGACATTAGTCACTCTGTCACATATAGAGAGATAATATCTTATTTTAAATGTAAATATGAGTCAAGATTCATAATTTGTTAAATTATTAATATTCATTCAGCTGAATTGAATCATTCTGTTGAAATTTTTGCTGAAATGTGAGAAAAAAGCAAATTAACTCTAAATCTTTACATTTACTAATGTTTTCGTGAGATGTTGTGATGAACATTGAGATTTAGATTCTTCCAAGACATTTTAATGACATTTTATTGATGCAGTTTAATAAAATATATACCTTAAATGACACATCAGAGGAAAAATTCTTAGATTTACATTATTATTTCAGGTGTTACACTGTCTAATTAATTGTTTAGTTTTCAGACTGTTTGTTCTTCTAATCATGTTTCTTGCTGTAGTTTCCAACAGAGTTTCAGTCACTTCACAACCAAACTGGTCTCAGATCTACAGAGATGAGAGAATCACTCTGAGATGTGAGATCCAGGGAGGAACTGATTGGACGTATGAATGGAGACCAACCAATGGAAACTCTCCATCATCCAGTGAATATATGAGCATCACAGCTACTGAGTCTGACAGTGGAGATTACAGCTGTATGGGTAGAAGAGGCTACGAGTTCACAGGATGGAGTGAAGCCTTCAGACTGACAGTGTCATGTGAGTCAGACTGACCTCCATTCATCCTGAAAGTGTCTTTAGTTCCCTGATCTCCATAAAGTGAACAGAAATCAATAATATCTCCTTTTCACATAAAGAACTGACTGCAGGCTAAACTGACTTTTATAAAAGTTTTATAAAGAAGAAAAACTATTTTCTGTGCTTAAGGGATCCTAAACAGGAAGCTTAAAGAGGAACTGGATTATTTCAGAGAGAGATTAAGGGATTAGTGACTTAGATGCAAAATGTTTTGTAGTAAAATATTTTATGAAAATATTTACAAATGTAACATCTTTAATGTTCTGCCTTGTAGCTGTTGATCAATTAAATATGGAGGTTTGTTTGTCCAAACTTGGTTCTCACAATTCATTGATTGATTGATGGCTTCATATCAGTAAAGATCATCTTGGCGACATTAGACTTTAGACTCAGACTTTGTATAAACTGTGTTAAATAAGGTTCAATCAATCAGTGTATGTTGTTGCTGAATTAATCAAACTAGACTTGAGTTTGAATTGTCAGGTCAGATGTGGAATTTCACCAAAATGCAACAATTAAATTTCCTCTCGTTGATAACAAACATGATGGAGAATCTAGTTTGTCATATTTCTCAGTTTGAAAAAATAGATGTTCAATTTTGGTGCATATATTTTTATTAAAACAAAATGCTTTTGGAAATAATTAATAATTCATGTTTTAATATTTTAAAATATTATTATGATTTTCAAACTGAACAGCTCATGAACCCAGAGCCACCCTGACAGCAGAGAACAGCATCATACCAGCAGGGGGCAGTGTTACACTGAGCTGCTCTGTGGACGGATCCACTGACTGGGAGTTTGACTGGTTCAGAAATGGACGACATTATCCTGAATCCTCTGGAAACACAAAACCAGGTGGAACCATCAGAGTCTCAGAGGGAGGGAAGTACAGCTGCAGAGGAAGAAGAAGAGACTCATCTTTTTACTCAGACAGTGAAGAGGTCACCATTCAGAAAGCTGGTGAGTTTAGTTATCAGGTCATCACCATGACAACACTTGATCTTTAAACTCAAATGTGTTTCCTACTTATTCAGAAAATGTAATTATTAAAATATAATAATAAAGTGACGGAAAAATATTTTCAGTTTCAAGATTTGACTTTATTTCAACTGAAACCACCAAAGTCATCAGATGTTATAAATGATTTAATCTGATCTCAGATATTTAGAAAGAACATCCTGATGTAAAATATGTTCATCAAATACAACAAGATTTAATTTCCCTTTGGGATCAATAAGACATTTTAAAATTGAATTGAAGTTAAATTATTTTGTCCTACAACCTTTCTTCAGAAAGTGAGTATTGGGTCAATAGAACTGGTTTAATCAAAAACAATTATTTTAGGTTCTGTTTACTTTTCAGGCCATTTTATTAGTTGTGTTTTTGGGGAATGTTTGTAAGAAATGTGTATTTTATCTGAATCTCTCCTGACCTCACGGTTTCACATGATTCAATGCTGTTTAAAGCATCATTAGAACATGACTGCATGTGGAGTGTAAGTCTGTTGTGCTGATTCTGTCTGACATGTTAATGTCTCAGTTTTAGTCTGATGAGAAATTATTCATGTTGTTTCAAATTGCTCCAAACCTTATTCATTCTGATTAATATTATTGCAGATATAAAGGCAACTTTGAAAGCAGACAAAACTACCATACCACCAGGGGGCAGTGTGACATTAACCTGTTCTGTGGACAAACCTGCTGGTTTAACATTTGAGCTCTTAAGAGGATCTTCATTCACCGATCAGACCAGAGTTTCTTCTACATCTGATGGAGTTTTCAGAATCACAGAAGGAGGAATTTACACCTGCAGAGGATATAAACCTGGGACAAACTTTATGACATCTATAAGTAATGAAACCACCATTAATAAAACAGGTGAGTTTATAAATTTGTCTTGAAAGAAAACATTGTATACTTTCTGATAAATAATCCATTTTGAAATGATCACTAAAAGACGTTTGTTATTCTGTCACATTTAGAGAGATAATATCTTATTTTAAATATAAATATGAGTTAATACTCATAATTTTTTCAATTATTAATATTCATTCAGCTGAATTGAATCATTCTGTTGAGGTTTTTTGCTGAAATATGAGGAAAAAAGCAAATTAACTCTAAATCTTTACATTTACTAATGTTTTCGTGAGATGTTGTGATGAACATTGAGATTTAGATTCTTCCAAGACATTTTAATGACATTTTATTGATGCAGTTTAATAAAATATTTGATATGTTAAATGACACATCAGAGGAAAAATTCTTAGATTGACATTATTATTTCAGGTGTTACACTGTCTAATTAATTGTTTGGTTTTCAGACTTTTTGTTCTTCTAATCATGTTTCTTGCTGTAGTTTCCAACAGAGTTTCAGTCACTTCACAACCAAACTGGTCTCAGATCTACAGAGATGAGAGAATCACTCTGAGATGTGAGATCCAGGGAGGAACTGATTGGACGTATGAATGGAGATCAACCAATGGAAACTCTCCATCATCCAGTGAATATATGAGCATCACAGCTACTGAGTCTGACAGTGGAGATTACAGGTGTATGGGTAGAAGAGGCTACGAGTTCACAGGATGGAGTGAAGCCTTCAGACTGACAGTGTCATGTGAGTCAGACTGACCTCCATTCATCCTGAAAGTGTCTTTAGTTCCATGATCACCAAAAAGTGAACAGAAATCAATAATATCTCCATTTCATTGAAAGAATTGACTGCAGGCTAAACTGTGACTTTTATAAAAGTTTTATAAAGAAGAAAACTATTTTTCTGTGCTTAATGGATGTGTAATTTCACCAAAATGATTAATGCAACAATTAAATTTCCTCTCGTTGATAACAAACATGATGGTGAATCTAGTTTGTTAGGCTCCTGCAGAATTCATATTTCTCAGTTTGAAAAAGTAAATGTTCAATTCTGGTGCATATATTTTTATTATAACAAATAATTAATAATTCATATTCTAATATTTTAAAATATTGTTCTGATTTTCAAACTGAACAGCTCATGAACCCAGAGCCACCCTGACAGCAGAGAACAGCATCATACCAGCAGGGGGCAGTGTTACACTGAGCTGCTCTGTGGACGGATCCACTGACTGGGAGTTTGACTGGCTCAGAAATAGACGACATTATCCTGCATCCTCTGGAAACACAGAACCAGGTGGAACCATCAGAGTCTCAGAGGGAGGGAAGTACGTCTGCAGAGGAAGAAGAAGAGACTCATCTTTTCACTCAAAAACCAGTGAAGAGGTCACCATTCAGAAAACTGGTGAGTTTAGTTATCAGGTCATCACCATGACAACCCTTGATCTTAAAACTCAAATGTGTTTCCTACTTATTCAAAAAATGTAATTATTAAAATATAATAATAAAGTGACAGAAAAATATTTTCAGTTTCAAGATTTGACTTTATTTCAACTGAAACCACCAAAGTCATCAGATGTTATAAAGAATTTAATCTGATCTCAGATATTTATAATGAAAATATATTCATCAAACTAAAAAACTTTTTTCTATTTTTATGCTAAATATGTCTTCAGTTTGGTTTGTGTGTATGAAACTATTCACATTTCCAGTCAAGTTTCTGATTTACAGTTTAACAAATGATTCACTTTATCATAAATATATTGAAACTTTCACAGAGTAAATTTCTGCTTCTTCATATCATTTTATATGTTCAGGTTCATTTTGTTTCTTTTAATCTCTTAACTTGATGTTTCTGTATGTGAACAGGTTCTAGCCGACTGTGATCCTGAATCCCAGCTCGTCTCTGACAGAAGATAAAATCCATCTGGAGTTTTATGCAGAAAGGACCTGAGTGGACGTATGAATGGAGAAAAAACAACTTGGATTATAATCCAACATCCAGGATCATCACAGCTGAGAGTGGAGATTACAGCTGCAGAGGAAAAAGTGACAATCTCTTAACACAGTGGAGTGATGTCATCACATTAACTATCTGTAAGTCATTAACTTATGATTTACATTAATCAATCAAGCAACAATAAAATTTATTAAACAGTTTAACATAAAAGCAGCAGCTGCTGTTTAACACATTTAGTTTTTTAAGTAAAAACAAATTTGTCCAAATCATCTGAATTTGCCTCTATTTGATGAAAATGCAATTATTATTAAAAACATAACATTTTATTGATGAATATGTTTGTTGTGCAAATGTTTAAAACTCTTAATTTCTTTCTGCTTTGCTACCAGTTAAATTGATGTGATTTTATTTTGAAAGGTTCTTATTAATTAAAACTAAATAAAATCTTAAAGGAGCTTCTGGACAGTTTGGAAGAAACGTTGATACTTTTTAAGTGATTTTAGAAAGTAGCTTCTCTCAGGGAGAGTGTTAAATTAACACTTCAATTTTACTCCAATCTGTTGTGGTAAACGTCTAACCAGATATTTATTTCTTTAGCTCCCAATAAACCCAGTTTGATTCTGCAACCCAACTGGTCTCAGATCTACAGAGGAGAGGAAATCACTGTGAGATGTGAGATCCAGGGAGGAACTGAGTATGATTGGACGTATGAATGGAGACCAACCAATAGAAACTCTCCAACATCCAGTGAATATATGAGGATCACAGCTACTGACAGTGGAGAATACAGCTGCAGAGGAATCAGAGGAGGGTTTTCCTTGACATCATGGAGTAATGTTATTAAAATAACTGTATGTAAGTGGATTATTTATTACTGACAAAGTATAAAATAACAAAATGCAGCTCATCCTATAGCACACAATCTAAGACTATAAGTATTTCTATTTTTTCTATAATCAGTCAGACCTTTCTAGATATTTCAGAGGTCTGATAGTTTTTCATGTTTATTCCCTATTAAATATTTGCATGAAGCTGAAAATTATTGTTAGATGTGTTACAGCTTTAGGCCAACCTTTAATTTCTTTATGTTTTATTACAAGAGATTAAAATGTTCTGAACATCTTTGAATGAGATTTTTATATATGAAAAAAGCCAAAGTCCAAAGAAAATGTCTGAGTTTCATAAAGTTCTTAGAGACATTGATCAAAGTCATCTTAGAGTTCAGTGATACAAGGAATAAAGATTCAATAGATTATATTGATCAGTGTTTCTAGTCCCTGATTTATGTGATAAAAGAAAAATGAAAGTGTTGAATGAAATAAAGTTCACATTTTAAGAATACAATAATGTAAAAATATAATATTATGGAAAAAGAAGTGAAATATTAAAGTTAAGGTTAAACCAGAAGGAGCATCTGTTATTATTATTATTATGGTTATTACTTCAATTTCAATATAAACTATATTAACTCTTCAAGGGAAATAAAAGGAAGAGAAAAGAGAGAGAGGTTGTGGTTAAATGTTTGACCCAGTTTTCAAATGTCTCTCCAGCGTCTCCCCCTCAGCCTGTCCTCTCTGTGTCTCCATCATGGCCGAATCCTGGAGCCTCAGTGACTCTGAGCTGTGAGGGTTTGGAGCTTCAATCAGCAGGATGGAGGTTCTTCTGGTATAAAGCTGTTCCAAACCCAAAGAGAGTTCCTACAGCTATGAACTGCTTCCTGACAGCATCACTGGGACTGAGCAGAACTCCATCATCATTAATGGACCGACTCAAACAGCAGGATATCAGTGCAGAGCAGGAAGAGGAGAACCAAAGTTTTACACTCATTACAGTGAAGTAAAGTTTATCTGGTCTGCAGGTCAGTTTGTTTATTTGCTCTCAATAAACGAAGGCCCTGGTGGGATGGATAAACTAATGAATCATCCATATTATTGGATAACAAACATAACTTATCATAACTCATCCTGGATTCTGAGTGTAACATTTGTACATGTTTCATGACAACATGACAGAAATATGAGATACAAAGTCATTTTGTGAATATTTTTGATAAATCATCACAACTGATTATAGAAACTAAAGAAGTCATCAGGCAGTCAGAGGCTGGAAATAAAATCAGCCATCAGGTTCAGAGATGAATTAAAACATTGATCATTAGAGGCTGTTAAACATTCACAGATAAAACCAACTTGATTTTGTAAAAGACGAAATGATTATTTCCTCTATGGTAGTTTATTTATTTATTTATTTATTTATTCGACTTGCAGAAATGTTTGCTGTAATCTTTGTTCCTATAGAAACAAGCCATTTGTAGTGAAACATTTCAAAGATGTTTCTGATCTCAGATGAAATCCTGTCTTGTTTCCAGATCCTGGTCCAGCAGCTTCTCTCTCAGTGAATCCTGACAGAGTTCAACACTTCAGATCTGACTCTGTGTCTCTGAGCTGTGAGGGAAACTTTACTGAGTGGAGAGTGATGAGGTTTACAGAAACACGACAACTGTCATACTTTACCTGCTTCATCTGGGGGACAATGACTGGATCTACATGCACCTTTGAACTGTACTATTATAATAATGGAGTTTACTGGTGTGAGTCAAAATCTGGAGAGTTTAGCAACGCTGTCAACATCACTGAACAGGGTAAGATTTGGTTTATTATGATTTTTTCTTTTACCTCCTTTTGCTTTTAAAAATCACCAAAATATCTATTATTGCAATAATATGTTTAGTCCAAGGTTAAGTCACAAAAATAATTAATTAGCAAAAAATGTTTTTGAATAAATTCATTTTTATCTTCTATTTCATCAATTTTAAAACTAATTTTAAAAGATCATCTTTTAAAGTTAGTTTGGTGGTATCAGGATGTTTTTTGAATTTAATAAAGGTAAAAAAAAATACAAATATTATTCCTGGGGTTTAAAAGTAAACATTCAGATTAAAATATTAATTTTGTTACTCTTGATATAAACTATTTCCAATCAACTGCGTGGCTGCTCATAGAAAACTAAAGTCATCTTCTGTTTTGTTTGGAAAAAAATTAACACACATTAACTAACATTTTTTTTCTAGGAAACTTTTAGTTGGACGTGAACATTTATTATATTCATTTAGGATTGTATTGAGTTTTATTGTATTGTACGTTGTGCAGTTAGTTAAACTGTGAAGCATTTTGACATTTGTCTTTAAAAATGGGCCACATTCATTTTTACTATCTTTATTTTATTCTTCTCAGATCAATTCTGACTTTCTGTACAAAATGACTTATATTTTACAAACTTGTAAAAAATGGTTTGATGGGTTTTATTTAATCAGCAAATATATTTTTAGCTTTACATGGATGATTACTTATTTGATTTTATTTCCAACACAAGGAAATAAATGATAACATTAAATTTCTTGAAGAAACAACAAATTATTTCTCTAAAATTCTGTTAATTTGATTTAATGAGATTTCAACCATATTCAACTATCATAACCTTTACAGATAATTTATTTAACAGTCTGTGAAGTGGACAGCACAATTAAATTAATATCTGAACCATTTCAAACTGAGAACAAATACCTGAGGATGATGAGGATGAAGATCCCACTGATAAACTGATTGATCAGAGATCAGAAGATGATGATCATTTGGATTAAAAATGAAGAAATGACTCCATTTGTTCATCATTTCTAATCCATTGACCAATTTATGAAGGTATTTTCATCATTAATTAGAGGAAATATTTTCAGAGTCCATTGAACAATAACAACTCAGTTAAAACCTCTTTTAGTTTTGATAATATTTTACTTGATCCAAAACAAAACAATGTAAAAGTTGTAAGATAATAATTCATGTTATTATTTAGATAATAGATGACATCTTAAAAATTCTAATCTTTTTGCCAATATAGTTATCAGATCATTTGCTTTAATCACTGACCAGCTTTTTGTTTGTTTCCTCTTGTGTTTTGATGATTTATTTTGATGAGCTCAGGTCTCCATAATTCTGATCTTTAAATCTTTCACAGATTCTCTATCAGATTAAAACTGAGACTCTGGTTGGAATCATTTATTCCAAATCTACAGTAAAATAATTATTATATTAGTTAATTACTTTCATGTCTACTAAAATGGACAAATGACGGCTACAAAGGAGAAATGAAGAAACGTGACTGCAAATGCATTTTTGTTTGAAGAATCAAACATTTAATATATGAAGTATAAATCTTTCATGATCACTAAATTTCACAATGTCACTGCAATTGAAAACATATTCAGTTCAAGAAATATTATTCAACCTAATATTCTCTGATTGTTTTACAGATGATTATTATAATGGTATTATCCTGGTGAGCCCTGTTCATCCTGTGACTGAAGGAGATCCTGTGACTCTGAGCTGCAGAAATAAACAACAATTTCTCTCCAATGTGTTTTTCTATCATAATGATAATCTCATCAATAATGATGGCAGAGATGAGCTGAATATCTCTGCAGTGTCAAAGTCAGATGAAGGTTTCTACAAATGTAAACATTCAGGAAAAGAGTCACCAAGTAGCTGGATGTCTGTTAGAGGTGAGGAGGATTAAAATATTTCATTCATTTTATTAAAACTGTTTAAATGTTAGAAACAAGATGAACACTGAGGATGTTTGTGTTGAAGATGTTTGTCAGTATTTTAGCCTAAAGTCACTTTTATTCAAACAGAAAATCTCATACAGTCTGCAAATGAAAAACATTTCTACTTTATTGTTCCTTTATTTTTCAGTCAGTTCTTCATTTCCTGTGTTGCTCATCGTTGGACCAGTTGTTGGAATCGTTCTCATTATTCTCATTATTGTCCTGATCTTGTTGTGGCGCTGCAGACGGTCCAGAGGTGAGACATTTTTATCATCACACTGGATCAGATTGTTCATTAATCATCACTTTAATTATTCTAATATTGACATTGATTCTTCACTCAAACTAGCAGCAGGACGATTTGAATAACCAAAACATTTATTTTTATCAGGTCTTTGCTGCATCAGGTAAGCAGGCATCTTTTTTTTCCCTCCCCATTATAAATCGTCATGTATATTCAAGATATAGATAAATGTAATGTATTTATTCGGCTTCAGGCCAAAGGGCTCAGAGGTCAGAGGCCAGAGCTCCACCACAAACCAGCCTGGAGGTCATGAATATGGATCTCTTCCTCCTGGTCAGAGTTTTATTAACGTGTCTTACATAAACTGTTTGTAATAAATTACAATTATTCATTTTTTTCTCTCCTTTTGTTCCTTGCAGAGAATGCTTATCTCTACGACACGATCGGCTCGGCTGAAGCTGCCGGAAATGGTAGATTAGATCATCTCGAGATGTTTCGGATTAAATAATTGGGTAATTTACAGACAAGTAAATAATCTTTTTTTCAATCTCTAATATTCCAGCAGCAGATGAACGCCCGGAAGTCACATACTCCCTCCTGGAAATGAAATCCTGTGGGAAAGAGAGTCAGTCCCACTTATACACAATATGCACCATGAAAAAATGACCCAGAATGGTTTCATCCTACATGTTGGTGATTATTTTATGTTTTTGTCCAGAGAGACGAGGTGGACCAGAAGAGGGCGCTGTTTACTCTGAGGTGAAAACAGGAGCTGCAGGTAAAGCTTCATGAACGATACGATAAAGTTTATTCCTCTACAATAGCCAGAGATTATAGATCCAACCTAAAAATAATACTTGGTGCTTAAGACACCAAGTATCGCTTAAGTTTGCTAGTGTCACTAATAAGTCGTCTTAATAATCTATAATATTTAGAGCATAAATACCATCTTAGTGCTTTTCTCTCAGCTGCATTATAATCCATCAGCTCTATAGGAAGGAACATAAACGTTTCCTGAAACCCGTTTCCTCTTTCCAGGCTCGACTGAAACCTACGCTGTGATCAACCATCAGAAGAAAGTCAAGAAGAAAGCTAAGGTCAAAGGTCAGCATTTATCTCTTTTAACGAATATTCTACAGAATTAAATGAGTTGGAATATTTTTTTTATTCATTTTTTTGTTTTAACTTGTGATTTGACGTGTTAAATAAATCTCCTCCTTGACAGGGAAGTCGGGTCCTGCAGCAGCAGAGGCAGCAGTTTATTCTGAAATCAGATCAGCTCCAGCTCTGGAAAACAGTGCTGCCATGTAGGCTGCAGCTCTGACGGTTTATCCTGCAATTTATGACAAAGCACACAACAACAACAACATTTTTTATTCGTCGTAAGAAATCTGGAGAATCTGTATTGGTCACTCAAAGAATAATTTTCTGAGATCCAAATCGTCTGATGTGCTTAAACGTTAGTTTAGGTATTGCAATGCAGCATTTTATAAAGACTCGCTAAGCGTTTTTTAGCACAACGCAAATTATGAATTGTTTTGTGTTTATTTTTGTTCTAGATGTTGCAATTAGCTCTTAAATTTGATTTGGAACAGTTTGATTTGGTTTCACATGAAGCAACTTTGTACCTCAATTTAACTTTTATATCAAAAACTTCTGGCTGTATTTTTATTGTCAAGCATGTTGTAAATCTAGTAGATTGATCATTTCAATACAACACATAAAATCAATATAAGATGTCAGACATAATTGGGCACAATCAAGATCAAAATGATTTTTAGACTCTGGTATTTAGATTGTTTTATTAATGCTACTTGTAACTGAGCAACAATTATTAGATATGTATCTTTGCTCTTCTGTTATTATGGTATTCCAGTTAAAGCTTAAACCTGCACACTTGCTTCTAGATCAAGTTTACACTTTAACTGCTGGATGACAGGAAAGTGTTGAACTTCCCATGCAATCTTTAGTATGTGTGGAATATGCATCTATAGGCTCCTGGGCACCTCAACTTTGTGAATTAACTCTAACCAATAATGTTAATTGGTTTAGCAGCAGCAGCTAAATTTATTCATTTTGTTTAAAATTATGAAATATAAATAGTTTTGGATTAGCTATATATAGCAAGCATGTTGACTTTTGTAAGTTCTAAATATGTTAGTTTTTATATCTTCATGGACTTTAGCGATTTCTCTCTGTAGTGGTTTTTGTTTTTTGCTTGTTTGCTGGAATAAAAGTAATATAATTAATGGCTTGTTCAATTTTGTTTCTTTTCATGTTTCTGTTGATTTCATTATTAACTGCTGGTAATGCAATCCTCTCAAGGTGTCACATTACTACATGATATAGACAAAATAAACCCTAAAATTTAAACTTCTTTTTATACCGACCTCTGAAATACTGACCTCTGGTGGCAGGTGGTGGAATAAACCATCTTAAATATTTCTAAGACTGTAGAAGTTGTTCAAGGTTTCATTTGCCGATGATGCAATAAAAATATGATAACTGACGTTTGTTCTAATCATTTAATAAGAAAAGTGTCTGAACCATCTGCACAGATGCTACATTAGATCGATCAGAGTTGGAGTGTAGGACTGATTTTATTTCAATCTTCTGGTCCCAGTCTTCAGGAGCTGTAGTATTTACAAAAACAGAAAAAGAAGAAGGTATACAAAACATAAGAAGTCCTACAGTGCTTCTTAACAAAGTGCCATTTCTGATTTTCTCCTAACGAAAAAATAACCCAAACTTTTTTAAATCAGGTTCATTTCAGATCAATGCCTGCAAGATCACTAAAAAACAAGTCACTGTAATCAAACCTTCTCTTTTTTTCCTTCCTTTGTAACCCTAACCAGTGAACTGTTGTCCTGAAACCCGAAAATACAAACATCTGCTGATAAGTGAACGCACCACGATGAAGTGTTCACAGGTTATGTTTAGTGTGGATGCTGCTACTGAGGGAAGACGAGTCAAAGTTACTTATTTTTTAGTAGTGGGACAAGTCAGAGGAAGATTAGAGAGGCAATAAGCTGTTTGACAAACAATTTCCTACGACACGTCCGCATGTTTTGCTAGACTGAAGATGAGAGAGAGCAAAACTCTCAGTAAACAACAGAAAGGCTGAACATTACAGTAATGATGCTCTCTTTTTTCCATCTTAAGCTTCTGGAATAAGCTGCATCTGGAAATATTGGCAGTCTTTTGGATGTCTTGATTGCCAGTACAGGATCCTACTGACAGCTTAAAATCTAATGACTTGTTTTAAAATCTTAAAATCTTTCTTTGGGATTGTGCATTTTATATTTCTTTAAAAAAAGGAATCAGAACAGGCTAAAACTGATTTCAGCAGTTCACAGGTTGACCAAGTTCAGAGAAAAAAAAAAAAATATATATATATATATATATGAAAAACAAGAATTGCGCTTTCAAATGTCAGATTGAAAGCGCAGTCTTTCACAACGGGTCAAAATGTGGTCGGATTTTTATAAACTAAACTAAAATAGTCCAAATACCAAAATACTTTTCCAACTCGTTCTTGCAGCAACAAACCATTTTGGTTTTTGTTGATAAAACTTCTCCCCCCCAAAAAATTCTTTCAATAATACAAGAAAAACTATGACTGGAAAAATGTCAAATTGGAAATACTTCTCTATAAAAGCAGAAACAAACAAAAAAAAAAACATTGTGGGTTCAATAAAGAAGTGCATATGTAGTAAAAACGAGAAGGTTGGAAAGAATCTGGTGTGATTGCAGTGACTTTCTCTTGAACGCACCGACATGCAGGCATTGTAATCAAACAAACCTGAATAAAACTATTAAATCAACCCTCTTATTTCATTAATGCAGCCATGCATGTCTGATGAACGGCTACATTAACGACAATGAGAGCTACACTGATCCCATAATGAAGCCACAGTCTTTCCAATGGTCCCCCATCACAACCTGATCTTTTTTTTTAATAACCCCGAAAACGTTTCAGAGTCAAATCCAGTCTGGCCCGACTCGGCCTCAAGCAGACCCTGATCTCAGATTATCTTTGTAGTCAAATAAACCAAAAGGTTCGTCAGATTAGACGTAAGCAACACAGTGTGACTTCACCGAGAGGCGAAAAACAGTCAGTTTGACGATTTGCTTCTAGACAGATTAGGGAAGAGTCTTCAAACAACTGAAGAAACCCGTGTGACGAGTTCAGATCCGCCGGCTCCGAACAGGCCCCGCCTCCATCGCTGGAGCACGCCGCGGCTCGGTTTAGGTAGCCGCTCCGACTCCTTCGGGTCAGCAGATAAATCTGTACAACATGTCCTCTGCAGCTTTGGCTTTAATAGTTTTGTTTCGTCCATTTCTTTTTAAATAAAGAGTCCGGCGGCTGCGGGCGCGCCCGGCTCCGGCGTCTAGTCGGGCATGTCGATGCAGAGCTTCGGCGGCGGGACGAAGTACTTCCCGGGGCTCTGGGTGATCACCACGCCCGTTTTCTTGTGGAACATGGGGGCGATCTTGGGCGGCGGCTCGGGGACGGGCAGGTCGTCGACCGCCTCGGGGTCCTCGCTGCGCTGCAGGTCGTAGGACACGTTGCCGTACTCCCTGAGGAACGGCAGCAGCTCCAGCAGGAAGTGGCAGAAGTCCTTACGGATGCCGAACCACCCTGATGGGAGAGCAGCGACAAAGTCAGACGAACGCAATAGTTATGAAACAAAAAATACACATATATCTGTCCTAAACCTAATTATAAATGTTGCATTAGCGTCACACTCACAGTGGTTTCCTCCTTTCTGTCCAAAGGTGGTGGCCATGAGTGTGAGCAGAGAGAGCCACAGCGGGACGAACACACACACGTAGCTCAGACTGTTGTGACCATCCAGCTTGTGCACCAAAAGGATCTAAAAGGATCGAAAAAAACATAATAATCTGAGTCAAAATGAAAATCATGGATGGTTTTTCTATCCGGACCCCTTGACTCTGATACCCAAAAATTCAAAATTTCTTTCTCCTAAGACATTCTGACCTCTGATATGTGAAGTTAGTGTCGAAAAAGCTGCTTTATTTATCGCATGATAAATTAAAGTGAGCTCCATCATTTCCGTTCTGATGATTAATAATATTTGTGTTTATAATATAGTTTAGTTTGTGTTTTTTTTTATTTCCTTTTTATTGTTTTGTTTTTGATTTTAAATATGCAAAATAAAACACCTTCCAGGTCTAGTGTGGAGTTTTCTGTTTAAAATGAAAGTTTGTTAGTCTTTTAGAGGGTAAATTTATATTATCATAAATTATGAAACTGTCTCCTCACCTCAAAGGTGAGAAGAGGTACAACGATGGTCATCCAGCTGATTGCCATGGTGATGTGCGTCCTCCGTTGCTCGGCGATGATGTCTATGGAGCGGAGGAAGAGGACCGACCAGATGATGTAGTAGAGGACGACAAGGCACAGGAAGGACATGAGGATCCACAGCGGGACACACACCACCTGCAGGACACACACACACACACACACACACACACACACACACACACACACACACACACACACTGACGTTTGATTAAATGTCACAGAATAATGGATTCAATAACTAGTTCATTTATTTCTGATGTTGCCTGGCACATAAACACATAACTGTGCATGACTTCAGTGGAAGGAAAACAACAGATGAAACCAGAAGTTTACATACACGTCTTTTTTTTTCTCACCGTCTGAAGTGAATCCAATCAAACTTTTGTTGTTTTAGGCCAGTTTAAAAAACAGATTTATATTTTTATTTACTGTGTGTAAACTTCCTGGTTACGACTGTGTGTGTGCAGAATTTTTTCTACGCTCTAGAGATTTTTTTCCTTATAAAATATTCTGTGAAGAATGTTTTTTTTTTTGTTGTTGTTGTTAATGTTGTAAAATAAGTCCATAGTGTAAAACGGAAGAGACGGTGTGTGTGTTGTGAGACAACAGGAAGTGTGTGTCGGTGTTCCTCACCAGCCAAGGCCAGAGAATGATTTTGTCCAACCTCAGAGCGATGAAGATGAACTGCAGGATATTTACAGAACACAGCACCTCCAGCTGAGGGGAAACAGGAAGTTGTCATCAGCATATTCTGACAGTTTTACAAGAAAAAAAAACGATTGAAGTTTCACATTTTCCCCCCCAGAGTAAGAAATCTCTTGAAAATCTTGTGCCAAATACACAGACAACTAATAGCACAGACAGAATTTTGCAAGTGTGTGTGTGTGTTAGTTCTCCTGACCTCAAGGGAGCGATCGTGTCTGAAGCCCCAGACGCAGGCTGCTACGGAAACGGGCGACACGAAGAAGAGCGGCATGAAGACGAGGAGCCAGAAGTATTTGCCCTTCTCCACGCGGTCGCACACCAACACCTCGAACATCAGCAGCAGGACGTGCAGCCCCACCGCAATCAGCATGGCCTTGAACTCCACGCACGTCTCCCCTTCGGCCCTGAGGGACGACGCGCAAAATCAAACGCGTCTTACCATCATTATCATGGTAACAGCGCCGATTACGCATCAGCGTCTACCTGTACTGAGGGTTGTGGGCCCACACCCCGGTGCCCACAGAGGCCCCGATGATCACCAGCAGTTTCCACAGCCATATTGGGGTGAACACGGCCCAGTAGCTCCACTGGATGACCCCGTCCAGCCTCAGGGACAGCAACACGGAGAACAGCAGCAGGCAGGAGTAGATCAGGAACTTACTGCAGCAACGAAGAGGGCGACGGGAGACGCGAGTGGCGTCAAAGCACAAAACGGACATGCGAAGAAAAGCAACATTAAAAAAAAAAAAAAACAGATTTTGCAAAAATCTAAGATCTGGAAATTTAAAAACAAAATCATTCAATAGAAAACATATTTATGTATAAAAAAAAAAAAAAAAAAACGGATGGAAAACCTCCAATGATCATGATTATTGCAACTTTATTTACAATCGACCTGCCTTCTAACCTTCCTGTATTTAATTCCTGCGTGGATTTAGCTTTTTTTAGCGAGAAGCAGCTCATAACAATCACAAAATACTAACTATTCTTGCTACAAACTAGCAAATAATCGTTTTTGTTTTGTTTTTTTGTAATGAGAGACAACCTGATTGGACAAATATATTACTGCTGGAAAATGATATTACGACCCAATCTCAGATGAGCACACAACAATTAAAATGTTTTGTAAGAACCATAAGATTTATCATGTCATCCTGATTTAAAACTTCTAACAAAGTAAAGATCTACGCTTTAATCCAAAAAACTGGCACCTCAATGCCCTTTTAATCTTCACTTCCTGTTATCTTTCTCAGTTGCTTTTTTGAGTTCCACTGTATCAATGTATGAGAGACATCATTGTCATTCAAAAGTACTTTAAAATGTACATTTTAAATATGTTGTATTCCTGTTTAGATTTCACTTACTCACTATGACAACGTAATGATGAAAGACAACAGAATTAAAAAGGTGTTTATGAAGTTGTCACTTTATCTCAACGCACTACTGTGCAAAGTCGGTAACCACAGTAATGCGTAATGTAATGAACAAACCACTTATTAGCTACAGGAAAGGTCACAGTTAAAAATCCGTTTTGCGTTGTTTACATTAGCATGCTAGCCGGGCCTCTCGAAGCCGGACACTTTCGTTTGGGTTCGTCAGCTTCATTCAGACCCTTTTATGCGACTAGGCGGGCTACAACAACATAGCATTGCGTGTCTAAACCCTAAAATCTCAAGACACGCTTGTTTTTTTTTTTTTCTTTTAACAATTTCCAGCTAAAACGAGCCGGAGCTATGACATTAGCCGAAGCTAGCTCGCGGCTAACGTTACCTGGGATTGAAGTCCTGAAAGAGTCCTCTTAAATTCATGGTGAACAACAGGGCCGGTCGGCTAGCTAGCTAATGTTAGCTTCCTCACCCCTGGAGGAAACTTCTGTGTCTAATCCGAATGCTACACATTGTAATTTGTGGGAGAGCTCAGCCTGAGGTCTCCGGTACATTACTTAGCGTGTTATGTTTTGTTTTGTTTTTTTTCCCCTCAACGACCAGCTTCACTGGATGTGACGTCATCGTTTCCTCATTGATTGAGGTTGTGGGGAGAAAAGGAAATTGGGGCATTACCGCCATCTCCTGGTAAGACGGACGAATCACTCGGGACCGCTAAAATAAATAAAACAAAACATAAAATAGCAGAGAAGACTGAATTACATTTTTGTATTTTATTTTGAGATTTGGAAGCAGTTACATTTTACATTCTTATATTTCTGTTCTTGTAATACATCATCATAATATTACTCAAGTAAAAGTAATCGAGTAGATGTAACTCAGTGACTTGCTACAATCTCTTGTGGTATAAACATTTTATTCTCAGTGATGTTTTACACACTACATAACACATAATACGCTTTGACACATTGGCTCCAAATACAATTGCACTACACTAAAAGCTTACAATCTTGAATTTATTGCAAATTCAGCAAAATCAACAAACAAATAAAAAACATAGTTTATAACTTTCACTGGAATCCTGCAAAGATTCTGTTGTAGCTCCTTAACTTATATGAAAACAATAAATCATTAGCATATTAAACTAGCAGAACTACACTAAGCATCACAAACAGTGATGAATGCGTTTTAACTTTCCACATTTTAGAAATCTGGTTAATTTAACTGTTGTAGTACAAACAAGCCTGCATCCTGCGTGGCAGCTGCTCCTGATCGTGGAAAAAAAACCCGGAGCATCCATTACCGCCTGGACTCCACCTTCCTGCAGACAATCAGCATACATTTTACATCGCTCAATACGTAAAATATTATCTGTTAAAAGCAAGTTTTGTTTAAAGTTACTAAAAGATGTTTTTTGGTTGACCCAAAAAGACGCATACAGGACGACAAAGACTCCAAATGAAAGATGTTATTTACCTTTTCTGTTCTTTCCTCTGTTCTGGTTGATAGTTTTTATCTTCACAGGAAACCACTGGAAAGCAGGTATCAATGTTATTTAAAAAAAAAAACAAAGTAAACACCACTGACATCGTGGTTGGAATCAGATAATGTCGCATAATATACAGCTTGGGCGTAGTCACTTTATTTGTCGTTATTAAATATAACATTCAGTGGAACTTCCAAATGTGGCACAGACACATTTCTTGTTGGAAGATCGCACTTTTCTATCTTAAGAATTCCGACCACAATTGTGAGCAACTTAGCCTATATTGGTGAGAGATTAAATAAAAATATTCCAGTTATCCAAGACAAGACAACCAACATTTAAACAAATTATCCTCTGGATTATTTTTTGGGCTCAATTAAGCAGGGCTTCTTGGTTCAGTAAAGTCTTTCTCTCCAGCTCTCTCTGACATTTTTCCATCACTCTGACTGAACTATTAGAAGCAAACACACACCACAGTATGTATTTGACTAAATCTGTACTAGAAAGTGTCATGAAAAATTAACCCTATTATTTTTTTTCCCACTCAAAATGTTGTGTTTACCTTCCACAAAGAGAAATGTTGTTCCAAAACAGAAATATTACCGTCTCGAGCCAGTGTGTGACTTTGAAGTCAACCAAATTCACTCCTTCTTAAATAGAGACATTTATGTTTTCAAATTCAGAATTTAAAGCTTAGAGGAAATATTATTCATTGGACATTTGTTCAGGTGATTGTAAAACATGACAAAATGTTTGAAGCGTCTTACTGTTGTGGTTTCTTAAGGGAAAGTGGTTCAAGCCAGGCAGATGTTCACCTGGTTTCACATTGACGTAAACACAATCTTCCTCCGGATGACGAGGCCGTCCTGTTAAAATCACAACATAGAAAAAAAGTTTCTGCTTCAAAATCTCTAAAACCTTTTTCCTTTTTTCTTTTTCTTTCTTTTTTTTTTCTTGTTATATGTTTTAAAACCTTGAAATAGAAGAATATCTGATAAATTTCAGGACTTATATCAAGTGCAATTAGTCAGTTTCCAGGCGAAGTTGTTGCAGCTGTTTTAAAGCATAATCACCATTTTCAGCGGCTTTGCAGGTTTCGATTTGTTCATAAAGAGACGCGTCACCTACAATAAGTAAGGAAAATGTCACAATTAAAGTTTTGAAGTGATGCAGCTGCAGCAAAGACATTTGTTATTTAAATAAAAAAATAAATAAATAATGTCTGTTTTATTATTATGTCTGCTTATTTATTGTGATTTCTAATGCGATTAAAGTCTTTCCTCACAATTTCAGTTCATTTTTTTTTGTTTGTTGGTGAAGCCTGAACAGTCTGAGACTTGTTGATGTGAAACTGAATCATCATAAAGAGAAAAATGGTGAGTCAAAATACAAAAGCAGTTAATTCTGTGACCAACCCTGCCGCAGAGAATTGTAAACCTGACATCCGTCTTGTTTTGCTGCGTGGCTGACGGTGGAGCTCTGACTGCGCCTCCCTGCCAGAAACAGTCTGAAAGCATGAAAGGAACTTTATCGGTGAGGGAAAGGATTTTTTTTCAAGGCATATTTATAATGAGAGGAAATGAATCTCTCATTAGAGAGCGGACCTGATGCAGCAGCACAACGAGAGCAGGAGAATGATTCCACTGACCGGTCCAACGATCAGCAGCACTAGAAGCAAAGAGCCGACAGGCCTGGACACGGCTTCTGGAAGTAAGAGAAATTGAAACAAAACTTTCAGAAATCTGCAGCGTATCAAATCGAAACAAATGCAGTTAACTGTTTATTTTACTAAAATGAATTAAACATTTAATCCTCCTCACCTCTAACAGACATCCAGCTCCTTGGTGACTCTTTTCCTGAATGTTGACATTTGTAGAAACCTTCATCTGACTTTGACACTGCAGAGATATTCAGCTCCCCTCTGCTGCCATCATAAAGGAGTTTATCATTGTGATTGAAAAACACTCCAGAGAGAAGTTTTTCATTTTTCTGTCTGCAGCTCAGAGTCACAGGATCTCCCTCAGTCACAGGATGAACAGGGCTCACCAGGAGAGGAGCAGAAAAATCATCTGTAAAACAATCAGACGATGTTGGACGGGAGCTAAAATGATTAAAAATGGTCAGTGTTTTTGACAGCGCCAGTGTCTTTTAAAATTCAGCAGTAATAAAATTTCTATAAAAATGTACCTTAGTAATCAATCAAAAAAAAAAAATTACAGAATTTTCAAACCTAAAAACTTGATCATAGGACTTAACCAGGTACAATAATAAACAAACATTTAGTTGATTTCTTTCTCAGGATAGTTTTGTTTCTATTTTCATGTTTGTGCTTCGTCTGTAGTGTCCCACTGCGATTCACTTTCAACAAACGTCTCATATAATACATGAACATGTAAGCTGACTTTATGAGCACTTCAGTGGGTTTGGAAAAGACCACACAAAGTTTTTTCCTACATCACAGGAAAAAAAAAACCCAAAACATGACCAGAGAACAGCCAACATTTGATCAACATACAGTAGTTGAACAGTGGAGTCTGCACTGCTTGAATGGCGTCTGCATTGGCTGCTCTGCAAAAGGTGAGAATGTGTCAAACGCTTGCAAGAAGCGTCTGTCACTCTGCTGAGACAGTGGCTATGAAAACCGATTGCTATCTCAGCAGTCAGTAGAGATAGCAATCGGCACCACGGACCTACTTAAAGCTTTGGTCTTTAAGTAGGTCAGAGCTATAACACAAATATGTTCATTTTGATTAAATGGAAAGAGGCCAAAGAAAAGATAACTCGAAAGTGTGCATTTCCTATGAAAATGCAAGCGTGAATGCTGAATGCTTTTGGTGAAAATGGCAAAAGCGTTTGAAGCAGAAAGGTAAGAAAGACTCAATGCAGTGTGAAAAACCCACGTAAAAGCCAAACTAGTTGAAATACCAATGAAAACATCCGGTATACAACATTTACTGGTGTCCTCCATCAGCCCTGAAACTGGATGCTTGATTGGCTTTAATAGGAAAAACAAACACAACATTTTACATTGTAATTCTTAATTCTGCCACCAGGTGAAGCAGTTTCCCCCATGAGGTTAAAAAATCATAAAAAGCTGAATATTTTACAAAGTATGAAGGTTCTGAATACCAAGAGATAAAGCTGGCATTAGGAGAGCAAGTATGAAAGTTGAATGGTGAAAATGGCACAAAGTACGCAGGAGAAGAAGCGCGGCGACATTTACAGAGCAACCAGCAAAGTGGGACTTAATAGTGTGAATGCTTCCAGCATTAATAATACTATCAGTAAAAAGCCAATATCTTTACCCTGTACAGTGATGTTGATGGCGTTGCTAGTCTCTCCAGATCGAGACTCACACCAGTACACTCCACTATGAAAACTATTTTGGTTAATGGTGCATGTAGATCCAGTCATTGTCCCCCAGTAGAAACAGTCTGACAGTCGTCCTGTTTCTGTGAACCTCCTCACTCTCCACTCAGTAAAGTTTCCCTCACAGCTCAGAGACACAGAGTCAGAGCTGAAGTGTTGAACTCTGTCAGGATTCACTGAGAGAGAAGCTGCTGGACCAGGATCTGGAAACAAGACAGGATTTCATCTGAGAACAGAAATATCTTTGAAATGTTTCACTGAAATGCTTCTTTGCTTTGTTTCGATAGTAATGAAGAATACGGCAAACATTTCAGCAAGTTGACCAAAAATATTTCAGTGCTTCCAAAAAGAAATAAACTACTATAGAGGAAATGATTCTTTCATCTTGGATTTTACCGGTGAATGTTTCTTATGATCAATGTTTTACTTCAGCTCTAAACTTGATGGCTGATTTTATTTCCAGCCTGTTGTCGTCTTTAGCTTTTCTTTTTATCAGCTGTATGGATTTGTCAGAAATCTAGAGAAATGTACCTCATGTTGCTGTCAAGATTAAATGCTACTGAAAGAATCCAGAGTAAGTCACGTTTATTATCCCATAATGTGAATGATGTATTAGACGGCTATGGTCAAAAAGATTTTTTCTTTCCAGTGTTAAAGTGATAAAGTGAACAGAAGTCAATTTTCAGAATCTTTTATTTGTACAAAAGTCGAAGAAGCCCCTAAAAGAAACATCGGATCAAGCTAAAAACCTCTGAAACTTGTTTTTATAGACAGCAAAGACAGAAACAAACTGACCTCCAGACCAGACAAACGTTGGTTCGCTGTAATAGGTGTAAAACTTTGGTTCTCCTCTTCCTCCTCTGCACACAAATCCAGCTGTTTGAGTCGATCCATTAATGGTGAAAGAGTTCTGTTTGGTCCCATTGGTGCTGCCAGGAAGCAGCTTGTAGCTGTAGCGGCTGGACAGATCAGGAACAGCTTTATACCAGAAGAACCTCCATCCTGCTGATTGAAGCTCCAAACCCTCACAGCTCAGAGTCACTGAGGCTCCAGGATTCGGCCATGATGGAGACACAGAGAGGACAGGCTGAGGTTTGGGTGCTGGAGAGACATTTGAAACTGGGTCAAACATTTTTTCCATATCAACTTTCATCTTTTCATTTTAATTCTATCTAAATAGGCAATATTATGTATTTTCCAGGCACTCTGTGACATTTTGTAGCACAATCAAGGATTATGTTGCATTCAGTCGTTCTACAAACACAGTATATTAAATGTGACCCAAAAGTAGTTTGACGGAGCAATTCACGCCTCAAAATTGATCTTGTTTAAGAAGCTCCTGCTTCTTCAGCACGTCATCACAACAAATCTTCTCCATAAAGTATTTATCAATATTTGTACGACTGCTGCACTGAGAAGTAGCTCATAATAGTACAGCAGGTGTGTGGTTTCATCAGGCGTTTGCTAATTGCTGCTGACTAGTCTGAAGGAGCTGAGTGAGGGAGCCATAAGGAAGAGTCAAAAATGTGGTTTTATTATTGTTTTAAGAGCTATTTAGTTCAAGCGCCAAAAAACAAAAATGACATAAATGATCACTTTCTTTTAAATGATAAATAATCTACTTACACACAGTTAGTTTAATCGCATTACTCCATGGCGTCAAGCCTTCTCCTCTCCCTCTGCAGCTGTACTCTCCACGGTGAGCCTCAGTAGCTGAGATGTTCATGTATTCAGACCGGATTAGAGACTTTCTATTGGTTGTCCTCCATTCATACGTCCACTGAGCTCCTGCAGCTTCCTGGATGTGACATCTCAAGATGACCGTCTCTTCTCTGTAGATCTGAGGCCAGCTGGGATGGAGAATCACTGAAACCCTGTGAGGAGCTGCAGCAAGAAGCACGATCAGGAGGCAAAAGAGTCTGAAAACGAAGCCCAGGACAAGACAGCGTCCAGGACGTCTCGGCATCTGTTTTCTTACGAAGGAAAGTGCTTTTGTAGCATTTTATCTCATCCAGAGAACCACGAGCAGCTTCACGCTACATCCAGTCATCCACATAGACATGACATCACATAGATCAGAGGTCGTTGGCATATGATATATGTGAATCTTTTCTCATCAGACCAAAAGCGAGATGATGTTAGACAAGCTCTCTGCTTCACTTACCCTCTGCTAGTATCGTTATCCTGTCTGCCGTCAGGGTTGCTTTGATACCTGCAGGCAAGAAAACCACCAGGACACCTTCAGCCGCTGATGTTTAGAGCATTTTGAAAAAAATCTGATCAAATGTTTGCAATATCAGATCTAAACTGAGACTGAATCACGCTGGACTGCACCATAACGTCATCCGATTCAACAAGGCGGCATCAGAACTAAAGTCTGACAAACAGAACCTCGCCGATTCATCAGAAGGAGCAGAAATAAAGGCTTTCAAACTTTCTGTCGTGTGACTGATCGACATAACATGTTTCGCTTTGTGATAAAGTGTCAGAAATTGGAAGGCTTTTCAGTAATATTCTAACTTTCTGTAAAAACAGATGAGATAAAACACAAAAATCTAGAAAGTAGTCAGTCATCAATCCGCTTTCTGCAACTGCTTGTCCCTGTAAGGTCGCTTTGGGTGAGTAGAGGGGTCACTATTAGGCTGAACTTTGGAGTTTAGTCGATTTTCTTGTATAAAAATACGTCTATGATAACTTAGATAGTTGTGAAGAAAAAAAATAACAGGACTTTCACAGCCTTCTGTAGTCATAAAAACTAACTCTGAGTCTTGAAGGACGGTAAATCGACTCACGCGTCGTTCCAGAGACACCCTGCAACTTTTCATCATGAAGAAACGTCTTCCTGAAACACTGATTAGAAGGTCGGTGATGTACTTACAGAAAAATCCCAGCATGCAGAGCAGAGTTTGCCTCATCCTTGCATCCGGCTCGGCAAAAAGGCTTCTCGAAGTTGGAGCCTAATATGTACACATATCATATGAAATCATACTTTTACTTCTCAGTGTCCCCTCTCTGCGTTTCCTTCCCTTCTACATGAACTTCACACCACGCCACAGCAAGGCTGTCTGCAGCAGATGATGGTGGTTTGCATTTCCTGTCCACTGCAGAGATACCTAAACCCACGTTGTGCGTCGGCCTCCAAAAAGGCACTACTTCCTAGTGCATATTGCTGGGTGGGTTTTTAGTTTTTGCTCTCGTAAAGAAGGAAAGTGCTGAGCTGAATTTTTACAAACAGAAACATTTCTCCTGTGTGACGGTTTCTAAAGGGCTACTCGTCCATTCTGCATCGTTTGTACGTTTTTAGGTTGACGGGTGAATTTTCTTCCGAGGCGCCTTCTGACACAGCAGGTTCCTCCGTCCACCACCGCGCCACCACAAACAGAGCGGAAGAACCCCGGCGTGCAAACGATGCAGGTTCCCCACCCCAACACCCAGAGCACACAGCTTCACAGGCCCGCTCACCGAGTGAGAAATACACTTCAGTGGAGTTTGAAAACAAAATATATGTGTAGGTTTATATCTGGTTGAACGATGTGTGTGTCCAGTTGATTTTTTTTTTCCTTTTCTTTTGGGGAGGGATTTTACTGTAATCCATAGGGGGCCCAGAAAGTCTTTGGGAACCACTGCTGCAGAGAGAACGGTTACAGTGAAGGCTGGAGATCCACAATCCTGTTTCTCTAAACTAACTTCATAGCTTAACAAAAATCAATTTAGTCGTCATTCTTTGCTTCAGTTGGTCTTTGTTACCAGTCTGGCAGATTGGAAAAAAATCTTCATTTTCTCACAAAGAGAACGTTTGCTTTTATGAAAGAATCTGATCTTATCGGCGAAGAGTTTACGTTGGGTTTAGTTGGGCCCAATGTGGTCTGGTCACGTCACTGGACGGTCCATTGCAGGGAAACATGGCAACACACAAGACACCACATATGTACACACTAAAGAGAGATCAGTTAATGATGAATAGAATTTGTATAACATACAACAAATACATGTCCAAAGAATCACATGTAATCCCAGTCAGACTAGGATTTAGTCACTTGCAAGGCTTCACTTTTGATATTTAAGTATCAATAATAATAATATTCTTCACCCTGACCCTTTCTCCACATTACTGGAGGGATAGAAACAAAATAATTAAAAATACTTTAACTGTAATTGGTTCGTTCCAGTAATGCTGATCTCAGAAATGTCCCTCAGACACTATCTGACCTGAGATACGCCATTTTTGATTGGGAAAATAAAATAAAATTAAAAAAAGTTTTTTGCTGCCACCTCGTGGTACAAAATAAAAACTGCAACACGATTATCGCCTGATAACCATCATTGTTCAGTCAGAGGCCCCAAGTTTGGGGGGCAACAACACTGGATCCAAGAGACTCTTAGGAACAAAGTCAAAGATACGTGAATTTTGAAAAGCAATAAAGGGAATTTTGTCATTATGTGAATAAGTCCTATATGGCAGGTCATTTCAGCATAAAATCAGTTTCCTCCGATCATCTGTAATTATATTCCAGATACCTAACAGATAAAATAAAGGATCAAGAGAAAATAAAAGCATAAATTCTGAATTTACTGTATAGCAGACAGAATAAATTTTCCTTTCATTTTGTGGTTTAGAAGCAGTTTATTTTTATATTCCATTTCTGACAGAAGCAGGTCTTGAGCATGGTTGGATTCATTCCACACAGAAATCACCGTGTGCAACTCACCGATTTTCTTTTTAGCTTAAACATGAACTCAGAGGGTTTTCCTTGTTTTCCTACTTTTGCTTTTATTTTCACAGTTTGAGTTCTGTTTTCAGCTGAAGGAATCCACCCTGCTGCACGTTTTGTCATTTAGTCTCCATGTTTCACATCGTATGATGCCTGTATCGCGCTCGCAGGGACGTCTGGTCTGAGTAAATATCCTACGAATGTATTAAATATCAACTCCGCTGGTTTTTTTTCCTTTTTACAAATATCACACTAAGTTTCACCTTGACAGAGAAAAACAATGGGAAGAAAACACGCTTTGAAGAAATCTGCACTTTTAATTAAAACCCATTGAGGACAACAGCTGAACATGCTGAAGTCAGTAACAAGGGTGTTGTTTCAGAAAGCTTGAATGGTGAAGTACGCTCATGACATTGGAATCAACTTATTCTGAAGAAATATTGGCAAAAAACATACAAAGTAAACATAGAACAAAGTCACGCAACCACACTGTAATCGTGCAAAAATGTGGTATAAAGTGCAATGGCAAGAAGTAGTGACATGTAAAAATAAAAAGTGCATTAGAGAAAAATAACATTTTTATGGACACATTTTAAAACTAAAAACTTGGAACTCCACATTTAAAACTAAACAGAACAATTATTTTTCTAATGCCTGTAAGGGCATTCCAGCAAGCAAACAGTGTGACCACATCACATGGGCAAATGTGTTCATAATCTTATTATGAATGCAGTTTGGCCATTTGAGTGCAAACCAAGTGTTGATCGTTGCATAACCGGTGCCTTATTCCCGCATTGCAATAAATATTGTTTTTTTCTTCTTTGTTAAAGTAATGTCCTAAAGTCTTAACAGTTAAACAGAGTGTTATACAATCACAAATCTTTCCTTTTCCAGTTTTTCTTATCAAACATCAAACATTTTTGCAGCAAAAATGTTTGATGCAAAGTTGGCAGCAGTCTTGATCATTGTTAACGTACATCAAACTTTTTATGAGGATGCAAAAGAAAAATCAGAAGACGCTGCGCAGTCTACCTACATGTTCCTTCTGTAGCCGAAAACGCGAAGTGCTCATCTCTGAAAGATTCATGCAACGAGGAAGCATCCTGCAACTCAAGCGTTGAAGATAAGTGAGACACAGATAAGAATAAGTGGAGTAAAGCTTCTGGAACGGGGCACGCCGCCTGGCAGGAAAAAGAAACAAAAAACAAAGTCAAGGAAAATATAAATCTGTCATTTTCTGTTAAGACTGGAAGACAACGAAAACGAAACATCAACAAGAGAACATGAAGGGTTGCGTAAAAACAGCAGTCCAGTTACACAGCTTAGGATTAGCCGCCAAGCTAGCTGCATTTTAAGTATGAAGGGTGTGAACCTTCACACGCTTACCTTGAACTGCACAGGCAAAAAAAAAAAAAAAAAAACGTTAGTTCAAGATCCATGCAGTCACATAAGAAATGCATGACTTAAAGGCAATTAGCAGACTGATTTCTATATTGTTAGCACTTTTATTAATTCATAGCCTATTGGATATTAATGACAGAGACGATGGCTTTTTCTCACCGTTCAGATAATTCTGCCTCGTTGCTTCGTGATGGAGGTGTGTCTCTGACGGAACGGTTTTATTCGGTTTGAGGTTAGAGCTTTGATCTGAAAGGACAATTTCAAACATGGGTTATGAAGCATTTCCCATAAAACTGTTCACAATATGTGTAATGAACAGTTTCATTGGGCATTTGGAGCAATTCAGACAACATAACTAAGTGAGAAGAACAGCTGGATACCTCGACTTTCACTTGTCAAACAGACCACAGTTTATTTGACTCAAAGGTTTGTGTGTTTAAGCCGGTGGTCAGCAGCACAGGAGCTCAACACAGGAATATACTTTCACTATTGTTTTTTCTTTTTCTCTATTCAGAGAAGATGGAGGATCATTTCAGCATTAGGATCCATCCCTAATGTTGTTGCATTAGGGGTGGATCTGCAGAGCTGAGTCACTGCTGATGAGGGAATTCAGCCTCTTCCCTCAAGCGGTTTAGATCAGGAACTGCATCTAAAAGTTGCAGATGATACAGATGAAGTTGGCGAGGAATCGTCTCATGACTTCAACTCACCGATAACAAGGCGGACAACTGAAGATTTGGCGTTGCCCTGCAGCTTTGGGATGAAGCATTTGTATTCCCCTTCGTCTGCAGTCGTGACGTTGGTGATGATGAGGGATATGTTGCCGTGTCTGAGGCCGTCTGCGAACAACGCCGTCCTGCCGTGGTACGACGAGCTCTTCATGTCCAGAACCTCGCGGTTGTCTCGGTAAAGATGTACGTATTCTACTCCCTTTGCCCGACGTTTGGCGTCCGGCCTGGACCACTCCACGGTCATGTCCACCGTGTCCAACTGAGGCTCCACGAGGCACTGGAGGACGACATCATCACCTGGAGCAGCAACAACTGGCTGGCGCGAGCTTGTTACCTGATAATGACCTAACAATGGATGAAAGAAATCTTATCTTCTTGTGTCAGTAAAGCAACACAAACTATTATTCTTCTACCCCGATGTTTTTGTACGGTTATCTTCCAGATTCTTTCTGTACAAAAAAAAAAAACAACAAGAAATAGTTATTCCATAGCACATGAATCTGTAAGCAATCTTTAAATTTCCTTGTTCACTTCAACACTGAAATTGTTGACATGAGCAGCTGACACCAAACAGCCTGCCAGACTAGTTTATGTTGATAAATTATTATATTTAGCTAAACATTATTACAGAGGGGCACAAGCAGACCTTCTGCCTCGCAGATTAAAACAAATACAAATAAAAAATGTAAAAATTAATTTTTTGAAAAAATAAAAACTGAAAAAGGGTAGGAGGGGCATCAAGGATAAAAGGAGCAGGAGCTCAAGCTTCTTTTGCCCCCCCCCCCCCCTCTCAGCTCGTGCCTGCAGTCTGGCTTTAGACTGAATATCCTGGGAAAGTTACATTTTCTTGTGACCCATGTTAAAGAAGTACAGAACAAAGGACCGTCACTAGAAAATGCACAACCGACTTGCTTCCCCTGTCATTTAACAGAAAGCATATAACAACGTTTGTGCTCAAACAGCTTGCCATAGTCTCAAGAGCTAATGCCATCAGCAACAAACTAGTCACGAATTGAAAACACGTCCTTGTTCCCTCACCTTTAACGGGAGTTGGGGTGAAAATGAGCGCAAACAGAAGCAAACAGAGACCCGGCATCGCTAGCATCTCGTTCTTTCCATTGTCTGATGGGAAACGGGTTTGTGACGCAGCTGGTCAGGCTATTTAATGAGAAACCGATCAGTGGGAGGTGGTGTATTATGGTGTATGGCACGGCTTGACTTAGCCCGTACAAAACAATGGTAAATCTGACGTCAATTTGACGAGTCAGCATATAATCAGAGATATCTCAAATAGGTATTTTGTCTAATCAAAATTTAATTAGAGATATCTTAAATTGCTAAAACGTCTAGTCATAAAACAATTTGAGATATCTGGAATGTAAGGACAGTAAAACCGAATTTATGCTAAAACGGCTTGCCATAATCAGAGAGGTATTTTGTCCAGTTAAATATAATAGAGACATGTTAATATGCTAATGCATCTGGTCATAAAACACCTTGTTTGTAAGGGAATTGTTGTAAACGGGATTTATATTGAAATGGCCTGTCGGTTAGCGGTCCCATTGCGCCCTCTGGTGGAAACCCGTAAAATAAGGCACTGACCCTACATAGGCGACCCCAGATCCTACTGTTCAATTTATCTTCTTATAATGAAGCCAAAATACAACTACTGGGCTTCAATGTATGCGTGTGCGCACACAACAAAATAAGTTGTTGCTATTTAAACCAGTCAAAAGCAGAAACGGAGCTGAACATCATCTTCATTTTACTGAATCACATTTCAAATCCAATTAAAACCCCTTTGTCATCAGATTTTTACCTGAAACTCCATTGAACACAAGTTACACCGAGGTTCTCTGGTTAATAAAACAGTTGATGGCATCATAGACTAACATGGTTTCAGTTTGTGGATTGGTCCAAAAAAAAAAAAAAAAAAAAAAACAGGGTTTCACCACCATCAACCTTTCCATGGCCTACAAGTGGAAATTTGCATTTTTGCTACATCCTGGCACCCTGCGTCTTTTCTTTCAAAAGGCCAATGACATGTGACTAATTGTGTTTGTATAAAACAAAAGCAAAGGCCAAAAGGTCACCAAAATAATCATTTTCCTTAAAATAACATATTTTAACAGAAAAAATAAGCACAAATAGGCCTATACAACATTCAAATTTTAGAGGCACTTTTTAAATTCAGATTTACTTCCATATAAGAAAAATCAATAAAAAAATAAAATGGCAAAACTAAACTTTGAACTATTTTCTGCTTTTAGACCAAAAAAAAAAACACAACTGTTTGTTGCCCTGTTATACACTGTTGAAACACAAAAACAACTTGTTGTAAATTCGATGGCGTTACCATTAACTTGCATATGTGACTTCTTCCCCCACATACATCACACTGTGGAGGCTGGTTGGTTGAATTTCTGTAATGAGTGGTTAATAACAAACAGCACAGTGAGTCTCCCTACCGGTCCACTAGTTCTGGGTGCTGCAATAAAACTCCACGTTAGTCCTAGAGCACAACCACCTCTATTGTTCAGAAAGGAACTGGACTTGATGACTTACCACAGTGGAGTGCTGACCAGACTGTGTGGAATCCACAGTTTCTCCTCCTTTTATAGACAACCAGTAGGGGGCGCCAAAAACCACTCATTACAGGACAACTATGACAACATTTCAGCAGAATTTAACCTGAACCATTTCAACTATGTTACGCATACAGGCACACACACATTACGTTTGATCAGAAGACTTGCCCCGGAAAAAAAAACAACAAAACAAAAAAACATTCTGAGCATCACCTCTTGACTTCATGCTGCACTGGCGGCGTGCAGCTGGTGACACCTCTTCAGATACCTCAGTCTGTCGTCGCCCAGCAGGGAGGAAGCATGAACTTCACAGCACTTTGCGCCGCTGTCGGTGAGTTCTCTGTGTGTTTTACTGACTTTACTTTATGTGTGCTCATTTTACAAGAGGTGACGCTCCAGAAAGCAGAACTTTGTCTGTGATGTCAGGTTTTTTGTTTCAATGTGTTTCGAGCGATTAAACATGATTTGCTGAAAAAAAAAAAAAAAAAAAATAGACCTGTCCTGTTTCTGTTAGGGAGAATCCGCACGCTTTGTCTCATTGCGTTTATTTGTGTCGCTATAAGTGAAAATCAGAATGTCAGATGTTAATCAAACTCGGATGTTTGACCATCGGTCCTTTATAAACCTCTGTAATTGTCGCTGTGTCCTGTGGTTTCGGTTTGTGACATGATCACATTTCAACACATTTCCTCACTATGGCTCATTCGGTCTGACCTCGCTCTGCAGGAACCTGCTAACCTCTGTGTGGGTGAAGATTTGACGCCAGATCGCCACAGACCTCCCGTTATAAACTGGAAACGTCACATCTGTTTTCACACCTATTTACAAAAATACACAACCATCTCCGGTTTATGACATGGACACCGTTACATGGAAAAAAACAGCTTCGGTTATTCCATTTTGAACTTCATTAAATCTTGTCTTGTACATAATAGTTTGAAAATGTTGCAAATATTAGAATTCTGTTGCTTAAAAGAAACTATACGACCACAATGCAAGCTTGAATTTTCCTTTGGGATATGAAGGAGGGATCGAAATGCAGAAATGAAAGTATATATTCATTTATCAGTTTTAGGTACATCGACCATGTATCTGGTGTTTTATTGTTCTCGATCAGAACCTAATCAAGAACAATGAAAAACGAAAATACTTGTATTAAGATAGGAGAAATTGAAACGCATAAAAGGCAGTGATATGGGAAGCTGGTGAAAAGGTTAAAAAAAAAGTCAACTGAGGATGTGGGAACTGAACAGAAACAGTTCCAGAAGTTACTAAAACCGGTCTGAACTCAGACAGTAACTCTCCTCCTTTCACTTCCAGCGGTTGTGAGAATCCTTCCAGACAGATCTCAGTTCTTCCATTACGACTCAGTTACGCTGAGCTGTGTGGACGGTGAAAACTCCTCAGACTGGACAGTGAAGAGAAACACGACCGGCGGCGAAACGGCAGACTGGGGAACGAGAAATGGGTCGCGGCGTTCAATAGATGCTCTTTACCAGTTCGACAGCGGGCGGTACTGGTGTGAGTCCAGAACCGGGGCATGCAGCGAGGCCATCAATGTCACTGTCACAGGTGAGTGCAGGAAAACGTTTGGCTTGTTCCCGTCAACGAGGAGGAGACGTTTGTGGTGAAACCGGCAGGACCGAGCCGTCAGATTCACGCATGATTCGTCCCCGTCTGTCGTCCAGAGGGCCCCGTGATCCTGCAGAGTCCCGTCCTTCCTGTGGCCGAGGGGGAGGCGGTGATTCTTCGTTGCATCCATAGCAATGCCTCTTCCTCCTCCAACTTCACAAAGTTTTATAAGGACGGCCTCCTGATCGGAAGCAGCTCCACTGGGAGCATCGCCATCCGAGACGTTTCCGAGTCTGATCAAGGCCTCTACAAATGCGACGTCGCTGGAGCAGGGGGATCCCCAGAGAGCTGGCTGTCAGTCAGAGGTGGGATGGAAATACTGCGATGAATTTCAGTGCATTTCTGATGAATGCGTTGGTGGGTGTCATCCACTCATTCTTGCCTTTTTCTTTTTCTAACCTTCACACCAAAATGTTTTTTCCCCCTCGCTTGTATCTCGCCAAAGGACGCGAGCTGGACTCCTTCTGCTTTCATCCCATATACGTGATACTTCCTGTTGTCGCCACCTGCCTCTTGTTTCTCTGCGGGATGCTGCTCTACCTAAGGAGGCGTGTCAGAGGTCAGCCCCGTTCCTTATAAATCAAGCGACTTTTTAAAATGCTGATTACACCTAGCAAAATCAAAACAGATAAGAAAAGTATCATTTTTGCCAAATAGTATGTATGTGGTTTTTTTAAGTGCTTGCCAACATGGAGAGAAACCACCAACAAAGAAGATCAATACCCTCCTGTCCTACTAATAAGAAAATGTGGTAACACCTCATTTAACGGGTTATGAATAAGACTGTCATAACATGTCATAAACATGTAATAACACCGTCATAAACATGTAATAACACCTGTCATGAACATGAAGTGAATCTTCATGGGTATTTATGACTGTTGTCATAAATTCGGTAAATCGTGACACTTTTAATACAAAGTTGACATTATTGGAAATGCCTTTTGTTATGACAACTTGGCATTAACCAAGAAATCGTGACCTGACGTAAATTTGTTTAAAATGTCTATATTGTGAACCAGCTGCTGTTCAATATTGACATAGAAAATTCTGCTCCGTAGCCAAAGTGGATGATGACGTGTCCTACACTGACGTCACCTTCCCTCACACAGAGCTGCCGGAAACAAACGCAGGTAAACAGACGAACACATGGACTCATATATAAATAGCAACTGTTCAGCAGTAAGACCTTTGCTTTGACATTCATTTCAACACAACACTTTAATGCTTGTTTTAAAAAAGAAAATGAAATTCTTTAACATTGCCGTCATAAATTCAAGGCCTGACAATTTGGACGTTTTTTGTTAGATTGATGACTCCAGATTTAATTTCTATTACATTAATTGGTTAAGCAAAAATTTTCTATTTCAGTGTCTTTCATAGAAAACAAGCAGGACAATCAGAGACCTTCAAACGTCTTCACTTTCAATGTGTTTGTGATGTATCACTTACATAGGTGTGGTACTAGAGTGACTGCAAAATGGTGAAGTGGAAGATGCATGCAAACTTGTCCTTGTAAACTGATGAATGACTGGAATGAAACTTTATTTGCAGAGGTGACTTCAGACCTAATGCTGTACTCAACAATCAAACCAGGAAGCTGCTGAAAGGAGCCCACCTGATATGATCGGTCGTGGTTTTTGTTGGATCTTTACGTGTTTTATGTAGTAAGTGTGTGAGACGGAGGGCTAATGTAAAAATGAGTCTTTTGTGTGAAAGTCCTTTACATGTCCAAAATGATGTGCGACATTTCTCATTCGCTTTTGTTTTAAAATCAGAGCGAAACAAGAAATGTTTTCACTTAAATCTCACAAAATGTCATGCCTTAAATCACCCTGCGATTCACATATCGATGTTTTGATATTTTCTCAGTGGCAGATCTTCCCAGTCAGACATAATAATTTCAGCATTTTTATTATTAAAACAATGCACTTTCTGAAAACAGATTTTTTTTACATTTTTGTCAATGTCAAGTGGGATTCCTATAAATTATAAGAGTATTTGAATGCAGCATTATGACAAATAAAGATGTTTTTTTCTTGTATAGCAAAAAAAAAGGCATGTTGTCAATAAGTCTTGATTGTCACCTACCAGTGATATAAAAAAAAATATGTCAATACACCACAGACAACTAAAGACCCAGTTCCAAATAAAAATTTACATTCATATAACTCCTTTATAAATGCCATCTTTAAAGCTAGTGGTAAGTGAATTTTTTGTAGCGATAAGTAAAATGTTTTAGATGATCTCTGCTGATGCAATAACAACATTTTGTTTGCTGGAATGTATTAAGTCACAGAAAAAAGTATTAAGATACTTTTAAAGATAGGTAACATGAGCTCAATATGAAGGTTAGATGATTGTGATCACATTACTATAGATAATAACTTTAAAGTCGCTTCAACACTGCAAACATAAAAACTGGGGAACAACCCACCTCTTCCAAACGAACGAGGCGAAATCGTCTTCAGGTGCGACTCAGACGATGGGAAACAGCAGTTGCAGTTAAGAAAGACATTCTTAAACCTAAAAAGATTTTGGAGCTGATTAGATGGACATCATCAAACTGGCTCAGAAAAGTGAGAGTTGCTTGGGATGAAGGAAATGCGGCATGAGATTCTCTCTAACGGAGTTGAAACCTCAACATTCATTGAATATGTTCTGATGCAGCTTCATGCCTCTTTGTGCTTCTGATTGTTGTTACTGTACAAGCCCAAAAACACTCAAACCTAACAGTTTTGTGTTTTTATTAAGTCACCGGTGGTATTTCATATCGACAGCTTTCAATCACGCTTCAACCATTTTTACATCTTGCTCAGATTTTTTTCATGGGTTTTTTTTTTTTGAAGAGCACTTTTAAAAACTTTCAAAATATAGTAAGAAAAATACCAAGGCTGACACTCGTTACATTTTTTTTTTCAGCTTTAATGTTGCAGACTTTCTCCAAACTTCTTAAGTTTCTATTCATTATCAAATTTGTTAAAAATATATGAAGGCATTTCATCTTTACAGAGTACCAACATTTTGGTAGGAAACATCTGTCCCAGACAGAATGAAATCTCTAAGATATCTCTAATATTTTTGAAACGCACACAATACAGATCACAGGCTCAGCTCTTTGAACAATAATCTGATTTACTTTAAACACATAAACGTCTCACGTTTCCCCAAACCGCTAAAACACAAGCGAACAGTGTTTCTCACTCCGGACACCAGGGGGAGCTGTGTGTGCATGTTTTAAAGTTGTCAGCGAGAGCTAACTTTGAAAGGCAAATACATGTAGTTCTATATATTCTTATAAGTCTATAAACATTAATAAAAATTTTCTTACTCTATTGCAGTAAAAATAATAAAAAAATAAAAATTTAAAAAGTCACATTTGCATATCTTAAAAAGGCTCATAGACACATGAAACAAATTACAATAAAATCCATTAATACTTAATAAATGTTCAACTCAACCATCTTATTCAATAGGACTTTTGAGCTGCAAAAAGTAGTGAATTGGAGTAGAAGATATTTACATTACATTCACAGAAAATATGATTCACTTGTTTTAAGAGTAATAAAGTTATATTTGAAGATAAAGTGTCATCAGATATGTAGACAATATTTAACAAACTCTCCTTTCGAACACTGTCATAATTTATAGTTAAAGCTTACAAAATGTGGACCCTTCACCTTTAACTGCATTTTTAAAATCAGCTGTAAACAGTTGTAATAAGCCACAAGTCTCACCAAGAAGTCAAAACTTAAAGTTTAAAAGTTAATGCTAGCTATAAAATTAAAACTCACAAATACTCTGAACCACCCGCGACAAGCAGTGCTACAAAAATATATATATATATCAATAAAAAACAATGCCCCCGTAAACAAGACCAGCACATGAGATTGAGTGTGTTCTTTAAAAACTGTTACTGCAGCACCAGAAGACGGTCGGCACCATTTATCTCCCAACTGCACCCGTTTGTCATCATAATAATTATGACGGGTATTAGCTAAACACCATTTGCTTCTGACTTGTTTCTGAGCAAAACTAGTTCTAGCTCGACAAAGACTTTTCCTACTTCGAAGGCAGGAGTCGTTTGATGATAAGTAGAAAAATACGCATCAACCTGAAGTTTAACAATTATTTGTTCCGAGCATGAACGGAATGGAAAAGTGATTGTCATTAAAAAAACAAATGTAAAAAGACAAACAAAGAGGAGAAAACAATGAGTTTTGAAATATGGCAAATTCAACGTTGGTCTTAGAGCTATACTGACCAGATCTGTTTTTTTAAATAGAGTTCCTGACATCAGTTCAGGTGTCTGCCGTAATTTAAGATACCAACTAGGTAAGAGACTTCAGAGAACCCTAATTTGAAAGAAAGAAAACCTTGAAGTACCATTTTGGAACGGGTCTGTCCCATTTTTTATATCGTGACCTTATCTGTATCCATCACAAGCTTAAATGCTATGTCGTTTATTTGTCTCAGTATTCCATGTTAATGGATCAGAGCCTCTGACTCTTCGGTTAGATCTGCCAGAACGCTGAAGGGGTTACTTCCGATGGTGTACCTTCGGGGAGACCTGGGAACACCAGCATGAGAACCGGAAAAACTCACAGAGCGGGCAGGTTTGTTGTCTTTCGAAGCGGAAGCTGAGGAAAAACTGGGGAAGGGAGAACTTTTGTTTGTGGAAAGGTCAGAAGTGCTTTTGGGTCTGTCCTTTTTAGGAGGAGCAGGGACTTGTCCTGAACCAGCCGGTTTGGGGTCTTTCGCCTTGGACACGTTCCCAGACTTTGGATTGTGGCTCGCTGATGTGGCTGCTGGTGGTGCATTGCTGTGGTCAAGGGTTTGGGTAACTTGGTGAGACGCATCAGGTGAGGATGAGGAGTTGGTTGTAGGTTGGTTTTGCTGTTGAGCAGCACTGAGTTGGGATTTAAGTTCTTCTAGTTTTGCTTTTTGTTTGGCAATAATTTCATCTTTTTCAGAAATGTGTGACTCCAGCCCTTTGATTTGTGCTTGTAGCTGTTCTTGTAACTGAGTGTTGATGGCATTTTCCGTACTGAGACTGGGCGGCTGTAGTGGTTTAGGTGATTTCTGCCTGCAATCTGTGCATGAAGAGGAAAACACTTGTGTTTACATACATAAATGAGAGGTCTAGGCGTCTCTACCAGCGGTATCGGAAACACCGAGTACTTTCATCAGTCAATACTGATGAAAGTACTGACACAATTCTAGTGTGAATTCTTTTCTTGTATGATAACTTACACAAGGCAAAGGGATATTCAGTCTTGAAAAGTCATTAAAAAGACTCATACAGTCCATATCTAAACAGTTATTGAATGTTTACACAATCCATATCTGAAGAAAACAAATTTTTGTCTGTTCCAGCAGTAAAAAGTTGCAGACTTACAGGAGCATCCAAATTTCTGCCACAGAAAATAAGCGACCGCACATAATGCAAGTAGAGCTGCGGTTCCCGCTCCACTCCACACGATGCTGTAGGTGCAGGATCTCATGCAGTCATCTGAAATAATAGAAAATCAATTATGGCAGGTGATAAAAATATCTTCAAAGGCTTTTTGCTTAAGCAAGACAAAAAAAAAATACCATTCCAAACTGATGACTTTTCTACTGAGTGCTTTACATTACAAGAGAAAACAAAAACTGAAGGAGTTTATGTTACAGTCAAAATTCACAGCTAAAAAGCTACATTTTGTTTATCATGCAAGATAAAATATAAACTACATATTTACAGAATTGTAAAGGTTTTCCTCTCTTTAACACCACTAGCTCATAAGAATACATTCAACACGTTACTGTACCTGGAATATAAATATTTGCATATTGTGTCTTCTTCAACAGCGGCTGGTGAACATGGCAGGTCACGCTGCGGTGAAACAACAAAACGTTACGTTTGACTTTTTATTCAACCAATTAAAGACAAACATCAACATGCAAGTAGCCTCCCAACAGGCTTGTTTCTCACGTGAAAAACAATCCCTCTGGGTTTGCTGTACCTGCCGGTGACAATCTGCAAAGACGCTCTCCTTTTAACGTTAAACCTTCCAGCTGAGTCCAGATCAGTCCGCGGGTCTTCGGCTTCAATCATATTGCCTTTCTCGTCGTAGAACGTTATCTCCGGCTCTGGGAACCAGCGTTCGGCGCTACACTCCAGTGTCAGTCTCCCGTTGTCACCAGAGCGAACGAAGGCGAGCTTCGGCTCAGACGCAGCACCTGAAAAAAGGCAAACTTTATAATACAGAAACACCCTGAACAAAGGAAAGCAGTTATACCACATCTGATATTGGTAGGCACGTCATACTGTGTGATTTTCAGTCTCACGTTTTGACGAAGCCTTTTTCCTTCCTACAGTCGACATTACATTCATTTACAGAACAAAGAGCGATTTCAAAGATTGCTTTCACAACTGTGTGTCGCCAGACGGGTAATTCCCCTCCTGAAACTTGTTATCCTAATATAGGTTTTAGTATCGGTATGAAATGCAGGCTGGTTGAGGTGACAGTGAGGTGACTGTTATTATAATAATAACAGTCACCTCACTGTTGCCAACTCAGCAAGTATGCCACTCATTTTGTGTTAATTTAAACACATTGTTTGAATCTAGTGTACACAATTAAATTAGATTGAACTGCATTTCCTCTTATCTCTGTGTTCCTGTTCTTCACTGGAACTGCCTCATTTTGTGTTAGTGTAACATAATAATAATAAACAGGGTGTAAATTTAAACACATTGTTTGCTTTAGCACTAAATATCTAAAGCTGCATATTTAAAGCAAACCATTTATGATCCCCAAGCTGGTCTCATAGTGCAAGATGGCCTCATCTGGCATTACGTCCATTTCATTTCACTCATGCTGCAACCACAAATATCATCATATTGTGAGTTTTTCATTTGATAAACTAGTTCTGGTTTTACATTGTTTTATGGTGAGGTTACTGTGTGGTTATGTCGTATGTCATGGGGCAAAGTTTGCACCAGCTTTTTACATTTAGAGAATCCCTTTTCTGGCTTTCCTTTTAGCAAAAAAGCTTAAACTAAGTCAGGTTAGATTAAGAGCATTAGCTTTAAGTCTTACCACTGCACTGGCGACAAGTCTGGGCTTTTCCTGGGTATTTGTAACACATTCATATGCTTCTATCTAAACTAGAGTAGTTTAGAGACTAGAGTCCCCAAAAGGCGGATTCGGGTCAAAATCTTCTAGATTGATTGAGAGATTCAGACTAATTTTTTCTTTCTTTTTTGTTAGTTTTTTTTTTTTTTTGTGTGTGTGTATCTTTGTCATAGTTTGTTTGTCTGTTTGCTTTAACCTTTTGCATCAGAGGGATTACATTAGATGTAATCTTCATCAAGACCCTGTGATTCAAACTTTTTCTTCTACAGAGAAAATTCAGAAAACCTTAGAAGCAGGAAACTGTGAATATGATTCAAATCATACCACAGCTAGTTTAAGAAAAAGAAAAGATCAGAGAGAATATCCTGGATTGCACTCACACTTATGACACATTCAGTTTCTCTGACTCTTACATGTTCCTTCTTCCTTCCTATGCTCTTGCTAAACGCTTTGGATGTCGTTCAGCTAGTAGGTCGATCTCCACTCCATGCTCAGATCTTCTGCCGCCCTGTTTACACCTCCATTCCTTTCACCATCAACTCTGCCCAAGTTCGCCACAACAACGTGCCGCTGCCTGCCACCACGTCTCACAGTGGGGGAGGTTTCCACAGAGGTTATGTGTGGGGTTAGTGTTGCACCATACATGATATTTTGAACGTGTCCCCTTGACTTTGGTTCCTTTTGAAATATTCACCTTCTCCCACATGTCTACTGTGTCCTCTTGAAGCTAATTTTCTCTTTCCACGTTTCCAGATTTGTGAAATGAACAGCGTATAATCGTCCTGTGTGTCAACAGGTTCTCCAACAGAAGAGGCTGCTTCTCTGATTCATCCTTTCCAATTTGAAACAGACCTTGATTCTCTTAGTTTTGGGAGAACTGAGATCGGCCGATACTTATATGCAAGGCCAGTCCTAACTACTCAGCGCAAAGGTCTAAAAAAACTGCCGCTGTCCTCTTTTGCACTGATGTAAGAGAGGTGACAGTCCCAACAGGACATGTCTGCACATTCACAATAATAACAGTCACCTCACTGTTGCCAACTCAGCAACTTTCTTGCCTTTTAGAAACATTTCAGGCAAAAAAAGAAATATCAGTATGAGCCACAATCAATATTAGCAGGTCAGGCTGTTTTTAAAGATCGGTAATCAGCGATCAGCCGGACAACTGCAATCGGTGCGCCCCTACTTTCCCATACCATCATTTGATTGAAGACTAGTCGAAAGCTTAAGATATGTTTTAATTACTTTATATAATTGGATTTGTTTGATTTGTAAAGTGCATTGAAACAAAAATATGAAGTGAATCTAGTCTACACAATTAAATTAGATTGAACTGCATTTCCTCTTATCTCTGTGTTCCTGTTCTTCACTGGAACTGCCTCATTTTGTGTTAGTGTAACATAATAATAATAAACAGGGTGTAAATTATAATTCTGAAGCTTAAAAAGACACAGACCCAGAATAGCCAGGAAACACGTCAGGATGCATGCTGTAAACAGAGACCACTCACCCACAATGAGATCCAGCGCTGCTTCAACCTGCCGCTGCTTCCCCACCATGGTCCTGCACAGATACCGGCCGCCGTCAGACAGCCTGAGCCCGGAGACGACCTGGGAGATGTCGCCGCGCTTCACTTCCTCCAGCCAGAGGCTGGTCCTGTTGAGGAAGGCCGGGTTCTTCTCCTCCACGGTCTCTCTGCCGATGCGGTACAGGAGGGTGATGTTGGGGCTCAACCCGGCCTTGGACCACTCCACGGTGAGCAGGTCGCTGGTCTGGTTGGTTCGGCAGGGCAGCGTGACCGTCTCGTTCTCGTACGCAACTATCGTCTCTGCTGACGCTGGTATCGAGAGGGAAGAAGAAGAAGCAGTTTGTAACCGTGTTTGCGCGGCCATCTTTGAGAGGTAGAATCAGGAACAATCTAGAACTGTTCGCCTCTTCCGCGACGATAAAAAGTTACTCGGCTGTTCGTACATGGAGCTATAACTACAAATGTATTTAAAGCAGACTTAACTCTCTCTGCGTGTGTAATTATTACATGTTTTCTACTGGACGGACTCGCCGAGTTTAGCTGAAAAGTATTTAAACGGTGATGTCGCTTGGGAAAAAAAAACTTTTTATTATTAACTTAAAGTTAGACGGCGCAGATTCGCGACACGCAAACAAGAAAAAAGAAAGCCACAACGACATGCTATGTCGGTCAAATAAATATCAGTTTAGACAATAAATAAAATGAAATGAAGAAGTTAACCAGGCCAAACCTGTAGCGAAGCACAAGACGGCGACGACGACAGAGAGGAGTCCGGCTGTAGCGGCGGAGAGACGGGAAAATGTTCTGCTGTCCGTCCACCTGCTCCTTGAAATGAACTTTAAACTTTCAACCACAGCCCGTCGATGTCTGCAACCTGGGTGAACTTGGGCCATTTTTATTCTAGGAGTAAACCTGGAGAAAACTCTGGCTGACAGGCTGTTCGTCCGCAGTTTCGCGTTGAGAGCGGAAGGGAATAATGAGCACTTCCTGGTTAACGGGAACATTTTATTGTTAGAAATTATTTGTATTATTTTAATTTTCATTATTTTATAATAATAATAACTTATTATATTATTAATTATTGTTATAGTATTATTATTATTATTAATTATTATTTTATTGTTATTATTATTGTTTTCATTTTAAGATTGTGTGTGTAGATTGACTGCCGTTTTTATTTTTGAAATTGCCAAGCACAAAGTTTATGTCATTCAGCTGTGATGGTGGGGCGGAAACCAGAGAAGAGGGAGAAAATACGGCAAAAATATCAAAACCAATTTCAAATATCTCGTTTTAGAGGCAGGCTGCATGTTTCAAACGACTCATCAAACCCTAGATGTTTTTTAAGCAATTCAGAGAAATGCAAAACAATCTACAATTACTTTTATTTTATCAAGTTGTGTGTCACTGATAACAGTACATTCAAATTTGTTCTTTGAATAAATCATGACCGCTTTATCAGATGGCTGGCTTTGCCACAGTTAGTGCCTGCGGTCATTCTGCATGGATTTGCATGTGTGGCTTTCTCCCAGTGCCACACCATGACTATCAGGGTAATTGATCTCCCTAAATTGACCCTTAAAGAATGTGTGTGCATGGTTGTCTGTCCTGTGACTGGCAACCATGTCACAGGACAGGCCCTATGATGGACAAATGGATGACCTGTCAAAAGCATATCTTGCCTCTCGTCCAATAACCGAAATAGGCAGCATCTATCCCACATAAACCTGCAAAGACATCTGGGAGTAGTCAATGGATGTATGAAAGCAAGGCGCAATCTCACTCCCAGTCTCGTGAACAAAACATTCAATAAATACCAGTCAGATGCACATAGACTACAATGACAAGAGAGGTAAAACCCAAAAATTCAAGTCATGTCAGGACTTACTGATACTTTATTGTCAATACTTCTCAAGCTTGTTTGGCTTTATTGATCCAACACAACAAGACATTAGAAGAACTTGGCACAGGTAGAACATACACCAAATAAAAAGGGAAAATGTACAAACAATTCCTCATGATGTACAAGAAGATACACAAGAACAGATAGATCAAGGTAACAGTAAAATGTTGGAAGTTACTCTTAAAAGGTTGCGTCGTTTGTTAACACAACCTTTGAGTAACTTCTTGACAATATGGCTGACACGATTGTACCAGAGGTCACTTAAGATCAGAGGTCATGGCGGATGGTAGACATGCGTAGACACATAACACCGTTTACTAACCTGACTGAGTCATGATGTGACGTGCAGTCATTGGTGTTGAAATAGCAGGAGAGAGTAGACCATTTGTGTTTTGTAAAAAAAATAAAATAAAAAAAAGTCAAGGATCTATTTGCAAACGGATGACGTGACCTGCAACTTCCAGAGTTTGGCTCACAGCTTCATTGGGATGATGTTAAAGGCAAAGCTAAAATTGATAAATAGCACCAGCACATATGTAGCTTTCCCTCTGAAATATTGAGGGATGTAACGAGTGCCCAAGAAGGTAGCATAATTTACTGACCTGTTCACCCTCGATGCCAAATAACGTAGTGGGTAGGTAGTTGGTCAAACTTTTCTTCCATAATGACAGAATTTCAAGCAAATGGTCTGTACTCATCAAGGAAACATTTGGCTGAATTGAAGCAATCTTACATAAAATACTTGAGAAAGAAATTCTAGCTTGTTTTATAATTTTTTCCCCCCCAACTTGCTGACTGAAAATGGAGCTTGCCGTGAATGCCATAGTCTCCACGGGCCCCGTGTATAAAACATTTGTGTAAGCAACAAACATGTGCAATGACCAAATTTTACGCACAAGGTGGCATGTATAAAAATTTACTTTGTGTCAAAGTTTGCGTACATATACGCACGCTTTTTTCCTGGCGTAAAAATGTGCAGCAGCCACACAAGCTTATATTTTGCTAGACGTTATTGCGATACACGGTAACATCGTTGTTTTGAGACCATTGTCATGTACCGTCCTGAGAATGGCATAACAATGGACGTTCATGACAGGGCTAGTTCTTTCCACGTTTTAGCTTTCTGGTTTGTCCAACAGTGACTCTGAGCTCTCACTTGCATTTCTTTGATAACTATGAGCATGGAGAACAGAGTTCCCTGTGAAAGAGGAAGGAGACACAGACCTATGTCGGTCTGTGTTCTGGCCGGGGCTTTTGTCTCGTTTCGCAGCAGTCAATCCAGAACTTTTTGTCATGGACGAATCCTGTCCCACTGACTGGTTGTCAATGAGTGGCTGGTGTCCTAGCTCTGTCCCATTTGGTGATGTTATGGAATCATCTGTGGACTCCTCTTCCTGTGAGATACCACTGGATGTGTGCCTTTCCTTCTCATCTTTATCTTTCATATTCGTATTTCTTGACAGACAGAACTTTTGTCCGCTCCCTGTGTAATTACAGAAAGAAAATATCAGCACTTTCTTTTGACTTTTCAAATATATAAATTCCTAAAAAATATATACAGTATATATATTTTATTGTTTCAGGAATTTAAAAGAGATGAATATCTTATTTACAGGAAAATAAGAAATGCGTCTTATTTTACTATTGTTAAAATCCAGCTCCTTTTCCCAACACTTTCATACCATTTGGACTTTTTTCTGATCTTGTGTTTTTAGGATTTAATGTAAAGTGGTAAACCGTTCTAAAGATGAAGGAAAATAATATACAATTTTCAGACCTATTACAAATGAAAGGCGTTACATGCATTTAGACACAGCACCAGGCTGGTTTACACCGTCCCATCATTCTATTAGAAACTGAACCTATACCCCAGTCTTAATGGTTTTTTTAACAAGTTTCCTTGTGTTTGGCATGAAGCTGTCACCATCTTGTTTCCGGTGGTAGTTGTGTTTAAGGGGACGCTCACACAAAATTGAAATGTCAGCCAAACATTCACTTTGACAGGAGCACCACCTTCTACATGTTTGTGGCGTCCTCTACATCACTCGTATCTGGGGGGGAAATACAAATCTCAGCCACGAGTTTCTGATTTTGATTTGCAAAATGTTTTGAAAATATTTTCCTTCCACCTGACAATGCATTTGTATGCATTTTTTTCTGAAGTTATGTAGCAATGTTCAGGTCGTGTTCGTGCTATGCATATTTTATTGTAAAAGAATATGCATAGTCCTTACTTGTTTGAAAGTAAGGATTTATCTGAAGCCAAAAGAAAGTGAAATATGACTAAAGTAATCTTTAAAAAGTAGTTTAATCCTTAATTTGGCTTGAGTGAACGTACTCACTGTAGAAAATCTTGTGTACCAGGAAAACAATTCCACATATTATTAACCCTGTCAAGAAACCTGTGATGATTGCCGTGTTTGAGAAAGACCTCATCCAGTCATCTGAAAGGATAATATTAAAAAAATGTAGATTATTATGACCACTTTTTTTGACTACACAACAAACTCAAACTAGATTTAAAATCTATCAATGTTTTATCTAATGCAAATGAGTAAAACGGGAGCTCTTAAAGTACAACCAGAATGTTTTGGGTGTTTCATTTCAGATCAGTGTAATCTGATATACCTGGGATGTAAATCTCTGTGTTCTTGGTCTGATTGAGCTTTCTCTCGTGGACTTTGCAAGTCACTCTGTGGTAAAAAAAAAAAAAGACTGTCAATTTTACTTCCATTTCAAGATTTTAAAAAAGAGAGAGAGACAGTAATCTGAATCTGAGCACAGTGTTTTAATATCTGATGTTCGACCTCAGCTGGTTTTACTGTACCAACACATATCAAGGAAAATTATTTTCTCGCTTTAAGTGTAGCAACTCCCCTATAGTTGCTCACATTTTTTCCATTTATTTTCATTCACATAACTCCTAATAATCATGTGAATTAGAGGAAAAGACAGTATGTGGAGGCACAAAAGGTTTGGCATTTACTGGCTACTTTTACTGACTTTACCTAAAACACATAAACCTATCATTACCTGTTGATTTTAGTCTTCACAACTGCTCTCCTGGTGACTGTAAAACATTATGTAGAGTTTGGACCTCTTGTGGGTTTTTCTGCTGGAATCTCTTTCTCTTCGTCATCGAGAAACATTATGTCAGGTTCTGGGAACCAGCACTCCGCCTTACACTGCAGGGTCACTCCTTCACTACCAGTGGAGGGAACGACTGTGAGCTCTGGCTTTGACGTGGCACCTAGAATGGGATCCAACCAACCCTTATAAGACACTGTCTGATGCAGTGCAATACATCGTCCTACCACGAAGCCAAACACAAGACCAAGACTCACCCACGTTCAGGACGATAATCGCGTGAACCTGCCACTGCTTCCCCCTGCGGGTCCTGCAGTGGTACCTGCCTCCATCAGACACCCTCAGGTTGTAAATGATCTGAGAGATGTTGCCGTCCTTCAGTTTGTTCAAAAGAAGGTTAGTCCGGTAGTGGAAGGCCGGATTCTTCATCCCAAACGTCTCGCATCCGTCCCGGTAGAGTAAGGTGATGTTGTTTATCTCTAAGCCCTCCTTGGACCACTCCAGCGTGGGGAGTTCACCGTCGACAGTGATGTGACAGGGCAGGACGACGGTTTCAGTCACATTGGCTGTTATTGTCTGTGGGACGATATCTGCTGAGGCTGAACCTGACGGGATAGCAGTTGAAAAAAACAATAAAAAGAGAAATCCAATGCTGGTTGTTTTTGTTTGTTTGTTTCTTATTATTGTGAACTGAACACAATTACAACAAATAACTAAACAGTAACAACTGCACTGCTGCCAAAGGTATTACTCTCTCATCTCAGGTTGGTTTAAACTGCCAACTGAAGGTTAGCCAGGTGTTACAATGGCCTAGTCAAATTCCTGACAAAAACAAACTGACAATCGTGAGTGGAGAACAAATGCTAAGAGCCAATCTGATCAGAGTGCCTACTCCTATGAGATTTGCTGCTCTGCACTGATTTTGCCAAACGACGTGCTGCCTTGGAGTTTACATAGAGTAACACAAACATTTACAGTATGATCCATTGAGGAAAGTGATTCTTAAATCAGAAAGTTGGAAAGATTTCCGATCTATTGACTCTTTTGAACAGTGATGTAAGGAGAAGGGTTATAGGTTAAAATCAGCTTTTGATTCAAAACCAAACGTAGCTGATTTCCATTTACTGCTAAAATTGCATGATTCTTGTGTGTTAGAATGATCCTTAGCAACAGGCTTAAAAGAGGAGTCTCGAGGCGGAGAGATGTAGTGCAGACCAACCAGGAAGTGGAGGCAGCCCGGGGTTGTGGCCCAGACACGGATCGACGCTCTGCATTTAATATGAGTCATATCCGAAAACACATTGATTTCACTTCGAAGAACTTTCGCTGAGTCCTCTCTGAGCCGATCCGAAAACTTTGTCTTGCCGTTTCTCTGTCAGTCTGTGGCCGGAAGCTGCGGTGCGCTCCTACCTGCTGCTGATCTCCGTCTGCTTTACGCTCTGACGCGACGTCAGACAGATAGAAACCTGTTATGGGAGGTGTCACTGCACGGCCCTGAGTCTGATTTTTTTTTTTTTTTTTTTTTTTTTTTCACTTTCCAAGCCTTACTCTGACTGCAGGTGCCCTGTCGAGGTTCCGATCCCGTGAGCGCATTAAATCCCAAACCTTTAGTCTGTTATACCCATTGTTATGCCGTCACTTCGGCACTCATGGCTTCACAATTTCACCTAAAATAACGAACAAATTTGTAGGCAACACGAACTGGTTTCTCAGCGTGTCAGCTGCCGACGGAAAGCAAACGAGATGCTTGGACGTGGAGCGGCGTCCCCTGCGCGTCCAGAGTGCTGCTCGGACTGAGCGCCGCTGCGCGCTGCAGGCCTCTCTCCATGGCGACGCGGCCTGATGCCGAAAATCATTCATTCGCGCTCGAAGCTTCTTTCCTTTCTTTTGCTCGCGACGGCGGTGTTGTCACATAGCGACGAGTTGTCGTTAGGCAGGAGGCCAAAATGTCTATTTTGGGCACCGAGGATCCGAGGATTCCTCCATGCGGCCTCGAGGGCCGCTGCGCACCGCGGGTCCAGCTGTGATTGTTGTCTGTCTTGCTGAGTTGGACTCTTTGCCATCAGTGGAATCAATCGATTCCGTCGACTTGGATCAGAGCCGAATCGTGGAAAGCAGATATAAATTTCTTTAAATTCTGTCTACTAAAATAAAGGCTTTATAAATTTAAGGATGTTATTTTTCGTGTGTGTGTCAAATTACGAAATGTTATTTAGTTACGTGTGACAGAACAACTTGAGCAGTTTTTTTTTTACTTGAATTAAACTATTTGAGAATCACATCTCAGTAATATTAATCACTAAAGTGCAAGTTTACCGCGATAACGATTTTGTATCTGTGAAGAATGCGCTGAGTCACGATGATCGTCTGATGAATACAGACTGCATGCTTGATTAACCGGTTTGATATCATTCTGATTCAGGCTTGGCGTGACGAAATGAAAATACTGATAAGCGACGTTTGTGCCATTCCATAAAGCTTTAAATTTCAATTAGGCCTATTGCCGAGCAGCATAGGAATTGAGCACCTGCTGATTATTACAATAATACAGTAGTGTGTGTGTGTGTGTGTTTTACTACTAGTAAAATGTGTGTGTGTTTTTAAATGCTTTTAAGTAATTTTTAATGCTTTTAAGTAACATTCGCTAACCAGTGGCGGAGCTAGACTTTTTTTCAAGAGGTGGCCAAAGGGTGAGCAAGGCTTTATCAGAGGGGTCCATATACAAATGATGAATGAAAGGAAACAAATATTTTAGAGAGAAGTTGCCATCCTTCCAACTCCAATGAAGCTCCAACAATTGTTTAAATAGACCTGATTATTTATTTGTCATTGAAGCTGTAAGACCATCAGCTCTGACATAAATAAAGATCTTTTAACGCCTCCCAGTTTGTAATCTTTGATTTTGGTTCATTAGTAATTTTGGGGGGGGTAGAGGAGGAGGGGAGGGGGGGGGGTGTACTCTTCCAGATCAGAAGGTGCGCAGGGCAGCACTTCCTCTCACAAAACCCTGAACTACTAATTCCGGGTTTTTTTGTTTGTTTGTTTGTGTTTTTTTAACACAAACGATGTCAAATAAAGACATGGAAGCCACCCGTCCTCCACGGAAAGAGGAGGATGTTGATCCGCAGGTTCAGGCGGCGTCAGACGTCCAAAGGAGGAGAAGGTGAATTAGTCTGAACTTTAACCAATAGAAAACAGTTTTATGCATATGGCAAATTATTTTAAGCATTGCTATATAATATATATATATATATATATATATATATATATATATATATATATATATATATATATATATATATATATATATATAAAAAAAAAATTCCCTTCTCACCCACCGCGGGTGGTCTTATCCTCTGAGCTCGAATCCTCTACCAGAGGCCTGGGAGCTTGAGGGTTCTGCGCAGTATCTTGGCTGTGCCAAGGACTGCACATTTCTGGACTGAGATGTCTGATGTTGTTCCTGGGATCTGTTGTAGCCAGTTTGGGGGTTACTGCCCCGAGGGCCACGATGACCACAGGCACCACTGTGGTCTTCACCTTCCAGGCCTCTCCAGTTCCCTGAGGCCCTGGTATTCTCCAGTTTCTCGTGCTCCTTTTTCCTGATGTTGCAATCACTTGGTATTGCTACATCTACCACAACGGCTTTCCTCTGATGTTTATCCACTACGACAATGTCTGGTTGGTTCGCCATTACCATTTTGTCTGTCTGGATCTGGAAAGTCCCACAGGATCTTAGCTCTGGTGTTCTCTACCACCTTTGGGGGTGTTTCCCACTTTGATCTCGGGTTTCCAGTCCATATTCTGCACAGATGTTTCTGTACACAATGCCTGCCACTTGGTTATGTCGCTCCATGTACGCTTTCCCTGCCAGTATCTTGCACCCTGCTGTGATGTGCTGGACTGTCTCAGGGGCCTCCTTGCACAACCTACACCTTGGGTCTTGTCGGTGTGGTAGATCTGGGCCTCTATTGCTCTGGTGTTTAGGGCCTGTTCCTGGGCGGCCAGGGATGAGGGCCTCTGTGCTGTCCTTGAGTCCAGCTTTTTCCAGCCATTGGTAGGATTTACTGATATCAGCCACTTGGGTTATTTGCTGGTGGTACATCCCATGTAGGGGTTTGTCCTCCCATGATGGTATCTCTGGCACCTCAACCTCCGTTCCCTGTTGTCTGAGACATTCACTGAGCACATTGTCTGTTGAGGCTTTGTCCCTGATGTATTTATGGATCTTAGTTGTTTCGTCCTGGACAGTGGTTCTCACACTCACTAGTCCTCTGCCTCCTTCCTTGCGGCTCGTGTACAGTCTCAGGGTGCTGGATTTGGGATGGAACCCTCCATGCATTGTTAGTAGCTTTCTGGTCTTAATATCTGTGGCTTTTATCTCCTCCTTTGGCCAGCTAATTATTCCAGCAGGGTATCTGATTACTGGCAAGGCATAGCTGTTTATATGGATTTTGTTCTTGCCATTGAGCTGGCTTCTCAGGACTTGCCTTATTCGTTGGAGGTATTTAGCTGTGGCTCCTTTCCTTGTGACCTCATCGAGGTTGCCATTTGCTTGTGGTATACCTAGGTACTTGTAACTGTCCTCTATGTCTGCTATTGTTCCTTCTGGGAGTGAGACCCCTTCTGTGTGGATGACCTTCCCCTCTTTGTGACCAGCCGACCACATTTCTCTAGTCCGAATGACATCCCAATGTCAGTGCTGTAGATCCTGGTGGTGTGGATCAGTGAGTCGATGTCTCGCTCACACTTGGCGTACAGCTTGATGTCATCCATGTAGAGTAGGTGACTGATATTGGCCCCATTTTTGAGTCTGTATCCGTAGCCAGTCTTGTTGATAACTTGGCTGAGGGGGTTCAGGCCTATGCAGAACAGTAGCGGGGACAGAGCATCTCCTTGGTATATGCCACATTTGATGGACACTTGTGCAAGTGGTTTGCAGTTGGCTTCAAGGGTGGTTTTCCACAGCCTCATCGAGTTTGCAATGAAGGCTCTCAGAGTCCTGTTGATGTTATACATCTCTAAGCATTCAATGACCTGCCATGCACAGGTTGGTGTGTCGGGTTTTGCAGTCTCGGGCAACTGTGCGGTCTACGAGGAGTTGGTGTTTGGCTCCTCTGCTATTTACACCGATACCCTTTTGTGCCGTGCTCATGTGTTTATCCATGTGTTTGCTTATCTTGGCCGCTATGATGCCTGACATGAGCTTCCAGGTTGTGGAGAGGCAGGTTATTGGTCGGTAGTTGGGTGGGACTGGACCCTTTGATGGATCCTTCTGGATTAGGATTGTCCGCCCTTCAGTTAACCATTCAGGGTGAGTCCCACTTTGTAGCAGCTGGTTCATTTGGGCTGCCATTCGCTCATGGAGAGCAGTGAGTTTCTTTAGCCAGTAGGCATGGATCATGTCAGGCCCTGGTGCTGTCCAGTTTTTCATACCTGAGACTCTTTCTTGGACATCTGTCACAGTGATGGTTACCGGGGCTTGCTCAGGGAGGTTGCTGTGGTCCTCTCGTAGAGTGATCAGCCACTGTGCATTGCTGTTGTGGGACGCCTCCCTTTCCCATATGCCTTTCCAGTATTGTTCCGTCTCCAGCCTTGGTGGGTCTGCTCTGTTGTTATTGTTACCCTGCCATTGAGAGTACACCTTAGCTGGTTGAGTGGAGAAGAGCCGGTTAATCCTTCTGGATTCATTCTCCCTTGTGTATCTCTTTAGGCGGCTGGACAAGGCTTGGAGCCTCTGTTTGGCAGTCTCGAGTGCTTCAGGTATGGGCATCTGCCTGTACTTTCTGGGTACTGGTCTTTTCATTGCACCCTTGTGGAGCTCTGACAGTTGGCTCACTTCCCTCCTTGTTACCTTGATTTTAGCCTCTAACCGTCTTTTCCATGGTGGGTATTGGGTCTCATGGTTGCTCTTATAGCCAAGTATCTCAAGGATCACTGATGCTGATTTGTAGATCAGCTCATTGGTTTCTGTTATGGTGTTGGTAGGGATCGTTCTCAATGCTGCATTCACATTCTCAATGAGACTTTCAGATGGTACTTCACTCAGCCGTTGTAATTGGCGCCGAGGAGGCCTGGTTGTCATTCGGGTCATGATTCTCTCTCTCAGGTCAGCAGCTGTCTCGTTCAGCTCTGTTTCGCTCATTGGGGCCGTGTATCCCCTCACTGGGTGGGGACTTGTAGTTAAGTCCCCACAGTCCTGACATCCGGGTTCCTCCCTTTTGCGTAGCATTTGTGTTGTATCTCGTCAATCTCAAGTTGTGATAGCAGTTGCCGTTTGCGGATGTTGGAACACTGAGCTACTAGTTGTTTAGCGCTTAGTGTTGACTGGGGATGTCGAAGTAACCATTCCTTCCCCAGTCTTTGCATGTAACCTCTCTCACTAGGGTTACTTGAGTAGTAGCATTCCAACAGATCCACATTTTCATCTCTCGCCCATTTCCGTCTTGTTCCAGTAGCCCATTTGTCATCAAGGTGCTCTGGTTCCCCAACACCTGACGCAGACCTTGTTTGGCCGGGCTGAGTCGGCATGTTACGCAACTTAGTATCTCTCATGGTATGAGGTAGGCAGTAGCTTGAAGGGTCTTGCCTAAGGACCCAGACTGGATTCGAACCCTGCCCTCTCGGGTGATATACTGATGCCTTATGTATTGAGCTATCCAGTCAGCTCAATATATATATATATATATATATATATATATATATATATATATATATATATATATATATATATATATATATAAAATAAAAAAATTCCCTTCTCACCCACCGCGGGTGGTTCTTATCCTCTGAGCTCGGGTCCTCTACCAGAGGCCTGGGAGCTTGAGGGTTCTGCGCAGTATCTTGGCTATGCCAAGGACTGCACATTTCTGGACTGAGATGTCTGATGTTGTTCCTGGGATCTGTTGTAGCCACTGCTCCAGTTTGGGGGTTACTGCCCCGAGGGCCCCGATGACCACAGGCACCACTGTGGTCTTCACCTTCCAGGCCCTCTCCAGTTCTTCCCTGAGGCCCTGGTATTTCTCCAGTTTCTCGTGCTCCTTTTTCCTGATGTTGCAATCACTTGGTATTGCTACATCTACCACAACGGCTTTCCTCTGTTGTTTATCCACTACGACAATGTCTGGTTGGTTCGCCATTACCATTCTGTCTGTCTGGATCTGGAAGTCCCACAGGATCTTAGCTCTGGTGTTCTCTACCACCTTTGGGGGTGTTTCCCACTTTGATCTCGGGGTTTCCAGTCCATATTCTGCACAGATGTTTCTGTACACTATGCCTGCCACTTGGTTATGTCGCTCCATGTACGCTTTCCCTGCTAGTATCTTGCACCCTGCTGTGATGTGCTGGACTGTCTCAGGGGCCTCCTTGCACAACCTACACCTTGGGTCTTGTCTGGTGTGGTAGATCTGGGCCTCTATTGCTCTGGTGTTTAGGGCCTGTTCCTGAGCGGCCAGGATGAGGGCCTCTGTGCTGTCCTTGAGTCCAGCTTTTTCCAGCCATTGGTAGGATTTACTGATATCAGCCACTTGGGTTATTTGCTGGTGGTACATCCCATGTAGTGGCTTGTCCTCCCATGATGGTATCTCTGGCACCTCAACCTCCGTTCCCTGTTGTCTGAGACATTCACTGAGCACATTGTCTGTTGAGGCTTTGTCCCTGATGTATTTATGGATCTTAGTTGTTTCGTCCTGGACAGTGGTTCTCACACTCACTAGTCCTCTGCCTCCGTCCTTGCGGCTCGTGTACAGTCTCAGGGTGCTGGATTTGGGATGGAACCCTCCATGCATGGTTAGTAGCTTTCTAGTCTTAATATCTGTGGCTTTTATCTCCTCCTTTGGCCAGCTAATTATTCCAGCAGGGTATCTGATTACTGGCAGGGCATAGCTGTTTATCGCACGGATTTTGTTCTTGCCATTGAGCTATATATATATATATATATATATATATATACACTTCTTAATTATTATTATTATTTTTAATATAAACAAATGTTATTACTTCAATGTACAAACATGACATTAAATCATTTCTTTGGCAGTAATGACGATGGCTGCAGCTAGTGAAAGCACTGTCATGAAAACAACACATCTGAGTATTGTTTTTGACTCAGATGTACAACAAATAGTAACTCAAAGCCTGTTCTTGAAACAGATTGCGCTGTGGAGCCCAAGAGAGCCTGTTAAGGTCTGTTACGTAACAGACCATATATGGTCTGCTACGTAACAGACCATATATGGTCTGTTACCATATATGGCAACAGACCATATATGATAACAGTAGGCTATACCCCCCGTATCTCATTTCAGTATTCACACCACTCGTGACTGTGACATCCGGATGGGCACACCAAGTATGGTTTTCGTGCGAGCGACAGGTTTCTTTGTGTTCCTTTTCTTCCTCGCTGTCTGCTTTCGTGCAGCGGACTGCGTGACAGTGATCTTAGGAGACCCGTTTGAAGTGAGAGCTTAAGAAAGTTTGCCTTGTTTTCTGCTGGAGGCTCGACCCGGCTATAGTTGCCTCTTTTTATCGCATCATCACCTCACTTACCCATGTGTGCTTGTGTCAGTAAGTGAACAGAGACTAGACAGAAAAAAAAATCTCCTCCCTCCCTCGGTCCTCCTTTTCCCCTCCCTCCCTTTCTCTCTCCCTCCCTCACTCACTCACTCACTCATTCAAGAGATAGGTTACACTGCCCCACCCGATGTGCACAGCAAGTATGGCTTCAGTGCGAGCGGCAGGTTTCTTTCTGTTCCTTTTCTTCCTCGCTGTCTGCCTTCAAGCTACGGACTGCGTGACAGTGATCTTAGGAGACCCGTTTGAAGTTCCTGAGCGCTGCGGGCTGGGCGAGTCGGGCTCGCTGCTGCGGGATATGGGACATGAAGGCACCCGGCAGGTCGCTACTTACCAGCGCGGTCAGTGGACGGTGAGCCCAGAGTACAGAGACCGGATGGAGACCAACTTATCAAAGATTGTTTTCATCCGCATGCAGTACAACGATGGAGGGATCTACGAAGTGACCTGCTCCAAGACTGGCACCAAGTACGTCCAGCTGGAGGTGGTTTATGCTGAAAAACTGTTAGTGACCGAAGGTGATAACGTGACGCTCCACTGTTACTATAAAACCAGAGGGAAACCAGGATTAACTGTTCGGTGGGTGAAAAATGGGAAACCTGTGTGTGTGAAGAACTCCAACTATAAAGGTTGCAACGGGACACCTGATGACAGACTGTCAATACCTACTGACTGGATCACTAGTGGAAATCTGTCACTGACCATTGAGGGGGTTCAGGATGAGGATAGTGGGGATTATTTCTGCTACATCCAAGATCAACATGGGGAACAATCAGGAACTCCTGAAGCTCACAGACTGACTGTCACTGAGAAAATGACACATCAGATTAACAGCAGCACAGCAGCACCTGGAAATGTAAGTGGCTTTATTCACCAAGTTTATTCTCTAGGCAGAATATAAAAACTTTAGTGAGTCTGAATGTCTCTGTAAACCTGCTTTTCTTTCTCTTTCTTCTCAGACAACTCAGAGTTGCAGTGAACACACTCAGCCTTGGCAGATCTCCACCTGGATTCTCCTTGTGATCCTGCTGCTTGTTGCTCTTGTTGCTCTTTGTTTGTGGCGCTGTGGAAAAATAAGTTGTGATTCTGGAAAAAATTACAAGCTTGCAGAGAAAAGCTGCCATCCTTCCAACTCTAATGAAGCTACAACAAGTGTTTAAATAGACCTGATTATTTATTTGTCATGGAAGGCTTAAAACCATCAGCTCTGACATAAATAAAGATCTTTTATCGCCTCCCAGTGTGTAATCTTTGATTTTGGTTCATTAGTAATTTTGTAAAACAACAAGTATTACCAAGTGAATACAACATGTACAGAAAAGGACAAACTCATGTTTACCATTTTCTGTTTGGCGACTGCGAGAGAAATTGCCATCAAAGATGTCATCTGAGTATTGTTTTACTCAGATGTCCTAGTTAAAACAATAAATAATCTATCATCACTCAAAGCCTGTTCTTGAATCAGATTGCGCTGTTGAGTCCACGCATGACAAGTGAACCTGCTCTGCTCTGGTTGCAGAGCAGCGTGGACAGTGAAGCACGCTTCACAATTCAACACATTCTCACTCCCGACTCGTCATATGTCGACGCTGGGGCAAGTTCCCTCAGCGTCACATTTTGACGCATCGGATACCCCTTCTCGTCAACAGTTGACGAGAAGGCTCTCATTGAACGCTGTACTTCCGTTTTAATAGAGCCACCGGTTCTCTGAATGCAATCATACCCGCCCATTACTGAGTGGGCGGGGATGCGGACGAATGCCCTTCTCTCACTCCTTCCTTTTATTCTGCTGTCGCTGCCATGGCGTGCATCTCTCTCTCTCTGCTCCTGCTTTCTTTTTTTGTGCCTGTAATCGGAGGCGATTTGGTCACTTCAGCTCTGGGCGACACCGCAAAGCTGTCGCCTCTGGTTCACTGCAGCGAGGGATCCCCGCGGCTGATCAGGAGGCTGAGAGATGACTCCCCGGTTCTGATGGCCGGCTCGGCTGACGGAGTCCTGCGGCCGGTGGAAAAGTTCGGGTCGCGGCTCAGCATCTCCTCATCGGGTATTTCCCTGGAGAATGTCAACTACAACGACAACGGACTTTATGAATTCATGTGCGGAGTCCAAATAGAGCGCATCATCCAGCTGAAGGTTTTCTTTGCCTCCGACATTCCAGCGTCTGAAGGCGAAACAGCAAAACTTCCCTGCTTCTTTTATACTCTGGGTGAACATGTGGCGTTTGTTCAGTGGGAAACTAACGGGCAGCTGGTGATCAAAGCGGATCGCTTCGGTAACGTCCAGTATGGAGACAGATTCACAGACCGTGCGTCTTTGCCACCTGACTGGGAGTCAGTGGGGGACGTGACGCTGATCCTGAAGGGACTCCAGCTGGAGGATGAAGGGGTCTATTACTGCTCTGTCCAGGCAGAAGACTCTAAAAAGAAAGGAGACCCAGGAGACCCTGCTGCATGCAGGCTGAGGGTCCAACAGCAGCGATGGACCTTCACCACTCCGACTGTAAGTATAAAACTTGCCGCTTGTCGCCTCTTTGCTCTCACCATGTCTTAATCCCATGTCCCTCCTCCACAGCTACAAACCCAAAGGCCCCCTGCGCGTCAGGAAACTTTGTGCATTGGCGTTACTGTCTTCACTGTCTTCACTGTTCTCATTCTGGTGGTTTTCGCTCCTTTGTGCATCTGGATTGGATGGTACCTTCGGTCTCATAAATCAAAGGAGGTGAAGAGGTGTCTTGGTGTGAAATGCTGCTGGGACAGAGACCAGGAAGTCTGAGCTGCGGACCAGGAAGTCTCATCTGGACTCTTCACCTAAAACACTCTTCTGTCTGTTTCATTTCATGCTGAGTTTTGCACCTTTCTGCTCTCACTGAAACTGGAGTTTTCTCAATAAAACTTATACAAATTTTTACTTACTATTACTCTTATTATTTCAACATTATATATATATATATAAATTTATTTCATCAAAATTTTGCACAGCACTTGGTGCTTTTTTAAAGTGCTATATAAATAAATTTGATGTTGATATTGAAATAAATATTTACAGTTTTCCTTGTTCGCGTCTCCATTTCAAAACAATGTGTGAAAAGCTTTAAAAAAAATAAAGCAGCTGGGCTAAGTGTCTGTATTGTTAGGAAGCGGACAGTTAATTAATTAAAACAAGATTTTGCAAAATTTTTTTTGTTTTGGCACTAATTGGTTCACCGCCATCAGGCTTGTTCCAGGACGACTTTTGCTATCTGATCCTTCCTCTCTGCATCCTTAATAATGCAAGAGCTCATCATCACATGCTTCTGTTCCCCCGCTTTAGAGGAATTGTCCTCCATTCAAAAATGACACACCCTCAGGTAAATAAATCATCTTCGGTCGAAGAAAGACAGCAGAGCAGGTCTAACGCCTATTTCCGCTGCGCGTCACCAGAAATCTGTGTAAACCATTTGCCACGCGCCATTAAACAGGCAAACTAATCGATGGTAAATTAAACATATAGGCACAAGGAACAAGGAAAACCATTCTTTAAATATCAACGTCAAAAATGATTTTAATATAGCGCAATAAAAACGGGATTAAAGCGGGGGCCGTTTAAACAAAAAATGCGGCTCGGCAGATTTAAGAACAATCTGAGTCATCTTGGTGTACGCGGTTGTGAAAAATGTGCTCTGAAACCGCTCTGAAAGGAGAACGTTCATTCGTCCGCAAGCAGGTTTCACCCACGCACCTTTCACTATCAGTAAAAAAACAAAAAAAAAAAAAGGAAAAAAAAGACATGAAATACTGAATAACTGTACTGACGACGTCTGCGCTATTGAGGAGCAAAACAATATTGTGGACACACAAAACACACACACACACACACAAAAAACACAACACAAAAACAAACAACATGGTCGATTGTTTTGCATATATGAGGCTCGCACACCTGCGGCGTGATCTTCAAAAGGGCGCGGCTAAAGACTATATATTTTTTTTCAACTATATGCCCTCAAGAATATCTGATCGAAGTGTGATCAGATATTCAAGAATAACAGAACCTGAGGTAACAAAAGGTAAACATAAACATTATGGAGGATTTACAGCAAGGAGAGCAACAAGACAATTATAATAACATTAAATAACTCAAATAATATGCGTTCTTCAAAGGACCTTGAAGTTATAGAGAACTAAGACATAATGATAAATAACGTAACAGTGAAATGAAGCCTCTTCGATTGGATCATTGATCTTTGATGAAAGAGTAAGAAAAAATCCGATGAGATGAGATGAAATATAAATGGCAGAAAAATAAACTGTCATTACTGGAATCAAAAGTCTCACGTGGAAAAAAAGTCAGACTAGGCAAACCTCACAGTGTTTGCCTATAGACAGGCTGACACCAGCAGAAGTCTAAAGGAAAATGTACAGATCAGAAGGTGCGCACTTGCTCTCCAAGGGGCATCATGTACCGTGCGGGTGTCAAAAACCCTAAATCACTAAAGGCAGCGCACCTTTTTTTTTATTAATTTTTTTTAACACAAATGATGTTAAATAATAAAGACACAGGTAATCCACGGAAAGAGGATGGTGTTGATTGCCGGGTTTAGGCCGTATGACGCCTGCGCGTAGTTCTGAACTTTAACCAGAAGAGTTTTAGGCAAACGGCAATTTATTTTGAACATTTCTTTTAAGATGTACTTTTTAATTTTTTTTTAATATGAAAAAAATGTATTACTTCAATGTAAAAACATGACATTAGATCATTTCTTTGGCAGTGCTCCCTAATGACGATGGCAATTTCTAGAAAGATCCTCCGCTTTCTCAGCGGCAGCGCGAGTCAAACACCAATCGGTAGACGGTGTGTCCAACGCGTCATAACTTACAAATTATAAGTGTCACAAGTTATGGCGCTTTAGTAACACCTCCTACTTTTCGTCTCCTCCCACAACCTGTTCATAAATAAGCTGACGTGAAACTCTTTCCTCACATTGCTCTCCAATGGAACCGGTGCGATCTGGATGTTTCCGCGCCTTCATCCTCTTCCTCGCTGTCTGCCTTCAAGCTACGGACTGCGTGACAGTGATCTTAGGAGACCCGTTTGAAGTTCCTGTGAACTGCGAGCCGGGCGAGTCGGGCTCGCTGCAGCGGGTGAGACTCGATGGTCCCCGGCAGGTCGCTACTTACCAGCGCGGTCAGTGGACGGTGAGCCCAGAGTACAGAGACCGGATGGAGACCAACTTATCAAAGATTGTTTTCATCCGCATGCAATACAACGATGGAGGGATCTACGAAGTGACCTGCTCCAAGACTGGCACCAAGTACGTCCAGCTGGAGGTGGTTTATGCTGAAAAACTGTTAGTGACCGAAGGTGATAACGTGACGCTCCACTGTTACTATAAAACCAGAGGGAAACCAGGATTAACTGTTCGGTGGGTGAAAAATGGGAAACCTGTGTGTGTGAAGAACTCCAACTATAAAGGTTGCAACGGGACACCTGACAGACTGTCAATACCTACTGACTGGATCACTAGTGGAAATCTGTCACTGACCATTGAGCGGGTTCAGCCTGAGGATAGTGGGGATTATTTCTGCTACATCCAAGATCAACATGGGGAACAATCAGGAACTCCTGAAGCTCACAGACTGACTGTCACTGAGAAAATGACACATCAGATGATCAACAGCACAGCAGCACCTGAAAATGTAAGTGGCTTTATTCACCAAGTTTATTTTCTAGACAGAATATAAAAACTTTAGTGAGTCTGAATGTCTGTAAACCTGCTTTTCTTTCTCTTTCTTCTCAGAAAACTCAGAGTTGCAGTGAACACACTCAGCCTTGGCAGATCTCCACCTGGATTCTCCTTGTGATCCTGCTGCTTGTTGCTCTTGTTGCTTTTCTTTGTTTGTGGCGCAGTGGAAAAATAAACTGTGATTTTGGAAAACTTTATGAGCTGGTAGAGAAAAGCTGCCATCCTTCCAACTCTAATGAAGCTCCAACAATTATTTATTTGTCATTGAAGCTGTAAGACCATCAGTTCTGACATAAATAAAGATCTTTTAATGCCTCCCAGTTTGTAGTCTTTGATTTTGGTTCATTAGTAATTTTGTGAAACAACAAGTGAATATAACATGTACAAAAAAAAGACAAACACGTGTTTACCGTTTCCTGTTTGGCGACTGCGAGAGAAATTGACATCAAAGATGAGACTTATTGCATGCAGCTCTTACTGAGATAGCAACCACATCGGAATGTGAATAGAATTGTAGAATGAAGTTTTAAGTAAAAGTAGCAACAGAAACAGATATTTAGGCTTAAAACATTCAGGGTATAAAGTTGAAGGGTGTTCAGGATGTGGCAGAATCAAAGATGTGGCATATATGGAAGAAGCTGAAGAACAAAAGCAGGTTTATCAGCTTTTACTGTTGTTTGTGGTGAAGGTGACAATTTGTCAGAGGCAACCAAGAGAATGTGCAGTTTTCCACAGTTGATAGGTGTGGCTCTAGCTCGACCCACTGTCACCTGGAAGTTTCTCTGGCTCAGAAAGTTAGCCACTTTTTAGTCATTTGCATGACTAAAAAGTGTTTCCTCCACTGTATATTCATTCTTTTGAATATGAGGAACCTTCAACACATTGGTTTATATGACATCATAAAGCAGTCTTATATTTGCTTTCCATAGCAGAAATAATAGCTCTAAATTAATGGTAAAAAGCACAAATTAGCTAAATGACTAAATATATAATATTCAATTTCGAAACACGAGTTAGACTCAGGAAGCATTGTTCTTGATCACTACATTTGTTCTTGACTTTATTTTTTACAGTAAACCAGGATGAACTTGAAAGGCTTTATTTACATGAATAAAGCAAAGAGAATCAAAAGAAATCAAGCAAAGGACGATCAGATAAAACGAATATACAACAAAAAGCATGAGAACTGACCTGCATTAATAACCCCATGATGATCCTCTACATGATGTAATCATGGTGTTGAGTGGAATGAAACAAAGCTGCATGCTTCAGTACATGGACCCTTTTGGACTAAAGAAACAGTGGAGGTGCTTTTCTGAGCATTTCAACGAACAGCACCTCTACAGGACGGCTGTAGATCACTTTTAGTCATCGCAGGAAATAAGAAAGAGATTCTAATGCTATTTGGGTTTCAGGCAATAAAGAGCAGGAGTGTAATAAACATTCAGTACAAAGAAAAAAGAATAGATAATAAATAATAATAATAAGAGAACACTGTCAAAATAAAAGATACAAACACTGAAATATACAGATTGTAACAGGGAAAGGACTGTTGGAGAGTTAGTGTGTCAAACACAACAGGAGCAGGACGATTCTGGACGAGTCGAGCTTCAATCGTTCTCACTTCAGATTCGAGATTTAACACAAGACTGAAACTAAACTAAATGCTCTCCTGCCTCTTAGTGAAATAATCAACTCATTAAGTAAAGGCAAATATTAGAGGAGAATTTGTTAAGATCTTTCCTTTTAGCGTTACAGGATAAGACGATGAAGCTGAATCTGGGCAGCAAATAAATCCACTTTTTCTTTTTGTTTGTTGGAGCAGAACTCGACGTCTCAACCCTCTTCTCTCCATGCTGTTCCTTTTCCACCGTTGCCACTTCCTCTTCCTCCTCCACCTCCTCAGTGAACCAACTCCAGCTGGCTGCTGGAGAAAGGCAGCACCCCGCTGACGTAGTAGGCGATGCCGAGAGAGAGGAGGGCGATGACCACCAGCAGCAGCAGGACCCTCCAGAAGCCCAGGTCCTCCACAAACTCCTGCCAGGTGGTGCGGAAGCTGGACAGGACGCCCTCGCTGCTCTGCAGGTTGGGGTTGAGCAGAGAGTGGCTCTCCATCGCGCTGGGACACAGAACAGACACGCCGACAAAAGGCACCATCAACACACGGACAGCTCTTCTGGACCCTCTCCCTATTTTTAATAACAGCTTCAACTGCGATTCGATTCTCTCTCGGTTCCGGGCTCCAAGGTTTCACCCAGAAAACTTTACATGCTAGTCGGTCTGCTAAGAATGACAAAACAAAAAACTATAAAATATTTTTAAAAAGGCGACCACAGAAGGAAGAAGATATCAAAGTTATAGACTTGACTTGTTTCAGACTGAGTAAAGTGTCCAAAGTTTTTTGATCCTATATCCGTGACGAGTCACTTTATTCCCTGAAGCTGTCAGCGCGCAGAACAGTGGTTACGGCGTTCCAGTGGAAAAACACCGAACCCCAGTCTTCCTATGTGTTCACATACTGACTGTACTATAGTAATATTGTGATTCTCACCAAACAGATTCTTTGCTGTGACTGTTACTGAAAGAAAAACACCCTATAACAAATAAACAAACAATGCTTTGCCTGGTGGGGGTGCAAGTTAACACTTTAGGGTGGAGGAAGTATGGGTCGGTTTGGAAGCCAGCAATTTCCAACTTTTGTAAATTGCCCTGTCTATGAGCCCCAATCAGGTTTGTTACGTTCACAGACCAGTTATCCAACAAGAAGAAGCCACGAATAAACGGGTAAAAACAACTTGGGGAAATAACTTAAGTCACTCTGTTCGATTCTCCCATCCTTCACTTCCGACATCCGAATGATAAAGTGAGGCGATTGTAAAGGGTTAATAGTTTGAATCATGCTGTTCTGACTGTTCCATAGCAACTATCAGAAGAAAGACATTACCCAGAACTGCAGCAGCTCATAGCAGCTATGACCTCATCTATGACATAGATCTATGACATCAAAGAACATCTAAGGCTATAAAGGCTTGTGTCTCAAAACATCAGGTTTCAGTTGCTCTCTTCAACAGTTAGTTTTGTGTGTAGGAAAGATTTTTGATATGGAAGAGGTTTTAATCACAGCTTTTTTCCCGTTGTCGTTTGGAGTAGGGTATTTGGTAACAACCGGACTAAGAAATGTTTTAAACAAAGTATTTCCTGGTACAAAATTTGATATAGTTACATCTCAGGACGAGTCCCTGGAAAATTATGATAATTTTCTTTTTGATTCTCCGGCTGGAGAAGACGGCTCAGAGGGAAGTGCTTCCTCTGAGCCGATTGACGATTTTAATGCGTTTTTATTTAATCCTTCCCCGGCTGGGGAAGATGATGCAAAGCAAAATCTGAGCTGTCAGAATGACTACATCGACGACTACGATGTCATTGACGCTTATCTTTTCAGGTCTTCCCTACATGGGAAGCAAAGTTGCAATTTGACGAAAAAGACTGCTGTGGAAGTGGAGGCTTCGTCTGTTCTTGGCCAAGAACAGTCTTCGAGTGTGGAGGTACCGAGAGGTGACAGTTCTGTAGTCTCTTCTTCTGCAGCAGAGACTACAGTACATACTTCCTCGACTGTGGAAGTTTCTGATGAAGAGAAGAACGTTGAGGTCAGACGTGATGCTGAAAAGTGTTGTTGTCGGTTGTCTTGATTGACAGCATTTTACATCTGCCTAATTTTTAGCAAGCCCAGAGATATTAGTCATTGTGATATGGATGGATATATCAATGAACAGTGAAAAACTCTCAAAAAGTGTAAGAGGGAGTAATGACAATTGTCCATCCATTTTCTTCAGCTTATCCGGCTGAAGAAAATGCCGGATAAGCATTTTCTTCAGCCGGTTGGAGATCCTTCAAACCTTGAAGGATCTCAGCTTGCTCCAGTCTGCTTGGTCCGTTCTTATAGAAGCTTCACTGTCCAGTCTGTAGTCCTGATGAACACCAAGGAGTTTAAATCCTTCACCCATCATGGAAATTTCACAATCCACCAAATCGTTCATAAATTAGGGAAACTGATTTGCTATGACAGCAGACAGATGTCTTGGGTTTGAATCCTGACCTGGGTTCTTTATGCACGGGGTTTGCATATTCTCCATGAGCATGAGTGGTTTCTCTCCGGGTGCTCCGGCTTCCTCCCACAGTACAAAAAAGATTTTGTGCACATTAGATAGAAAGTGCGTAAGTTGGTTTGTGCCTTTCTGAAGTGTAACTTTGTGTCTGATGAGTAAAACTTCAATCCAGCAGAGTGTGCCAGTTAGTAAGTGATTGTAAACACACATCAAATTAGCCATTTCCTGAAAGAAGAATGTCTCAGACAAATTGTTTAATCCCCCAAAATTAACATTACTTTGAGTTTGTTAATGAAGGGATGCTAACTACCAGTATGCACTCATTTTGCCCATTAGACCCCAGTTCAGAACCCTTTTCCATACATACACATAAGCTATGTGACTATCTTAGTTAGCAGATAAAAGCTGGATTAGATGAGATAATTTTGTTGGATCGCCAATAAGTACCTTAATAAATATCACTGATTTATTATTATATTATCCAGAGGAGGGAAGAGCACTCAAAAATTGTTATTGAGCTCGTGCCGCTGCCAGTGGCAGAGCTAGACTTTTTTTCAAGGGGTGGCCAAAGGGTGAGCAAGGCTTTATCAGAGGGGTCCATATACAAATGGACCGTTCCATGGAACGAAAGGAAAAAATATTTGTTTCCTTTCTATCAAAATTAATTAATATAACTAGTTAGGTTATAATTCAAAGCTTTCATATGACATAGCCTACTTACATTTCAGTCATTATAAAACTCAATGGTTTTTCACATATTCTTACCACACACATTTCAAGCAAGAGCTGGGAGATAAAACATTACAGGGCAGCATGTGCACTAAAACATATGTTAAAATAATCTGTCTACAACACAATCTATCAGCACTAGCATGGTTAATATAATAAACGAGGCACTATGCAGTGGTGCACAACCATTTTTTTTTTTTTTAGAAATCTATGACAAGTGCCGCCTCTCATTAGGAAGGTAACAGCGGTTACAATTTACATTTTACCGCTGGGCGGTAAAATGTAAATACCTGCAAAACTCCTCGACGGTGTAACTCTAAAGCCTCAGATGTGTTTTGGATCAAGCAGGACCCACATGTCAGTTTAACCAATGAACAGTGTCGGGCATCGGGCTGCCTTCAGGGACAGTCGGAAATTACAGTTCTCCTTAAATCTTTGCCGATCTCATAAGTATTATATTTTAAAAATTCCATTTCCAGTGGGGTGGCAAAGGCTCTGTTGGGGGGTGGCAAGTGCCACCCCGGCCACCCCTCTGGCTCCGCCACTGGCCGCTGTGTGTCCACCCAAAAAATTGGTATGAAAATGTGCGGCTCGGCGCCGGTAGGTGAGCTATCACTTTCAGTGGGATTCGGAGTTACATTGGCCACGTAAAAAGCGATA